ATTTATTTTATTTTAATCATTTCTGTAAGTTAACGTTGAGATTTTAAGTCATTTGTGCACTGATTGTCATAATAATTATTGTTGTAGAATACCCTGAGGATGAGTCAAATCCAGACTCGAAACTAGTCGGTTGAAGGAATAAAATTATAAGAAAAAAGTCTGAAAAAGCCAAAGTCAACAATTTTTATTCATCATCTATAACAGACGAAAATTCAACATTTATCTATTTAGCAATATTAGTGGTGACAGCATTGTTTGCATATGCACTAGCATTACCTCAAAATGTGGATATTGAAAAAGAAGATGAAAAAGTACATGAAAAAGTGGATGAAGCTATGTTTCCGATGGATCCAACGTCTATGATGATGATGGATCCAATGACTATGATGATGATGGGAATGGGACCTGGAATGATGGGACCTGGAATGATGGGACCTGGTATGATGGGACCTGGAATGATGGGTCCAGGAATGATGGGACCAGGAATGATGGGACCAGGAATGATGGGACCCGGTATGATGGGACCAGGAATGATGGGACCAGGTATGATGGGTCCTGGAATGGGGCCTGAAATGATGGGACCAGGAATGCCAGGTTCTGACAATGACTTCATTTATACTGGCCAGGAAAGCTTCCCAATTGATTATAGTAAGAATAGCTTTAGATTAAAATTTAGAAAATTTGAAACTTTTCGTAATCATAGGTCAGTCGTGTTCGGGTAGTTGTAACTGTGGAATGATTTGTGTTCCCTGGTTTCCCTGTGGATGTCAATGTCCACCTCCTTGTCCTCCAGTAACTGAACCACCCACACAACCTCCAACCGAACCACCCACTCTTCCACCTACAGAACCACCAACTATCCCACCACCAACAGTTGAACCAGATGTTCCTACAACGTAAATATTCTAACTTTTGTATAATTCTTTAGAAATATTTCAAACATCCTATTACAGAGTGGCTCCTTGTAATCCATGCGTCCCATGCATGCCTTGCATGATTTGGTGGATGTGTCCGCCATGTTCATGTAATAGCGGTTGTTCAACAACAACCACAGAAGCTACAACAACGTAAGATATTTGTTATTTATACTTATTCTCAAAAATTAATTAACATTATTTGATCTTTCACATCAGCACGGCAGCTCCATTATTCAATTGCCCTTGCATTTGCGCTCCTTGTCAACCAGTAAGTATAAGTTGTATTCACCAGAACGGAATGATTTAATATTTTTCAATTTTACAGTGGGAGCCTTGCAATCCTTGTCCAAATACTTGCCCATGCAATATGTAAAAGCAAAAAGCGATCACCATGAAACCAGCTTATTAATTCTTGTAAAATCTTTTTCTCTAAGCAATAAATAAAATTATTAATACAGAAATGCCAACATTCAAATATTTCTTTAAATCCTTTGAAATATTAAAAGTGTTGTTATATGTATCTGATCCAAATTATTTTTAAATTGCTAAATTAATTTTTGAGTTATGAAAATTGAAAACCGATTAGTTCCGTTTACATATTTCATAATGATATTGATATCTGAAAGTTAATGTTATTAAAACTTCTGTAAATTTGTTCGCCTTCTAGAGTTTTTGAATAAAGTCGTCTCATACTTCAATACTTTGAATTCTTCTTTTAATTTTGATTATTGGCATCTTAATGATTTCGTTTCGTTATGTCTTGATCACTACGAAGAGTAATGAATATAATATTACAATATTTCACTCACTGAAACAATTGGATCGTTGTTGCATTTTTGAAATGAAGCATTTCTTTTTGCGACGACGGTGGAATGCTTTGACTTCATGTGACGAGCCACAGATGAAGTTGATCAATTATCATATCTAAGTATCAGTTTAATCAAATCAGTCAAACAGTATCAGTTTAATCTAAAATAAAAGTTTGAGAAACTTAAAAGATTCTCAAACACCAAATAAACTTCAAGTTTTCTAAAGCTTAAAACAATTTTCATTGTCTACGTTTATTAAACTGTTTGACAGTTAAAATTTCATTATTATAAATATCAAAGAAAAAGCTTTATTTGAAATTTCACAAAACTAAGTGAATGCTTAACACTTTCGTCTGTATAGTTCAAGCAGAAAAAACGAGGGGTGTAAATTAAAATATTTTTCTTTCATTGACTAATTTTTAAAAAGCTTTCTATGGATAGTTAAATAATTAAAAACGTGCTTAAAGTTTACTTTTAAAACTTCAGTTTTAATTTTTTTCTAAATAATCGTCGAACAATTGACCACTCAAAATTCAATTGATGATAATAAATACTTGTTCTAATAATAATAAAAGCATTAAAATATTTCAAATTTTTTCAATACTCTTCCTGTTTATCAAGACATAGTCCAAAATAATACTGCACAAAACCTTGAAATTGAAAAGTGTTATCTATCAACATCATTTTTAACATATGTCCATAGTAAATAAAACTACCTGAACAATCGATTCAAAGTCTCTAGTCCTTGCCTTAGACCTGATGGTAATGAAAAAATGTTTTACAAATCCTATGGTTAAAATCTACCATAGGATTTGTAAAACATTTTTTCATTCGAGCCTTGAAAAAAAATAAAACAAATATTTGAACAAAAAAAACATGAGAAACAAGGGACACATGTTTTGATAAAATTGAATTTCGCCATCAGTTTTTAATTATATTGAAGAACAATTACTGATAGATAATAATTTGACCAATACATGAGATATCAAAGTTTTTGTTTTGAAAAAAATCGTTGCCAAATTGAACTTTTATTAGAGTTTAAATTCATTGACAGTGATTTTATGTCATACTACAGAATGATATGTTTCGACGATTATTTTGCTGTAGCAAACTTCTATCCTTTTTGTGCTTTTACTCCAACATTTTATGAAATAATTAACATTTTAATTGACCATGCATATTAACTTTTAGTCTTAGGAAATATTGAGCAGGATGAATTTTTTTTATTTATGATATAATTCATGCAGCAATTATATTTAAATAAATCATTCAAAATGCGTAGTTTTTGTTCACTTTAAATTAAAAGATTCCAAAAGAAAATGAAAAGATTGCAATTTTGATAATTATTTCCAAGAATATTTTCAAACTTGTGTATTTTTTGCTACACATGATAAAATTGACGGACTTCATGATGGACAAGCAAAGTCTTGATTAGAACAAGGATCTACTGATAAAAAGGCATATAAAACGAGAAGCAATTCAACACAATAATTCAGTTTGAAAAGTCACTTCAAATTGAAGGACAGACAAGAAAATGAAGTGTAAGAAAATTTTAGTTATAAAGTTGATTAATAAATATTTGAATTCAAATATCTTCTCATCTGAATTGCAGGGATTTTATTAACGTTCTTTTTCGCATTGGCCTTTGCGGCTCCTCAACTTGAGAGATTGGGAACAAGCATCGACAATGATGAAGTCAAAACACTAGGAGAAAAAGTTGACACTGATGACATCGAGCCATTACAACTGGAAGAAAAAGTTGACACTGATGACATCGAGCCATTAAAACGGGAAGAAAAAGATGACACTGATGACATCGAGCCATTGCAAATGGAAGAAAAAGTTGAAACTGATGACGTCGAGCCATTACAAATGGAAGAAATAACTGACACTGATGAAGTCAAGGCTGAAAAAGCATTTTACCCTATGGGACCAGGCATGATGGGACCAGAAATGATGGGACCAGGAATGATGGGACCAGGAATGATGGGACCAGGAATGATGGGACCAGGAATGATGGGACCAGGCATGATGGGACCAGGAATGATGGGTCCTGGCATGATGGGACCAGGAATGATGGGACCTGGAATGATGGGACCAGGCATGATGGGGCCTGGAATGGATATGGACGATTCAGATTCTTATGAAGACGATGATTTCGATAATTACGAATTTCCAACTGATTATAGTAAGAATGAAAATTGATTCATTTAACATTTAATTAAACTTTTTTTCAGGCAGATCCTGTTCAAATAGTTGCAATTGCAGAAAGGTTTGTTGGAAAAAAGTTTGGTGTCCCTGCAAATGTCCACCAAAATGCCGTGAGTTATAATTTAATAAAATTTTGTAAGCACACTTTAATTTTTTGTGTTTAGCAACAACAAGACCAACAACGACCACATCAACAACGACCACACCAACGACCACAACAACAACGACGACAACAACGACCACTACTACGACTCCCGAAATTACTACTACTACTTTAGAAGAAACAACAACAGAAGTAACAACAACAGAAACACCTCCTTGCGAATGCTGTCAGCCAAGATGCAAATGCCGACCATGTATGTGATAAATTGATTCAATATTAAGTTCTTTATCATAATGAAATAAATTTAATGAACAGGCAAAATTTGGTGGATGTGCAAGCCTTGCACTTGCAATAGAAGCTGCCAGAGTAGCTGCTGCAATAGCAGTAGAAGCTGCTGCAATAGCGGTGGAAGCTGTAACAGCAGCTGCAATAGAAGCTGCTGCAATAGCAGTAGAAGCTGCTGCAATAGTAGTAATAGAAGCTGCTGCAATAGCAGTAGAAGCTGCTGCAATAGTAGTAGAAGCTGCTGCAATAGCAGTAGAAGCTGCTGCAATAGCAGTAGAAGTTGCTGCAACAGTGGTGGAAGTTGCAATAGAAGCTGTTGCAATAGTACCAGAAACTGTAACAGAAGTTGCTGTAATAGCGGCAGTACTACAACCACAACAAGTAAACGGAAACTTAGTTTATTCATATTGTTATGCATACTCATTTCTATTTTTCAGATTCCCCTCCAACAATTGAAGACATATTAGAAGATTGGAGACCAAGACCCGATCAAGACCGAGACCAAGAAGAATGGCCACCACTATTCCCGGAACAAGAAGAAAGACCAATCGAGTGGCCTCAACCACCACCACAATTATGGCCCCAACCTCCTCAAGAACGACCCCAACCTCCACAATTATGGCCCATGCCCCCACAAATATGGCCTCAACCTCCTCAAGAACGACCACAACCTCCACAAATATGGCCCATGCCTCCACAAATATGGCCCATGCCTCCTCAACAATGGCCGGAAAATCCACAACAATGGCCTATGCCTCCACAACAAGGGCCGCAATTCCCACAACCATTTCCCCAATTACCACAGCAACAACAGGCTTAACATTAAATTCAATATAACTTAAAAAGATTGAATTGTTAAAAGCCTAATTAATTTTTACATTAATCCTTCTTATGAAACCTACAACGTTCAAAATATGGTATAGATTTTTATAACAGCATTTTTAAGATCGTTGGAAATCACTAATCCATTAGGGATTAAATAAATATTACAATAGTTCTTGCAAATTAATAAATATTTCTCATTACTTTAGTTAAATTTATGTTTCAGATGATTGTCTAGCCCTGGGTTATTTTACAAACAAGACATTATTATTTTGAAAGGAAATTTAAATTTCAAAAATGTGTAGCGACTTCAATGAAGAGATGGTGATTAGTTCTGGAAAACCATTCATGTTCGTTTTATTTTTCACCCACGTGGTTGAACAAAAAACTCTCTGGCACTTCAAAGCATTCTCTCAGTGAGAGCATGCAAGAAAGTTCTAACCAATGAAATCGTTTGGCCGAATGCACAAAATAAGCTCTCGTTTTTCATTTTCACACAACGTTTCTTACAATTTTTCTTCAATTGTCAGTTTTTCTTGCGTGCTGTATCGGTAGGAACGTGTTTCTATCTTTCACTGACACAGTTATCGCGTGTGAGGAATCAAATAGCAAACCTTTTTCTGAAACAAATTGGAAAATGAACTTTACTTAAAGAATTGAATGAAACATCTTATTGTTGTTTTCGTGCTTTCGTTTCTTATCAATAAATTATTATACAAGAAACATCAATTTTAATAATTAAAAGCATAATGCAATGAAGAAAACTAGGCGTTTTTCTACTAATTATTTTGTAATTGTTGCTCATTTATATACATCATTAATACCAGCAGATTATTTATAAAAAATATCGTCAATAATTAGCAACAACTTTGTGAAGACGTTTAACAACTTCGAGCAAAAGAAAAACCAATTAATAAAGTTTTTCTAGCGCATCGCGGTCTTTCGCGTTTAAAATTAATGAGTAGAGTCTTCTATATAAAATAAATAAATAAACTGTCAAATTAAAAACCTATTAGTGAAAGGAAAACAAAAGAAAGTTCAGTAAGTAGAATAATGGACAACGCAATTGACAGAACATATCGATACATTACACGGATAATTTTGTTAAAGATTTTGATAACTAAAATCTATTTCATTATCTTGAAAATGTTTGATTTTTAATTGGAATCTGTGAGAGTGTCAGACATTTATAAGTGGTTTTTAAATAAAATTAAACAAGCAAAGAAACGTCGAATGCTTATGAGCTTTCACCAATATTTAGTTAATGAAAAAAATATGCGATTAATCAATTTAATTAATTTATTCAGAACGCTTCCAAAACATCAACAATGAAAAACAGAAACTTTTTTTTATTGAATAATGTTGTGAAGACCCCCAACTGCGTTCTGTCTCTTTCATGTCTTATGACATTTCCTCAAAGCAAGAAGCAAATTAATTCGGTAAATCGATGATAGTTGATTCAACAGCTAAAAATATTGCCCATCAAGCTTAATCGATTTTACTATTAATTCATCCAAGTGAACAGAGAATTTTCTTTTTTGTTTCAACTAAAATCTCATTTAATAAGCAAAAAGGCCTAAAGTGTAGCGAGGATTACTTATCGCCTTTCCGCTGTTCCTTTATAATCGACTTTTAAAGCTTAAATTATTACTTAATTCACCTCACAGACCTCAACGTGGTTTCGTGAAATTCTACGTTACCTTTTTAATGAATGAAATTTTCTCTTTTCATCAATTCTTTGTTCATTTTTCTTTCTGTCGTCAATGTGCCGAGTTAATTAATTTTTTGGGTTTATTAAATAAGACGCAACGTTACCAAAATAATGTAGATACGTGTGAATGAAAACTTGAAGATAATTATGAAAAGTTTTCGAAATTTTTTCGTGCATTAAACACTCATTAGTATTTCATTCAATGCGTAGGATCTGGTCCGCACTTATTTAGTTTTCATGCTGCTTACATTCAGTGTTGTCGTTTTTCATATTAAATGAAATCATTAATTTTCTTTATGAAGATGATTTAACGATATATATGAAATTTTGATCCAGAATTTTCCATGTCATTTCAATTGATTAGTGACAACACTGGCTCCAGTTACACAAAATTGAAGCATATTTTATGAGATCACGAACTGAAAAATAATCGATTTATTAATGGACACTATCAATATGATTTACACAGATGATTGATTTACTTCCTTTATGTTCTGAATATTTATGACATCATTGATATTAATCTTGCATGGAATTGACTATCTGCATATTTAAGCAGGTGTTTGCTTTAAGTTCATTGGACCTTTCACGCTGCTCTTCCGTCACCACTTCTGATGCTGCAACGTAATCTGATTTTCTGTTCACATCTTTCTGAGTCATCTTCCTAATTCTTTATAATTTAAATTTAGTACTGTTCGTTAGCCATAAGTTTCGGATGGATTCAGAAATATGAAACGTTCTTCATACTTAATGAAAAGGTTTTCCGACGTGAAAAGATTTTTGATGGGGAAGAAAAAGAAGCGTGGAAAAAATGTGCTTCGCATTCACTTTCATTCTCATAAGATATTTATCTAGAATGATTGTTAAAACGGTGAGAATATTCGTTGGCAAAAACGTCTCATTTGGGATAATGGGAGTCAGGAAATGGACTAAGGGCTTTCGTAGTGAACGAAACATATTAAAGCACTCACGAATGTTGAAGCGTTTATCGATTTGTGTTTCAAATGTTCAATCATGATGAAATCCCTTTTCTTTAGACTTTTATGAATAATTCAATGGAATGAAAAATGCAAGATGTGATTGATGGCTTTGTGATGTTATACGATTAACCCTTATAAAAATGCATAAAAGCATTCTAAATGATTATAAGGCGAGAGTTGAATGTTTTAGCTCACATCCAAGACAGAATAATAAGAAAAAAAATTCAAATGATCTCAAATAAATTCGTCTGTTTACTAAATTTTCTTTTTAAAGAAAATCAAATTCTTGTGTTGAGTGAAATTTAAGATTCATCGAACGTTTCGAAATGCTCGCATTCAGATGAAACCGTAAACGTATCTTCTCATAAAATGGTTTAGCTGTCTGAATCATCTTTGAGTGCTAAAAATATTACCCGTTTGCCAAGCTCATTAAGTACATCGAGAAATCGAAACATCTGACGATCATTTGATTTCGTTTATAGCTGAAATTTCTCCATCAATTCAAAGATGCTTTCTGCACATTTTACTGAACTTAAAGAAGATAAAAACAACATCAGAGAAAGATTGTTTGCGTTGTTGATGTTATTGTTTCTGTTTATGTACCGAATCGTAAAAAACACACAATTTCTACGCCGTGCTTCGTGAGTGATGATGAGAAGAAAAATAATAAATAAATTGGCGATCGAGACGAGGGAGTGTTAAAAATAGAACTTAAATATAAAAAAAACTACAAACTGAAAGTGAAATGATGGGAGAGTAAAAACTTCCACAAAGTCTCGCAGAAATGAATTCTTGGCTTGTCTTGTTTCTCTCTAAGACGAGGTCGAATGCAGTGATTGCGTTTTCCCGTCAAAGTCAACCCATTTCATGTTCTCCAAAACATTGCTCCATTTATTTTTCATAACAATTGATTTCTCAATTGTCGTCTTTGCTTCAACTTCTTCAAACGATTCAATTAAGTTTTCGTGTTCCTTTCTATTTTGATTCAGATAATCATAGGAAATTGAACAGAAAATTTCCGAGACAAGACTCAGCCTAAATATGTTGTTTTGTTTTATGTACATAAATATATTTAGATAGCTGCGTGGTCATGATGACATGTTGTCGTGAAATGACGAAAGAAATGTGAAGTGAAACCGATGCGATGAGTGGGAAAATCTCTACGGAGTTAAGCACCTGGTTTGTTGTGAAAGAAAAACAATGTTTAAAGTTGATGAGTAGGAGTGGTTGTTACCGTTGCCGCCTGGGAGTTATCATTCATGTTTTTCATTTATTCAACTTTCATTCAAATTTATCGTCTTTGACCTTTTAATGGCTTTTCAAAAGCTATTTAAATGGCATAAAGGTTGACACTTTAAAGCTCCCTTGAATATTTCATCAAACTTTAGTCACAACAACTCAACATCAAGACGATGATAAACCAAATAAATGACCATTTAATATTTCATTTAACTTCCTTTTTTGTCGTTTCATATCTGAACATTTAAATTTCATTTTTTCTGCAACTTGAAACCGGACGAAAAATAAAATTGAGAGGAAATTGCTTGAGCGATTTTTCAAGATAAATACTAAAGCGAGCGAGTGAGTCGTTTTTTATTTTATTTCTCGTTCTCCAGAAAATGACCAGCAGGAGTTTTGTTTTCCTCTATTTTGTTGTTGTTATTTCTATTTCTCGATGGAATGGAGTGGTTGAGAGGGCTTTAAATATTAACAAAACAAATTGAAATGTAAACGAAGTGAATTTCCATCGTTGCGCGCGACAAAAAAAAAATACTGGAAAAATTGTTTAAAGATTCATTAAGTTGATTTATCACATTAACTTGTAAGTAAGAAGTTCAGAAAATTTTAGAAAAGTTTTTCAAACTTTGACGTTAAAAACAAGAAAATTATCAGACAAGACAGTTGTGAATACCGAAATTATCTAATAAATAAGCAACTTCACCATCTTCAATTGTGACAGTCTAAATTGTGATTTATTGTTGCTGATCTTTCACTTGAGATTTCTTTATAAGTAGTCGTTTGTTACATATTGAAAGCTTTCTGTCGGAAGCCATTAGTGTGCAATCTGAAAAACTGCAGATGCCACAAAAACGATCAATTCATGGAGGAAAACAGAAACTCAATTAGAATTTTATTTCTCAATGAACTTCTTTAATTACTTGGCCATTTACGACGCTTAGCTTTTCTGAAGCATCATCGACAGTACATCAAAAAACTTTGTTTACTTGTTGAGAAGCACTTTTTTTAATGACAGATGCTTCAAAGACGAAATTATCATTAAATATTTCGCTAAACCTCGATAGTCTTATGAAAACAAAAATATTTTGTTTGTGGTTTTTGGTTTTTGCCATTCAAAATTCATGTTTACAAAATGAAAATTTTATTTCCAAACTCGATAAATTTATAACATCTGGCAAAGAATATTTTTATGTCGTTTCGCCGATGATAAAAAGAAAAAAATTAAAATGACAAAAGCAAATTTCTCATGCATTTTTGAAATAAATTTTAGGTTGATGTTGTGTCGTCTTCATCATTGTGATAGGGGTTGGAGCTTTTAATTCTCTACAAAGTTTAAACTTACACGAGAAAAAGACATTAATTCATGGCTTCAATACGATGAACTCGTCAGAAGAGTCTGAGTGGTCGGGACCAGATATGTTTGAGGTTGAAATCACTGGCAGTCGTGGATTATACGAAAATAGTTTTAATGAAACGAACAATAACAAAACTTTAAGTTATCCAGGTAAATTATTTACCGACATTCAGATTAAAACTTTCATTTTCTGCTTTATAAAATTCAGGAACCAAGATTGTTGTTAGACCGGAAGAAGCTTTAATAGTAATCTTTGTGCTGATACTTTGGGTCGGCGCCATTGGATTGTTTTTCCATCGATGGGGGAAAATTAGAAACTGTGAACCATATGCTCCAAAATTTGAAGCGGAAGATCATCGGGGCTCATGTCACGATCAATCGAATTTGATAAATAAGCGGATGTCGATGTCAAGCAAGTTGGCACAGCCTGGGCCGACCATGCAATTGAGCGGAAATCCCAACTCATTCTCAAAAGGTTTTGTATCCGTTGATATCGATTGCCAATGATTTTAAAGCCCGAAATACTCCAACTGTTTCAGCTTATCCTATTTACAATCGAACCCGCCAGAATTCAGTTTTTGTACAACATTTGATGGCGCCCCTGGATGTACAACGAAAAACCAAATCAGCGATGGATCTTCACTCTATGACCAGCGAAGGAGACTATGAAACTGTTTAATTCAATAATCTATAATTAGAATTAAGGAAGTTGTGAAGTTATAGAGAGAAAAGTCATAAAGTTGTTAATATTTAATTGCCAATTAATCAACTTTTTCCCTACTAACTAGTTTTATAATTAAATTATTAAAATGTAGTTGTTTGTAAACTTTCCCTATTGTAATGACTACAACATTAAAATTTCTTCTTGTTTGTGCAAAAAGGATAATGAAAAAAAATTGTTAATTAATTTAATAGAAATTTTTATAGAAATTTCTCTCCTTTGATTTGGGATGATTTAATTAAAAGTTGAAATTCTAATTAGGCTATTGAATTAATGTAATTTCTTTGAATTCATGAGAAGTTTAAGAGCATCAAAGAGGGATTTGTACTTTATATTTATGACTAGAAATTGAAGATTAATAAATCTTTGACTTAAAAATAGCAAATTTATGTTTGCAGACATTTTTCTAGCAAAGCAAATGAAAGAAATTTTTCTAAAGAATTTCATTGCAGAAAATGAAATCAAAAGGAATCGGAAATTAATCGTCAAGAAATATTTTGTGTAAGTCTTGTTTAATATGAATGATTTCTCATGTTATATCTATAGGATTTAGTAGACTCAACCCATTGGAACTTCCAACTGTTTCATTTCTCATCATTCAGATTTTCTTTTTACTCCCAGATTATCGCTAATCGTTGATGATTCTGCAGCTGTTGTTTGTTAAATCTCGGATATTAAAATACAAAAATAGCAAAAGCTTCATAGGAGTTTCAAAGGATTATTAACTGTGACCTTTCTCAGTTTCCATACTGACATCATACGATGCTTTGTTCTTGAACTGACGAATTTTTCGAGAATGTCTTCAAGGCAAAAGGCTGAAAGAAATAAAAACACAAAATTGCCATCGTTTCCTTTTTCAATTTGTTTTTGATATGAGGAAAGAGTGAAATTTTCTAAAAATGTGCATGTGAAAGGTGCTTGACAATGACATAAATTAAATTAACTTTTTACGTATTTACTGTTCGTGACATTTGTTGTTTTATGACATTAAGAAATTTACTTGATGGCAAATCTGCCATCAAAAATTCAATCTTATTTCATCACATTTTAGAAGCATAACCATGCTGAGGTAAAATGATTTTGACATCTTTTACATTATTTTAAATGAAAATATTGTGACGATGTAACCTCATTTGTCGTTTAAAATTGTTTCAGAATGTTTTCTTGAAATGTTTTCATATATAACAACGACTGAGATGCATCTTAAATAATGGAAACGTGTCATTTGATGTCGCGGAGATATTAAGATGCAAGCTTGAGCAAGTTCAACAAGAATTATTGCGGTTGAGTGGATGCGACATTGATTTATGGTATCGTCGACGTCTGAAGATAGCTTCCTAGATCCATTAATATTTTAAGCATGATTTCAATTTAAATTTTAAAGTTTTTGATTCTCATCCAACGCAAAAACAATAACTCTTAGATGATGTTGATGATTTACACATTGTGAATACAAATAATGGAGAAAATCTTTATAATAAAGGAATTTGAATCATTTTCGCTTCTTCTTCTTCTTCTTCTAGATTAAATTGGATTTTTGAAGACTAAACCGAGATTATCTTTATTATAATTTTCATCTTTACGACACACAAATTGTGAATTCTAAAACCTCACTTCGTCAATTCATTTTAAAAACAAAACTCGTTCTTGGAGTACGAGAGATTTTCGGTCGTAAACTTTTATGAAAAATTCTTTCACAACGACAAGCATCTTCTTTATTTAACTTTAGAGAGTTTAAGAACTCTGCAGGTTGTTGAATTTTGCAGGTACGTAAACCTGACGACTGGATCAATATACCAACGATGCTGTTTGCATGAAAACATTTTTAAAGTGAAGCAAACCTTTTGTTTAATGCTTCCTTATTCTGACTTTATAGCGAAATTGATCTGAACTTTTATTGTTTATGTTTATAAGTCAAACACATTTTAAGTGTTGTGTTAAAAGCTCTACTAGTTGCAAAACACTCACTATGATTGCATAAAAATGATACAAAAAAGCAGCTCTAATGGAAAATTGCCAGAAAGAAAGCAAAGAATTTTCAGCATATAAAAATGAATGAAAAGTTTCACAACTTTCACGAGAACGTGACATTCTCAAGCTTTAAAATTACTTAATACTTCAACTTTTTTGTTTTCTTTCAAGTAGATAAAAGCTGAATGAATTTTTAATCACTTTAATTCACTTGATGTTAATTAAATTTACTTTGGACAATAAAGCGCTTTAAGCATAATTTAAAACAACAAAAAATGTGAAGCTTCATGAAAACATTTCAATCTTCTTCCCTCTTAGTCATTCAAACAACCCGGGCATGTATGCGCGTATCATCTCATCGTGTAACATGAAAATTAAATATTTATTATAAACATAGCGTACAAAAGAATTTTTATCATATGAGACAACATTAAATGAACAACAATAGGCAGTAAGGAAAAAATTTATTACATATTTTGACCCATTTCGTGTGTGGTTGGGGATGAGAACGTAGATAACATGTAGCATCGCATGAAAAGGGGAAACTTCGGGAAACAGAAAGCTCTCAAGATTGAATCCATTTTATGTCATCACAAATCCGATTTCAGGTAGTTTGTGGTCGAAAGCTTATCCCGCAGCATAAACATATATCCTGTAATTATATGTTCCATTAATCTGTAATCCAAAGGAGATTCAGGAAAATAAATAATCTTCCGACTTGTTCTGACATTCGTAAATAATATGTCATTATAATAGATAGTGACAATTTATCTCTTAAAGAGTTACAAAAGCTTTTGTGTAGAGGATTTTGTCAAAGTTGTAATATTCTTTCCATTCAGTAAACTTGAGAAAATATTTAAAAAAATATGCAACAACAAATAAAAAGGAAAATTTGTGTTCATTGTAAACAAAACCTGTGTTTACATACAAATTATAGGCTAAAAGAGAGTTAAGAAAATTATCTACAAATAAGTAATGAATGATATTATCTCAATTATTTACCATCGAAACTAAACCAAACATGTTTGACTATGATATTATAGCATCCAAATAGGCATTTAACGATTTTCTAAGCGCTTTTACTGCACCCCGATCGATGGAAAACTAATTTCATTTTACTTTGGTAAAATTTTTAACGGTCGCTGTGGGATTCGGGATGATAATCAAAGTGGTAACATTTTATTGAGTCGCTTTTTGTATGACAGAAATTCGATTAAAGAAGGCAGATTAGTCTCCAAGGTTTTTACGATGATTTCGTGAACAAGATATTCGATTTATATTAGAGGCATGATCTGTGAGCAAACACACAATGTCGCCTTTAATATTAAAGTATGTCTTTAATGAAAATCTGAAACTTAATAATCATTAAAGCTATTCTGCTCTGCTAATAAACTTTCTATGTTTGTAAGCAGCAGGCAGCTTGCTTTCAACGTCTTCATACAGGTGAACAAGAAGAAGTGTCTATGTAAATGGAAAAGTTCATTCAATATGTTCTACTGATAATTTACGCAACATCTGGAATGAAAAGCTTTCTTGAATTAACTCAAAGTCTTATAAAAATTCCACTCAACGGAGATTAGTTTCCATAATTCAGAAGAACTTTTTTTCAATGTTTATTTATTGATAAATAAAATTGAAAACAATCTCAGCTGAAAATAATTTGATGATTGAATTGATTTTGAAAGGTTGACAATACAATTCTAAATGCACATAAATTTACGGCTGTTGGTATTCGGCTGTAAAGAAATTGAAACAATTCATTGATTGCGTATTTGTTACAAAAATAATTGAATGAAAACATCAATGTTGTGATTTGATAAATTCATTTCATTCTTCATGATTCGGCGACAGTCATTGCTTTTAATTACAATGTTTATGAGCGAATTTATTAGATGATTGATCACATTGACGTAGACATTTAAGCGTGAAGCGTGACGAAGTGATATAGAAAAAAAGATGTTTTCATAGAGATGTTTTTAATCGAATAGGTATTCATGAAACGAAAACAATTAAAATAAATTCTATCATAAAATATCATTAATGATCACAATATAATGTAATGAGATTGCTTTCATATTATTTTTGAACGTGACACAAGCAATTTTACTTCAAATGAACCTAAAAGATGAAAAGGAAAATGAATCAACTGTGGCATATGTTCGCTCAACTCTGAATAAAATCCAATTTTATTCTACATAAGTATGCCTTTATTTATAAGTTACAATCGAAATGAAAAGAAACAAACAATAAGATTCTATAAATAACAAATAAGTGAATTGAAGAAAGCTATCTATGTGCAAATAACTTATTTTGTTGTTGATATACAAACACAATTATTGTATAACTAAGTAGATATGTGAGATATAATTTCCAAGAAAATCAATTGAAGAAAACATTCAATGCGATTGTTGAAAACGCTTTTATCGAATTTCATTGTCAATTTTTCAAACATAACAAAATTTTGTTCGACAACTCAAAACATTTGACGACTTCCAATAAAGTTTTTCACGTAAAGTTTGAAGATAATAAAATTTATTCAGGTTTTTTCAGCTTTTCAAGATAAATTCAATTTGAATTTGAACTCTTTAAATTCTTTAAAACTCTTCGCTCTTCTTGTGTCTAAATTTCTTTACGAAAATTCTTTAAGTCTTCATGATGACAGGAAAAATAATTAATTTTATGAGAAAATGCTGTAGCTATGAGTCTCAAAAATAATCCATTTATAATTGAAGATTATAAGAAACGATTTTTTTCCTTTCTTTCTTCTTATTATCTGTCAAACTTGATTCATATTAATTAAAGATTATTTTGAAAGCATTTGTCATAAAGCGTATGTAATTAATTTTATGCTTTCATTCTGACATTCAATGGTTCTTTTAAAGAATTTTCTCGTAGTTTTTCTATTAATCACAAAACTCTATTGTAAAGTGAAATTCCTGCAGTGCTTTTGTTATTTATTCAACTTTTCAATGAAGAGAGCTGAAAGTTAACTGCAGCTACAAATTTTTTCTTGTAACACGAACAGGAAAATTGTGCAATATTTCAGTCGTCATGTTCTTCCTGTTAGCTTCAAAGAGAATTTCTTGCTCAACATGAACTAGTTCATTGGGTTGTATTTCACCACAGAGAAACTTTGGATTTCCACTTAATAACTTGAAATTTATTTTTCCGATTTTTAAAGGCAGTGGTCGAACACTGATAAGGATGGCTAACTAGCACGTTTTACGATCCCTTAAATTGTTATTTGAGGTTTCAATCAATCTGACGGCTTCATCTCGTATATTCCTTCATACATCCAAATCAGCTTGTTTATTTATAAAAACCTTCAAAGTTTAATTCATTCTGAAAAGCTTTAAACTTCGTTTTTTTGATAGCAACATCAACGAACATGATGAAATGAAATGAACAACTTTGTCGTTGCAAAGTATTTTCAATATGAATCATAAATGACGATGGAGTCAGCAAATTCCATTGTTTTATATTACCCTTCGGTTGATAGAATTTTCATGAAAATTGTTCATGGAAAACTAAGTTTTAAAATTGAAATGAAATTTAATCCCATTCATTCGGAACAATCTGGAAATGTTCATTCCCTCGAGGAGAAACAGTTAACAATTGATTTTAAATCCGGATAAATAAAACTCTTGCTTTTGAAAATCGAGTCACATTACATACAAAAAGTTCAGAGTTTTTGAATTCAAGCCAAGAGTCTGCTTTCATGCTTATTGATGCTATGAAGATACCACATATAAAGCATCATTGATTAATGTCGTCATTACACATAAACCGACACCTACCTTCCGCCTATTTATAAGATAAATACGCTGACGTTACTGGAATACAACATGTAAGAAAAATGCCAGAAATAACGAGGAAAAGAAGGGATAATGAAACCGCAAAACCACTTGCTAAGGGTAAATATGCGCTAACTAAGATTATCTTTTTATTTATGACCCAAAGTTTGCTCTCAAATACTTTTGTACACGTTTAGGAATATGAAGACTTCAATAAGAACAAAAAACAGATTAAACTGATGAGACTGCTGAGCTTATTAGAGAGATACCAACAGCATATGAAGCAAAGGTCATGGAAACTTCCACACGGAAACCACATCAAACAAATGGACGAGAAAACTTCATGAGGAATGAAACAAGTTAAGCATGAATGAAATTTTCATATAACAAAGATAAATGAAGCAGATTAAAACATCTTTAGGGTTTTTGCTGACTGTTGTTTGTCGACATAATCTAACAACGAAAAGATGAATTCAAGTGTTGATGGTATTGATTGACAATGGCATTCATCATCAATAACGACGTCAGCTGGCGATAGTTCAAGATATTTTAAGAATCAAAATGAAATATTTTCAAACACTAAATGAGACATTTAAACAGCTGTTCATTTTCTCGTTCGACAGATGAAGACATTTATCTAAAATGATTTTCCATATCGATGAAATTTCATGATTTTCCGATTGTTTGCTTAAGTAAGCTGTAAGAAATCAATATTTGAAATTTAAAAGACAACTCAATTGTTTAATCTTTGTTTATTTTATATTGATGAATTACTTAAAAATACATCAACGTAGCTTTTCAAAAGCACTTACAGTTCTAATGTACATGTCACAAACTCGATTTGATTTAAATATCGCGAGAATCTGATCATCCATCATCGTAGTGGGGAGTGATTCTTCATCTTTTATTCACGCTCACTTGAGAATGAACTTGATAAATTCTGTTTTTTTTTTGATACATTTGGGAACAATGAGGAAGGAAATGGCAAAGAAATGGAAAGTCGGATTAAACTTTTATGCAATCTTCTTAGGGAGGCTTAGAAAGATATTCAGAATTCATTCAACTGTGTTGTTGAAAAGTGTCATAATCGGCAGCTGATCTTTCTCAAGAGATTTCAACTAATCTCTAAGCATTATTTGTTAGGAAATGAAATTTACTTATTCTTTTATGATGGTCTTAAGGGATCGATTAGTTGGCATTAGACTTCTTAAATAGAATTTCATTTTATAACTTTTTATTATTATTTATGACAAGATTACTCTCAAGAGTGAAATTTATTTGAAAGAAAGTTCAATAATCAACTTAAATTATGTACATAAACACTCAATGTTTACAATACCATTGAATTTTCCTTAAATTCATTCATTAATTTTCTTTTTATTGATATAAATTTGATTACACATAAAAAAGAAATGTAAATCTGAATTGAATTTTCATGAATCATAAAAAAACGAATTTAAATAGAAAGAAAATGTATTCAAGGAACTTTGTGTTGAAGCATAATTTAAACATAATGAAAATTTCATGAAGAAATTTAATCAAATAGATATTTGTATGAACAAAATGTTTATGTTGAAAAAGATTAATTGAAGAAATTATTTCATTTTTAATGATTAAATCAAATGCCTTGTTGATAATCGACGATTAATTGAGCTCGTGTTAATGAAATAAATCAATCTTTGTAATTGTATTTCCTTCGCCGCAATTCTCATTTGTGTTCTGCTATTGTAAACATATCACATTTCCTTCTCCTACCATCGAATTCACTTTTTCTTTGCTTTTCTTTTAATTTTGATATTTTCTTGTTTCACTTTCTACTTTGGTCCACGGTTGAAAAATGTTAAAAATCTCTCGTCGCACTTCTTGTGCTTCTCTGTTCAAACTCTGAATGATAACTGACTCAACGACAGCGAGACGACTCATTTTTGTATGGAGAATAGAGAATGAAGAAAGATTCATAACACTGAACAGATGATTCGGTCGTTAGAGCGCATGAAGCTTTAGTGAAACATGTGAGTTGACTGAAAGAATTTTCGCAAAGCATTTTCTTATCAACAAAATTCCGTTGAGTGCTTATTAAATTGAAATGTGAAGTTTTCAGAATCCTTAGAGAGATTTCAAGTGCTCAAGATTGAAATCGATAGCAGAACAGAATTTTTAGATTTGATTGAATATTAAAATGCAATTTTATGATTGAATTCTTACAAATTCTCAAGATATCAAAATTTGATTTGTTCCTCTACATTTACTAAAGCCGATTTTCCCATAAATTCTTGTGACCTGAAATAAAATGAGGGATTTGTTGGGTAACATATTGAAGAAAAATCGCCTTCTTGAATGCATTCACTCGAAACATGCCAATCAAGCTTTCCGAGTCAATAAAAAATCCTTAAATTGAACAACTTTACGACAAGGTTCTCTTCCATTGCCCATTGAAAAGGAACTAAAACTTGTTCAGGTTGTAAAACATAAAAGAATAAAATGTTAAGTTTGTAAACTTGAATTGTATCGACTTTATTTCATGAAGTTTCTCTGTTAAATTTAAAAGCTCAATGTTGGTTGACGTTTGTCAACAACATTCTAATTAAAATTTGATCTTCGCTTCAATGACAAAACAAAGTGCTATTCACTTAATTGCAGGAATTGAAACGATGCTCTAGATGTTGATGACACTTCAGATAATGAGACATGAAGTTAAAGTGCAACTTATTATTAGTCTACGACTTCAAGACTTTCAAATCTACTTAAAATCTTAAACTTGACCATGAAAAATATTTTGTTGAACTAAAAATAATTGCAAATAATAACAAAACAGAAACTACTCGTAAAACTTTATTGTTCATTCGAAATAATCATCTGAGAACATTTTAACGCTCCATGAACTTCTTAGAAACTTTTATGAACTTAAATTGAAACAAATCTGGAAATATTTTAACTACCTTCAATGTTTAAGCTGAGATTTTTGTGCTTCAAACTTTTAATGCATGAAATGATTATAAAAACTACAAATGTTAAAAGCAGAAGAATTTCACGTCGATTGACAATGTAATTAAGTTTAAAATAAGATTATTATCAGATGTGGGAGTGAGTTTGTTTTATATTTAACAAGATTAAAAATGTAATCTTCTTCAAAACGCGGACGAGTGCAATAAAAGTTAAAAACCAGCATGAACGACTACAACACTTGCCAGCTCTGATGGGATTTCCTGAAGATTAAAAAAATGTTCAAGTTTTTTATGAAAAATTTCCTGCAGTATTTTTATAGCATGGACGTGAAGAACGAAAAGCTTAACATGAAACACGAGATAAGCAAAGTAGTTAAAAGCTTTTAATACGGAAAAACGCTTTATTGCAGCAAATTTGTTCTACTTGAATGTCTAATAACGCTTAATAAAATTAATCCTTTTTCATCATCGCTTACTTTTAAAACAACTTTTAGGTTTATGGAACATTCTACCCATGCATGTGAATGAATTTCAGGTGCAAATTATGGAGAAAATGTTTAACTGCATTGCAGAGTTGATCCTAGCACTTTTGATGACTCTAAATTGTTCTACATTTACGGTTACAACACTTGTATCAGATTTATAATAAAAGTTGTTGGATCCTAGGAATAAAACTTTATGAAGCTTTCTTTATCTAGAACTGCTTTCGGAAACATGAAATAAATTTAAACTGTTCTCATAAAAATTAAAAGAAACTTTTATTGAGAATCCTTCCAAATTATTTCCAATGCGATAAAAGAAACAACATTTAAGACAACAAAATAGTTAAATTGAATCAATTGCTATTGAAATTGTTTCTCTGTCTGTTACAAATTATCACTCTAAATAATCTAACTTAGTTCAAATAGATATTTTACTGACATTAATATCTTTTCTTTTCCATCCGACCCTAAAAACTTTTCGCAAATGTTTAATTAATTGAGTTGTTTAAACAAGCCTCCATTATACATTGTTTGTTTTGAAGACTGCCAACTGCCATTGACAAGATGCCATAGCATTAATGTAATTTGAGAGAAATGCTTTCATTAACAAGAAAGAGAAATTGATATCAATTTGCGTTGATACTGAAGAGCTTTCACATGTTTAGAACCTAAGAACGTGGATTTATCAAGTGTGTGTGTGTGAATGAACCTTGTTAAGCTTTTTAAAGGATGTCAAGCAGAGTTGGGATTTGACTGACTGACTGACAGACATTGACTTGTCAGTCTTTCAGTCAAACGACTTGAGCGGAACATTTATATGAACGTTTCCCAACAAACGAATATTTTTGTTCGCGATTTTGACTGACTGACTGACTGACTGACAGACATTGACATGTCAGTCAGTCAGTCAATCGAGGTGAACGGAACATTTGCCCATCTCTGATGTCAAGTGTTGAAGTGTTTACTCAAAAGAAGAATGAAAACTTAAAAAAGACGAACACAACATTCAAATTCATTTTATTGCTTTTCAAACAAAATCAATTTCATCGCATATTGTCGTAAATTCGAAACTCAATTTTCATGATGGTATTTGACGCTTCTGAACAACTTTTCGCAATAAATATGTCTTCATATTTCGATGTTATCCAAAAGTCAATAGCAGTGTCAACTTTTTCATTTAATTGAGCAATAAAACGATAAGAAAATGCGTTGCGAAAATTCTTTCAGTTGACTCACATGTTTCGTCAAAGCTTCATGCGCTCTAACGACCGAATCATCTGTTCAATGTTATGAATCTTTCTTCATTCTCTATTCTCCATACAAAAATGAGTCGTCTCGCTGTAGTTGAGTCAGTTATCATTCAGAGTTTGAACAGAGAAGCACAAGAAGCCGAAAGTGCGACGAGAGATTTTTAACATTTTTCAACCGTGGACCAAAGTAGAAAGTGAAACAAGAAAATATCAAAATTAAAAGAAAAGCAAAGAAAAAGTGAATTCGATGGTAGGAGAAGGAAATGTGATATGTTTACAATAGCAGAACACAAATGAGAATTGCGGCAAAGGAAATAAAATTACAAAGATTGATTTGCTTCATTAACACGAGCTCAATTAATCGACTATTAGCAGCAAACATTTAATTTGAGTTTTTCATAAGGTTAAAAGGTTTGAATTATTTCGAAGCATTAATCGTAAATTAGAAATCAAGTTGACAAAAAATGTTTTATAAGATAGCTTCAATTATGAGTTTATAGATTAAAGGAAATGAAATTTAATTAAATTATTTTTTACCTAATTATATTTAATCATAATTAAAATTAGGAGAGAAAAAAAAGTTGAAAGTTAGAAGCTCTAAGTTTGCACCTTAATTCATCGCTAAGACAATTTTTAAAGCTTCTACTGCTTTTCAAGTCGTGGAGTGACTCTTCATGACATTAATTATAAATTTTTATTTGCAGATATAAAACTTCCAACTTTTATTATTTCCTTTTAAAAGTTGACAAGTTTTTCATTTCATCTCAACATTTCATTTATAATTTATTTTTAAACTTTATGTTGTTTACTCACTTGTAAAAAGATTCAATTTTGGTTGATATAATTTGAATCTATTTGAAAAGTCTTAAAAGTTTTAAGGAAATGTTTTAAGACGGAAGAGGAAAGATGAGGTTGCATTATTAATTAGTTTTACGATGAAAACGTTCAAGTTGAAAGATTTACGATTGACTTCTCAATTAGCTCCCTTTTTACGGTCATTAAATCAGTATCCCTAAACTCAAACAACCTCAATTCAGTTGAGGATGTTATGAAAAGATTTATTTTGTGTCAAAACAAGTAGAAAAACTGTGACTATATGCACTGTAACAATAAATATCCATGAAAATCAACGGAAAGGTCAGAACTTTCAACATAATAACTTGAAATATTCAATGAAGTTGATTAAAGGCGAACAAAACTAAATAAATCTTCAATAATTCGATTTCCATTTACGACCCGCCCTAAGGAAATATTTTTTATTTTCATTTTTCCTCTTACCACCAAATCTTCGTCTATACAGCCCGCTTGATAAATCTTTATTGTTTGATAAACACTTATTTTAGATATCTAACAAAAAGAAGAAGAATGATAACCAAAAGCGTTATTATGGTAATCATTCTTTTTTCTATCCCACTCGCTTGCTCGTAAATTAATCGCGATTGCCTTCATTATCACCAATAAAAAATCGTTTTTCTAAATCTTTAATTTTCCATCACCAAAACAACAAAGTTTCAACGCTGGATCCAAAAGCATATTACGGTGGAAATATTAGAATAGTCAATAATGAAGAAGAAGAATATGATTCAGAGGATTATAATCCGGTAGCAACCGAAAATCTACCTGACAAATACATTGTGGAGCTCACAAAAGCGGCAGATGATAAAATTGAAAATGTGATAAAGTCTACAACGGTTAACATAACAACTACGACGTCAATATATGATTTCCAAGGTAAATTTTTCTGATACGATGATGCATTTCGAATATTTATTTTACACAGAAAATATCATATTAAGTTATCCTTTCTGAAAATTCGTGTTTGTAACTGAGCCAAAGCTTTTGTAGCCAAACAGCATTGTTATGAGAAATTAGATAACGTTCAATTATAAATGAATATTTAATACAGTTCAGACACATGATACATGTACACATAAAATTAATTAATTTTAGGGCTCATAGAGTTGAAGTATGCTACATTGTTGCAACAATTTCATAAACAAAAACGCTTCAATGTTTGAGTCACTAAACCCGTAATTAATTTTGAATGTGAATTTTCTTGCTAATTATTTCCATTGCGAAGTTTACATTTAAACCATCTGCTAAAGCCGTTGAAATAAATGAATTTAATCACTCAAAAGCTGAGATGAAATGTTGAAAAAATCCATAAAGCTTCAAACTAAAAAACAAGAGAGAAGAATGAACTGATTTAAAATTGATTGAATTGTTGACTTTCACTGAATAGATTTGAGAGGTTTAACACAAAATCCACAAGCCACATGAATGATAAACTATTCTTGATAAACAATGAACTTTTGGAAAAGAGTTTTTCAGAGTGTCAGATTGAATCGTATGCAAATTATGTTTGTGAATAAATTAGATGCAGAATCAAATATCAAATAGAATTCTTCGCAAATAAATGTCATAATGTGATAGTTTTGGAAACCGAAAGTCTGTGGTAAATAGGGAGAAATCTTGTGGATTAAGACAAATCCTTTCAGTGTCAAATAAAACAAACCTTGTTGTTTATATTTTATTAAAAGAAACTTTCTTCCACTGAACCATAAAATCTCTGAACAAAAAAAATTCTTGTACAGAAATCAGCAACATAAATTTCTTCATCGTGTAATCCTTTCGAAATATTAAGCTTCAGTTAAAGCTTCTTATTTAATATACCAAAGTCGGTTCAGTGGTCGGCTAAGACTATGTTAGACTACGAATAAAGACTTGTTAAATTTGAAATTCAAAGAAGGAAATCTCATGAGACCGATCATCTCACGATTAGACATTTTTCGAATAAATCTCGGATGTTCAGTGAAAGATTTTTCAAAAGAAACTTTTGCATATCAAATTTAGCTTTTCCTCTCACATTTCTTAATCCCATTTGAAGTTTGAGAAGCTGTTGGCTTGTAAAATAATTTTTATCTACGTGAGTAAAATGAAGAAGCTGCAATCAATCCCACACAACACATTGATTGATGATTCTGTGACAGCAAATGAATTTGTTTAACGTATCATGATTTATAACCGACATCAATTCATTCTTGTTGCAGGAAATAAAATTATTATACGCCCCGAAGAAGCCCTCATTGTAATTTTGGTCCTTATCCTTTGGATTGGAGCGATCGGTCTCTTCTTTCATCGATGGGGAAAAATCAGAATGTTGGAGCCGTACACGCCGAAATTTGAAGCTGAACTTCATCGACCCAGTTGTCCCCTTACAAGTATCGAAGCCGTTGCTGTCGCCAATAAGAGAATGTCGCTTGGGCCACTTAATGCTATTCAATGTGGCTCATGGAATCCCAATGGAAATGCAAGACAGTCGTTAGGGCGAGGTAGAGTAATAAAAAACCCGCATTACATCTACGCAATATTCTCAAGAATTTTTCTTTCTCTCGACAGTATACTCGCCTTATTCTCGTCCTCGTTTGAATTCAGTATTCGTTGGACCTCATCTTTTTTCACCGCCACAACCCCCGAGGAAGACAAAGTCTGCTGTCGACATTCATTCATTACTCCTTGAAGCTGAATGTGAAGTTTAGCTTTGAAGTCTTCTTTTCACTTTGTTTTGAAGAACGGTTTTTAGCTTTAAACAATGAGAAACTTTAAACTTTTATCAACTGCAAAAGTAGTTTTAAACAAGCATTCATAACCAACATCACTAAATCTAAATAATTTTATTTTCAATTAGCCTGTCGCTTTAATCTTTCTAATTGTCTATCGATCGTAATCCTATCGCTCTTATCTCTGATTGAAAGAAGCTTTCAAATGAGTTTCTTTATTCTACATAAGCATGATGAAAAGTAAATTATCTTGATGACAGATGTAGTGACTTTAACGTCGCAGTTGGAATAAAATAAACCAAAGATAAATGAACAAATTTCCATTAAAGAGAAACCTAAAATTTCAATCGAAAAGAATTTTAACCTTTACTTTACCTTTGATAAGAAATCTTTAAAGTTTAATTAAAGTTTAGAAATCGAAATCATATCTTTCTCTTCTATTAAATACATTTCACTTCCAATTCTCCTATCATTGTAAAACTTAATGAACGTAAGCGTCACCTCTAAAAGAACTAACGAAGAACTTTCGAAACTTGTGCCAAATAATAAATTATATTCGTGTGAAAACTGATATCAAAAAAACAAATCGATTCTGTTTTTTTATGAATCTTTTAAATTTTTATTGCTGGAAGTTACTCAAAGCTTGAATGTAGAAGTTTCTTGGTAAACTGACAAGGTAATCTGACCGAAAATTGTTTGGGTGTCAATGAAATTTCTCCTGAAGACGATTCGAAATGTAATTTCAATTCCCAGCTTGAATTGAAAAGAATTTATAAAGCAACATTTTGATGTTCTTAAAGCATTTTATGATAAGAAATTTCAAGGTTTCTCTTCGTCATCGGAAGCAGGAGAAGTTTGTAATTTGTGTCATTTATTAAATTTTTAAAATACTTCCTTTCAAGCAGATTCTTTTAAACTACATCAAAGTCAAAGTAAATGAAATTGCGAAAATACTTGAATGAATGACCGAATCTGTCCACAAAAATGGCCAACAGCAAATAGCATGATCACCATGGTATGAAATTGTTATTTTATCTCATTAGACTCTCTTCTTCCCTGATTGTGGGTGGATGTTTTTTTTCTTCTTCTCGTTTCCGTTTTTATGGTTCCATAAATTTGACAGAGATAAATAGCGCTTCTCAGATTATTTGCTTCTCTTTGAATTGCTTTTTCCTTTATTTTTTTATAAAATTTTTCATTGGTGTTATTGCATTTCCAACCCCGATACAAACATCGTCAATGTCTTCTTTCTCCTTGTCTCTTTGTCATGCTTTTAAACTTGGGATCTTCTTATTCGTTCACTGTCAACTCTCTACATTAAAGCTCTTGAAAGAAACAGCTGATAATGAATGAGACGACCGATGTGAACAAAGTGTGATGGGAATGGGGACGTTGACACATTAATTTTATCAAAAACGAATCCCTTTTCATGAGAAAAATCTCTTCTGACTTTTGTTGGAAATGACTTTCAATTAAGCATCAAAAGCGTCAAAATTCCCTTTCTTTGTCATCCTCGTTACTTTATTTTTATATGTTTAAAGGAGCTGCAGTCTCTTTTCTTTAAAAATTTTCATTTTGTTACAATGATAATAATTTTTCTTTTTGTTATATCTCCGAAAAGTTCTTTTTTCTTGTGTCGAAAATGCAAAAGTAGATTTCCCTTGCACAAATCAGATTTTAATGCAAATTTTATGTACAATCATTAAAAAGGAATGCTGTTGGAAATTTATGGTTTAATGTTAAGCTTGGTTTGAAGGAAATCTTGAAACAATGATTGAAGTTAAAGATTGCAGAATATTTTCATTAAAAGAGTTATAAATTCAAGAAACATTCTGAAAATGTCTAACAAGAGATCCTTTGAAAGGACAAAATCTACATTTATTTAGAATTTAAATATTTTAAGATATTTTAGATGTAAAGTGAACAAACCAAATCTAAAAAGCTATTCAGGGAAATTTGCAAATGTTTTTATTTTTTGTTTACTAAAAACGTTTATGCAAAGTATGAACCTTTCGATTACAACGCTTGAAGTCTTTCAATCTTTTCTGAATATTTTTATGCCATAAAAACTGAATAGCTTTGTATCAAACCGAATGAAAATTCAACTCCTTCATCTAACATACACAACATAAACATTCATTTCTTTTCAATGGATGATAAGATGCAAAGAAAGAACTCATAAAAATGAACAATTTTTTATCATCACAACAAAGAACACTTAAATATATTCAAGGATGAATAAAAACCATTATTTTCATAAATGAAACTGATAAAAAATGTGACGAAAATTGTCGTTGATATCAAATAAAAAATATTTATGAGATTTACATGATTTAATGTACAGAAATGAGTCAATAAATATTGTAATGGGAAAATCTTTTTCGATCTCTTTATTAGTTTGTCATCATCAAATATTGTGGCAAGAATCTCCGCTTGGATGCTTCTTAACACAAATATTTCCAAGTCTCTTCAATGGAGTGCATGTTCGAGGTCAGAAAGTTTTAACTGGAACGAAAACTTCTGGAAAAAAACTTTCTCTTTCGATCAAACAATAAAAATTCTCTTTAAAGCATTTGTTCCGGTTTTTAAAGCTTTTCAGAAGCTTCCCAGCATTCCATCATTATTTAACTCATGATGTTCGAAGCACACAAAAGCGATCAAAATTAATGTATTAATGGAAAACTTTCTATTATGTTCCTTTTTCCTCATCTCTTGACTTCAAACATTATCAGTTTTCATCAGATCGCAATTGATGGAGTGAAATCAGCATGATGGGGAAATGATGTTGAAAATGAATGAGCTTTTGACTCAACTTTAAATCGACTGAAAACAGACTAAATAAAAAGAAACATTCCTCCCACTTTTTATCCATTCAAACCTTTGTCATGCTTAAAGAAATGTTTTTTCATTCTTTAACGCCTGTTGTTGATTTATGAACACGATTATTGGGTAAGAAAGAAAAATTGAGATTTTTTTTATTGTACTAAGAAGAAGGAGGGAAAATATTTTATGCATGTTTCTGGTCATGAAAAGAAGCTTTCTGCTGAATATCAAAAGCCTCGGGATATGAAAATGTCAGATGCTTTCATTTTTATTTGCTTCCCTTAATGAAGCTCTTAGTTGGAATACTTTTGATAAATTGTTGTTGATTCCTTCATTAAAAATTAATCTGAAAGACAATCAAAGATTTAAAAGCAATCATTTAGGTTTTGTTTTATTATTTTATCCTGTATATATATCTTTTTATTTCAATTTTTCATCATATATACTCATCATAGGTTTTTGTTGTTTTTGTGTTGAATTTTTTGTATCATTAATTTATTTTACAATGAATCAGTCACGGTACGGCTAAGTTTTTTCAATGAATTCACTTAGTCATCTCATCGTGAGAAATTAATTAAAGTTTTTCTTTTTTTTATTTTTCTGATCAACCGATTTTTAATTTCTTTTTTGTAATATTTTTCCTCTTTTTTTTATTTGGGACTTAACAAGTTTCAATTGAGAGGATGTTAATTAATTAATTAACCATCTTATCTTCCATTGTATGTTCAGGCTGATTACACATAATCTTAAATTCACATTACTTGTGAAATGAATTGAAAGGGGTTGGAATTAGATTTTTAGTTGTTTAATTTATTGATTTTAACTTCACTGAATCTTCGAACCTACCGAAGAAAGCCACTCGCTTAATAAAGAATCGTAAATTATCATTAAACCTCGTATGATGATTTTCATTAAAAATTAAATCAATGTGAATTAACTTAAGTATCTAAGAATATTCTTTATTCGTCGTCGTTTAGTATAAATCATAATTAATTTAAATAAGTATTTAAATCTCGGTGATAAATTCAGTTATCTTTCGATATTTTTATGCTTCATTTTAATTCTTATTCGTAAATTTTTAACTTCGAACCGACAAAGAAACGTTTGATGATTTATTCACTAATTTTATGTAATTTTTATGTAATATAAAGAACACAGCCCACCTTTACGTCATCTAATGACCTTCCTATTAGTTTTTTAAATTGTATCGAATTTTTTTTGCTTCTTTGACAACATTAAAAAAATTTGTTTCATTTAAGTTATCAACTTCATATTTTCTTTTTCATAAAATCAGGATTTGATTTTCATTCTCTTTTAATCAATTAGAGGAAAATTAGCTTCAAAAAGTTTTTAAAATAATTGTGAATAGATTATGACGTGAGTTTAAATTAAAAAGCTTGTTTAGGAGTAAAAGTAAAATCGCTTATCCTCAGTAAAGTTTTTAAAGAGACAAAAGCTTCAGGATGAAATTGCAAAATTTCGATGATCATTATCCTTAAAACTTTGCCTTTCAAAATCCAATGACAAGCACATAGAGAATTTTCTGCCGTTCCCAGTGGATGTGAAATAACTAACATACAATGAACATTAATTGTTTTTCATTTTCCAATCCATAAATCATGAAGTCTTTAAGTCTAGATGAGAGAGACAGTGATTATTTTGTTTTTACCAGCCTTTAAATTTCATTTCATTTATTTTTTCTTTAACTTTGTGATTTCACATGAATTTTTTTAGAACATCAGAAATGGCCAAACATTGAAGAAGGAGCTTATGAGGGGGCAATTTACTTCATTTGATGGTGGTCAAATGGATCTGAGGTTTTCAGAAGTTTAGTTGCTTCGGCTACTTAGTATTCCTTGGACTTGCTTTTTAGATTTGCTTCAGACTTGCTCTGGTTTTACTTATCAAAATCGTACAAAATGTGTTCCATTTTCAACAGTGTTCCTAGTCTTTGTTCTCGCATTGTTCGCCTTGATGTGAGTATCAATTCGACACAAAGCGATTAAAGCCAGGTTACTGCTTAAGTGAAACACGCTCGTTTTGAGCCGAAGGATCTAAACTTCACCTTGCCTCATTAACGGGGTTCAAACCAAGGACCTACGAATTGGATTGCCAACACAAGTGCCCTGAGCCAATGAAGTTAAATGAAAAATGAGGTCGCATGGTGATAAAATCAGCCCAACGTTACTAGAGGTTATTACTTTTTGGACCTTGTGAGGATGAAAAACGGTCGACAGTGACTTGTCAGCACAGAACCAATTTCATAGAGATTGAATAGTGTTGTCATTTGCCACTATGACCATTGCCCTCAAATGCTTTGGCATCAGATGGTGGATCCTATATGGGCCTGTCCTTAATCTGATGATGATGGGGAGTTTATGAAACTATTTGCAGATATTTATGATTATCGGTAATAGGAGAACGTTTCTCTGTATTTATCTTAAACTTATGTTGTTTTTCAGAAGTTGGAAAAAATTATTTCGTTTGTCGTCTTAACTTTCCTATAAAGTTTCAGTTTCGGTAAGAAAATAATTTTTCTTTTCATGGCGTATCTATCAGAAAAATGTTTACGAGTTGTACGTGTACAAAAATATTTTTTATTCTTTTTTTTCTATTTTCTTCATCTCATCATTGTCTTTGAGGACTTTCGTGTGGGAATTATGAATTGTGATCGACTGTGAGCAAATTATTTTCATTTCTTTATGTTTTAACCATCGCGATGGACTCTTTGTCTTACCAGTTTCAAAAGTATTTGTTTCAGAAAATATAATTTAATTTGTGGATATCGAAATGTTACAAATTCCCTTCTGATAAATATAAAAGAAATAAATGAAAATTCCTTTTTGTTAGCTAGAATATTTTGTGAAAATGAAAAGGTTTTCTTTTTACGAGAATATTTTCAATTCATTTTGAACACTTTAATTAGAAGATTAAAGATGAAAAATAAGAGAATTTGAATGAATTTACAAGTTAAATATGCTTCAAGATTTGTTGCTGTATAATAAATATTCATGTTATTTTATGTTACTATATAAATATTATTCTGATGAAGTTTGACAATCTGTGTTTGTAATTAAGCATCAAACTTTATTTCTTTGCTGTATAAATACAAAACTTGACTTTTTCAAAGACTTTATGTTGAATAAGGGACTACAAATATGATTTTTTAATCTTTTTTCATTTCTATTTTGTATGTTTAAAGAGAGTTTTAAAAAGGTTAATAAGACATTATAATTTAATCATCATTTGTATTTTCTCGGTTTATTACTCTTTAAATTAAATTTTTGTAATGCTTTCTTGTTTTCATTTTAGATTTCCTTCATGTTGCCTTTGTCATCAAAGTTAATTAATGCACTTTCTTATGTACTTCATCATCATTGTTAAAAGGTGTAAGAAGAGAAAGGAATTTCAGGAAGAATTAAAAATTGTTTGTTGTTAGCAATATTCATCCAATGTTTGACCATCAATCTTCAATCATTTTTAAACTTTCTTTTGATTTAATTCATGTTGATTTTTTGTTATGCAAATCATGCAATTTTTAATTCTTTTTCTAGTTAATTATTTTGTTTAGATCATACAAAAAGATTAATGAGAAGCAAATGAGAATGGCTTAAAGTCATAAATTCATCATCATGAAAGAATTTGTTGATGTGACAAAGCCAAATGAGATTTGAAACTTTTGAATGATACTAAAGGTACTTTTGTAGGTAATTTTTAATCTCTTGTCATTGTTGCATCAATTGTCGTAATCCAAAACGAAAGTTTTCTTCTCTTAACAGTTTCTCAGGATGATGAAAATTGGAATCAAAATTATTTGCAGCTTCTAAGTTTTTACTTTAGACAATAAAGTGGAAAAGTTATTTGTGAAATTTTCACTAAGTTAAAGTAAATAATCCCGAAAGCGGAACTCGATATATAAACATATGAAGGTCTCTTTAAGAACACATCTGACTGATAAGATAGAAAAACTTAAATAATAGCACAAATTCTTTGTTTTGTTTTGTGATATTAAACTTTTTATTTTGCATTAATTTTTAGTTTCATTTTTTTTTGTCTCACAGATTTCTTTGTCCATATTGTAATTAATATGTATTCACCAAATAAACTTCTTTCAATTGTTTGTCTCACTTAACACTTAATTTCATTTCCATTAAGTGTACAGTTGAACATTATCAAAGTATTTTGTTACATTGTTTACGTTATGATACGAAGAAAACATATCGCCAATGTTATTTACTTGACATGACTTCACGATTAATTTTTTTTATTATTTTTTTCGATATCTGAGAAGCTTCGATAACTTTACGCTTGAAGCTTAAACTGAGTATTTTCTTTAAATATAAAATCGTCATCAATTTTCAAGTCAAAACAACTGCAGTTCTTCTTTCTGATATTTAATCTGTGAAATATTGTTAACATCAATATCATAATAAATATTGTGATAACGTTTGATGACAAAATGACATGTCGCAGCTGTCAAGGTTTAAAAACTAATGGACGAAATGTTTCCTTTAGTAATCTTTTTATTATTTTTCTTTAGTTCTGTTCAGCACTTAAGAAATATTTCTTTCAATTTCATTTTTAATACAAAAAATACACATTTTTACACAATAACTTTCTATCGTTCTTCATCAATTTTCTTCTTCATCTTTTTTTAATTCTTCTTCTCAAAGTGAAACTTCTAATAATTTGTATGTGTGTGGTTTTGCCTTTGAACTAAAATAGAGGTATTTCTATTTTTCACCGGTGTCAACTCTTTTCATATCAGCTCACATCAGTTAACAATGTGAACTAACTTTGCAAAATTTCAACCCCCGGATCTGCTTTGTATTCTTATTTCGTATCCGTAATTTTTTTTCTGTTTTTTAACATTTTTTTTGTTTTATTTATTTATTTAATTATCATTATTCCCTTAGATCTCTTGCGAAATTAAAACTGTACATTTTATTAATCTGTTATATTAATTTTACTTTTTCTCAATTGTTTTGTGAAACTCTTAAGCTGCTCGATTAATGAAAAAAAAAGAAGAATTCAGAACATTACCAAAAATTAATTTATTTACATTGCCTTGAGAATTACGAAAAAGTTTTTCTTTTTTAAATGTCCTTAATTATTAGAAAACAACGAAAACTTGATTAATAAAAAATTACAATCATCACAATAAAGGTTTTTTTTCTCTTCTCATATTTAGTTCTGTGTTTGTTTTTTTTTTCTTTTTTTAATAATTTTTCGTCAAATATTTTTATTTTTTAATTTACCCAACTCGTCGTCATAAAAATTGTGTCACTGTGAGTTGACGGGGATTTCTAAAATCGTATATCACTCGTGGTTAAATTTTAGTTTTAAACTTGGATAATTGTTTTAAATTTAATGTTCCTGATACATCATGTTTAGAACATGCCCTGGATTTAGTAACGCTTATGCTAGTCGGAGAGCAGCTTTTGAAGGAGAAGTGACGAATTCTTCTGGTCACCGGTTCGTTCCTCCAAAGAAATCTGGAAGATGATAAAAGATTTTTTATTAAAACAATAGATTAAATGGAAACATTAAGTCACGTCACTTCAAAGAAAGCTTTTTTGTGAGCTTTTCAAAGCTCTTTGAAAACTTTCGTTAAAAAGCTTTTTGGAGTTTTGCTTTTTATAATTATCAATTGTGACTCTCTTCAAATCTTCAAACTCAAAACATGCAAACAAAAACGAACGACAATAACAACAACAAGAATAATAAGAACAAATACATTAAAAATAATAAAATTCAACTCAAAGGATAAGCGGAAATTGCAATTTAAAAAGAAAATTATAAAGAAATAGAAAACAAATTGAGAATCTCTTTTGAAGTTAATCAAAAAGGACAATAAAAAAATATTATGAATAAATATGAAAATAAAAGAAACTTTCACGATCATCAAAAGTAAATAAAAAATAAATAAATAAAAACTTAAGAGACAATCAACGAGCTTTAACACGTGTCACGTCTTACCCGTGAATTGTTTGAATTTCCACTCCATTGAGTTGCAAGCGGGGGAGCTGTCAATTTGGTGTCAACATTTGTTGTACCTAGTAGATTTGACAGCAGTTAAATAGATAAAACAAAGGTAAAGGAGAGAAAAAGACGATTCCAGAATATTCAAAGAGAAGAAAAAAAGAGAAAATTCGATGAATCAAAAATTTGTCTTGAATGTTGGGAATGTAAAGAAGTCGCTGTTTGAATTGCCAGTAAATGTTTTTTCTTTCTAAATATTTAATATCGTCTAATAAATATATAAAATGTTTGTTGCTTACCTTCAGGCATGTTAAAGTTAAATCTCATAGATGAATCTAAGTCAGATGTGTTCATCAGGTTGCTAGACAATTGCTGCTGCTGCTGTTGTTGCTGGCTTATCATAAGGTTATTGTTTGGATTATTATTGTTGGTGTTAGTATCAACAAGAGTTCCGCTATTTGGTCCCATTGCGTCAAGTGGACTCGTGAGATTCCGGCGGATATTGTTGTTGCCATTGTTAGCGTTTCCTCCAACATTTGACTGTTGTGTGCGTCCACTAACAACTGCTCTTAGTCCCTGTCGTACCATTTGAGATGAGTTCAGGCCATTATTTGTTCCACCTTAAAAGAAATTCACGAAATTTTCCTTCATTAGATTCATTTGATCGACAATGACATGGACAAAATTCAACATCACATTCAGTGTAATTATTATTAACATTTAAATGATGATTTGTAGATTTGTTTTCAATCCTTTTCTTCATCCCGAACATCTCGTGCCAGAACAAAAACCAAAAAAATATTTTCAAAATTTTGACTCTCTTCACGAAACTTTTTTTTTATATCAAAAATGTTCTTTTTGTGTTCCCGCATTCAGCTCGATTGCGTTGGATTATGTGATGACGTCGATTGATTGAGGAAAAGAATAACAATAAAAATTGATTGTGCATTTCCCGACAAAAACAAAAAAAGAAAGAAAGAAAACTTTTCTTCTTTCTTCTTCAACTCCCATTGGTGGATGGAAAATGTTAGTGACAAAAAAAAAAACATTTGCAAGAGTTTGATGAACATGATAATGAAAGTGTTAATATTGATGAAATTCTTTTTGACTTTCCATATATACAAGTAATGAATGTCGAGCAACACGACAGATATATTAATGTTATTTACAGAGTTTCATTCAAGGGGGGAATTGGGGGAGTGCAAGACACATAAACTTCATTTCTTCCTCTTTCTCCATCTCCATCTCCGCCTAACATTACAAACATTCATCTCACCAGAAAATCAAATCGTTTTTTGAAATGTACAACATCGAAACAGAACAAAAATAAGAAATGACTTTGATGATAGTGGTGAGTTGATGAGTGGGTGGAAAAGTGAAGGTTTGGAGATTATGATGAGTGTGGAAACATCCTTTTTGCTGTTGCAGATTGAGATTGAGAAAAGAAGACGACAATGAGAGAGAGAGAGAGAGAGTTCTGATCCTTACCAGTCTGATTGACACGACCATAAAAGTTATTACCCCCCAGCACATTGTACATGTTCATTCCATTAATGCCGTAGCCACTTGGGCCGTCGGGAAGGCCCGGTCCGAAAGGACGTGGCGAGCCTGTTAAATAAATTCACATTCATCTTATCAACCAATTTTGTTTAATTTGTTTTTATAAGCTTGTTGAAGCTTTCATCGGTGTTGCTTGTGTCGATCAAAATCAATTCAGTTGAGTTCAAGAAATCGAAGTTTTTAGTTTTATTTTAAAAATCATCGATAATGATGGTGAATCATTCATTATCATGGAAGTAAATGTTGAGATAGTTACCTGGTAAATGTTGGGTGGCTTGAGGTATGCTCTGTTGACGTTGAAGTCTCAATTGTTGTTGGTTGAAGAGGGTGTTGTTATATTGTTGCTGTTGCTGCTGTGTAGCAGATGGACTTGGAGGTTCAGGGAAGCTATCCTGACTACTAAAACTGTTTTGACGTGCAACAGGTGTTCCTGGTGAATTAAGAGAACGTTGTCGTTGGGCACTGAACTGTCGTTGATTTGCAAAGGCATTCACGTTCTGTTGCTATAGAAAATTTAAATCAGTTTAAACTTAAAACTTCTTTCATTTTCTTAAGCTCACCGATAATTGAGTACTCAACATTGGATTATTTTGTTGAATATTCAATCGATTGTTGTTGGCAGCCGATTGTTGGTTCCATGTTGCAGGATTTGATTGAGCTTGATTGGCTGACTGTTGAGTGAAAGGTGGTTGACGTGGTGACAACTGAGAAGTGTTACTTCCATTCGAGTTATTCCCTTGAAAGCTTCCCAACAGTTGTTGATTTATTTGCTGTTGTTGTGGTGAAAGTCTTTGTCCACCATTTGAGTTGAAAGGATTTTGTTGAAAATCTAAATTTACAAAAAATTTACTTAATGAAATTCTTGCAATTTTTATAAATTAATTTCTCACTTTGATTTGCTTGAGGACTAAACGGAGTATTTCCTCTTGGCTGATTAGGACTCAGCTGTTGTTGCATGAGAGACTGGGTGAAGTTTGGACTTAATTGTGAGTCAGGAACAACAGAACCACGACTCGTAAGCGTCACATTTGGAGCGACTGTGTTGTTCAATAAAGAATCAATGTTTTGTACGCCGGGATTTGGGAGACCTAAATTAAGTGTTGGAGAAATTAATTAAATGTAATGAAAGTCGATTTAAAACTTACATATTTGATCAGCACCAGCCGTAACAACAATCTGCTGGTTTTGTTGTTGCTGAAGTAATCTCTCCTTCTGCTGCATTTGTAACATTCTTTGATGTTGTTGTTGAAATTGAAGTCGCTGCATCATTAAAGCATTTGGCTGCTTTGTTGCTGTCTGTTGACTGTTCGTTGCTTGGGCAACTGTGGTCGTATTTGAATTTGTCACGACGTTGTTACTCGTAACATTCATTGGTAATCTAATATTTCGTTGGTTGTAACCTGGTGGTGGTTGTTGATTAAATCCTTGTTGAAGTCTATTTTGAGCTGTTAATCCATGAATCGGATAAGCTGGTGGACTTCCAGTGAAATTATCTTCATTCTCACATTCCATCAACGATTGTTGAATTTTATTGATCTGCGCCAATTCTTCTTGTTGTTTAAGCTGTGCACTGGCGTTTTCTGTCATCTGTTGTATACTTAAATTGTATTCGCCAAATGTTCCTTCATCGAATTCAATGAAATTATCGAGAATGTCATTCAATTCCGGATCCCATTCAGCTTGTTGAATTGTCGAAGATGATGCTGGCGCTGAAGTGATTGATGGCGTTGAACTGACAAATTGTTGAGTGTCAAATGATGCACTGTTAGACTGTGTTGTTGTCGCAAGTAAATTACCAATAGCAACACGATTAGCTGCAAGTTGTTGTTGCTGCAGTTGCTGATTTTGAACTTGAGCGAGGTAAATGTTTTCGCCAACTTTCACGTTTGTACCTTGAACAGTTCGCATTTGCGTCATGGGTTGTTGTCGAGTCAACTTTTGCTGTGTTGATTTTAAGTTGTTGTTCTTTGTCGCGGAATTATTATTATTTGTGCTTTTAACTGTCGTTGTCGTCTGTTGGTTTGGTGTCGAAGGTTGACTGCCTAATGGTGATGGCAATCCACCTTCCTGTCTCGTCTTAAACTGCGATGGAATATCAGGCATCATTCTCACCGCTGGCAATTGAAGATTCGGTGAACTAATAGGACGACTTGGACATGCTAGCAGTGATGCCAACATTTTATTTTTCTCTTGAAGTTTGGACGGGCGCTTTGAAGTTCCTGAGCTTGAATCATCAGACTCATCACTTGCACGTTTTCGATTATTATTCTCTAAAGATCCAGGACCACCTTGGAAGCGTAATTGTCGCTTTAAGGCTTCATTATCCATCTCGGCATTGTTGTTCAATTCCTTATGCTCTTCCTTACTTGGATTTTGAAGTCGTTTCAACAATTCACTGTGTTGTTTACTGCTTGATTCGTCATCATCAGATTTATCATTGAGAAGCTTCAAGAGGAAGAGAATGAAATTAATTTGATATTTATCTGAAACTGCCATGAAGCTTCAAAGGGAGTACTACTATGAGTTCATACTAAACTTTCAATGTTCGGATTAAAGTATTTTTCAAATTATCTTCGTACCCCCCTTAAGCTTTCACCAGAGCTTTGGTTAAAATTAATTAATTTCCTTACCTGTAACAACATATTGCTGTTACTCTTTGAATCTGATGTGGTTGAACGTGGTCTTTGAAGTGGCATTCGATTCGACATTGATGATGGATTGAACTTGTGCGTTAATGTGTTATCTTTATCATCTTCAGCATTTAATAAAGTCTAAAAAGAAACAAAAAGATTAATTTTCATTGATTCACTCAATTTGTTGAGAAAATATAACTTACTTCACTTACTTTTAGTATTTGGTTTCTGGCACGTTCCTGATCACTTTGTTCAAGTCCAGATCCTGATGGACTTTTCATTAAAAGATTTCTTAATCTTTCTGAACTGCTTGTGCTTCCACTGCCAGTGCTTTCCTGTTGCATCTTTTGTAACTGTTCTTGAACTTTTTCCTTGTCTTCGAAAGAGAATTGGAAGTTACTGGAACTATTCGAGCCAGCACTATTGAAGCCTGATGATCCATTATGATTACTTCCACCAGCTCCACTATTGCTCGTTAAATTATTGTTAGTCATGGTGGTGTTGTTGTTATTGGAGATACTCGCTGGACTTGGTTGACTGTTGTGATAGGGTGTAAGTGGAGACGGACACATTGGAGCTGTGACGGGACTGAAAGCAGCTGTCGCTGATGATGGTCGAGGAGTGCTAACAGAAGCTAAGCTTGTTCTTGATTCTGGTCGCGAATCCATAGCCCAAGCGTTCTCCATCTCAAAAGTTGTGCTGGGAAAGTCGAAATCAAATGCATCGGGATTAAAATAATTGTCATTGGATGTGGGCGGATGAAGCAATGACGATGTGCTGTTGTTGTCATTTAATAGAGAGTTTTGACCGTTTCTCGGTGATATTTGTGATAATGGTCCACCGTTTATAACGCTCGTCATTAATGGACCTCCAAGTGCTCCCTGATTATGTTTCTGTTGTAATTGAAGATGATGTGGTTGATGATGATGATGATGTGACGATGATGACGATGTCATTGATGCATTCGATGACATCCCACTTGTCATCATGCCACCACTGAAATTTCCACTGTCAAGTGCCATCACTTCAGTATCGGAGAGAATCTCGTGGACTGCCATTAAGAAGTCAGGCTCGCCTTGAACTTCACTACGAAACATTCTTGACTGCACTTTGGCATGAACAAAGCAATCTGGCGATGAACGAATTCGATAATTTGTGATTTGCGCATCAGATTGTCCATGAATAACTTCTTTCAAATGCATCTTAAGTCGTTGATGGTCGTGTGGATGTACGAGGTCTTCAATTTTGTGTCCTATCTCTTTGGTTAAGAATGCTGCAAAGTGTGGTCGAAGCTGTGATGTGTCGATCTTTATAATATTTCCTTCAGCATCGATTCGAATCGTAAGCTGTTCATTTGTAGGCGGCATTGTTGGATCCATTGACTGATCGTCTTCAGGGAGTGTAATGAGACAAAGCACTGACGATGACTCATCCGTATCGTCTTTAACTGGTGCTGAGATTATCAGCAGATCTTTGTATCGGTTTGGACGTTGCTGCTTTTGCTCGATCGTCTCTTCAGGTGATTTAAGAAGCCACCTTATGCGAACTGTACGTTTGGGTGTTGGCGGAAATGACTAAAATAAAAAAGATTAAATTTCAATTAATTTATTACATAATTAAAGATTGAGAGAATACCCACCGGACCATCATCCTGATCCCACTCGAAACTAAAAGAATTCTTGTCCAATATTGGACTGACTTTATTGTGATCACCGGTATGCAGGTACGAGTAAATCGACTGTCTAATCAACTCTTGTCGTGAATAATGAAGAACGTCAATCACGTTCTCCGTTGCACATTCAATAAAACCTTCCGAATTAATTTCAAGAAGAGCCCAACCAACGTTACGAATATAATGCTGTACAGCTTCAAAGTAGGCTGATTTTTCTGGCGAATGTCCGTTGACAGAAGGTTCGGGTAAGGGTGGCTCAGTCGATGAGACTTCACCTTGTTGAACTGGATGAAGGGTACAAGTGTCACTACATCCAGGTGGACATTTATTACAACGAATTAATTGTGTTGGTGTCTCGCGAGAGCGTTGCTCCAACAAGTTGCGAAACTATTCAAAAAATGAGAAGAAAAAACAAAATATTGAAAATAAACATAAAACTTGAGATTGAGAAAATAATTCATTGCTTTTCTTTGTTCTAATTGCATCAACTTGTGAATCATTTTGTAATATTATTTTCTTGCTTTCGACAATATTTTTAGTATTACTTAAGGGTAGGAAAAATGAGAATTTTAAAGTTTGTGCGTAAATAATCTCAATGAATGCATTCAAGAAACTCACACAAAGCAGAAAGCAGAAGCAAATATCTCAATCTCGCATCATTATAAATCATCCCATTCATAAAGAACGTCACAATTAACTTAAAAGCTTAAATTGAAATTAAACGTAACATCATTTTCAAGCAATCCAATTAAGCGTCAATGGCTTCAAGAATGGCAAGCTCAAGAAAAGAAACAAAAACAAAACACAAACGATTCGGACTAGAAGTTAATTAGAATTTTAAATGAGACCGAAGACGGCAGAAAAAAAAGATTTTCGTACCTTTCATTACGCTTTAAGCTTTATTTTGTTTTTGTTTTATATCGTTGATTAAAACATTAATTTGTTTACACACATTCACAGCCGTTTTTCGCCTATAGTGAATCTATTCGCTGCTTGTTATTTCTATCTCGCTTTCGCCTTCTTTTTTTTATAATTATGATTTGAGCAAACTCTGACAATATTTATTTGAGAATGTCCGAAACGTGCGCTGCTCGACAAGATGGGAAATAAAGAAAAGGCAGAGAAGAAAAAAGTACATAATAAACTTTTGCATACTTCCTTGCCGGAACCACTTTTAATTAATTGAATATGAAAATACGACGGACGGACGACAGGCGCTTCTGCAATTGAATGAGAAAGGATGAAAAGGATTTGAAGCCTAAAGGCTTTACAAATTTGTCTTGTGCTTGAAATATTTTTTTTTATCTACAAAAGTAAATACGCGAGTCATCATCATTCAATTTTAAATTTCTGTAGTGCTACAAACATGTTAAGTTTCTCCCCTTGGTATCCCCCAAATGTTATTTTTCAATTTCCCCTTGTATTCCCCAAATTTCAACATCAATGTTTTATGCATGTTGAATGTTTTCGATCATTACAACATTGGCCGATAGATGGTGTTAGTTGAATTCTTTATAGGCGCAGCTGATGGATAATCATTAGCTCAAACGTTTAAAAGATATTTAAGCAATGAAAGCAGCTTTTATGGGGCAAATACACTTTTTCCTTGTTCACTAAATTTAAATTAAATTGCCAATTAACATAGCATGAGGCCTTGGACTTTGGAAACTCCCGTATGAAATCAGAAAGTAATTGGATGATATTCATCTGTAGTGAAAAAATTATCAATTGTTCGCCAACGACGTGAACGATTAAAGCAAGTATGCAACAAAATATTAAAAAATAGTATTTCCAAGGTAGATTCTCGTTCAAGTAATTTAAGTTATTTAATGATTGCCGTTTTTTGCAAATCCAACATAATGACATAGATGATGTCAGCAAAGCAGCTACCTAGTAAAGCAAACTCCAACAGAGAGAAAAAGAAAGATGGAACAGGTGTAGAAGAAGCATAAACAGGTAGCAATTGAATGAAAAATGTTGAAGTAAAGCATTCCAACAGAGTCATTTTGATGGTTTTTTTATGAAGAAGATTTTTCCTTTTTACAAAATCATTGAAACATCATTGGTCATTGGTTCTCAGCGGTTCAAAATGTAAAGGTGTAGACATTAGAATTCTTCATCTTCGCTTATGCATGGTTGGTGGTTGAAGAACATTGAAAATTTTTTTTGATTGTCCCGGAATTCAAGATCATCAATAACAAGCTTCATCACGACAGAAAAATTATCCCGCTCTTGGCGCTCGCAATTATATTTTCTGTTGTTCAGAAGAAAAAAAAATCTTTTTATTTATTATTTCTTCAAACATCAAACAATCTTATAGTTGAGAAATCACATAAAGTGAGTTAAATTCGTGGTCCATCAATGGGAAGAAATCTCAATAGGAAAGTTTCAATTTAATCGACTCGACAGTCGTGGAGCGCAATTTGTTATGCAATTTTATTTTTATTTCTATCAAATCATATTCGTGTCTTCAAAGTCATCTCTAAAATTATATGATTGTTAGTCAAACCAGAAAAGCGCCACGACATGCGAGAAATAAAATGACGAAACGTCCAAATAGCGACAGATGTATTTGCGGTGATAACAAGCAAAAGTAAAGAAATTTCTCTATAAGCTTTAATTGATGAGAAACACATTTAAAGAATTTTTGAGAGAAATTAAAATAGTATTGAAACAATTATTTTTATTTTTATTTTTATTCGATTTGGAGAAAATTATTTTAAATTGCTTTTTGACTCAACCAACCCAACTCGTCTTGCATTTTGTATGAATGTATAGTAAATGCTTTGATGGATTTTTTTAATGCTTCATTTCTAATTCAATTTTCTCATTTCGTTTTATTCGTTACGTTGATATTACGAGGCTTCATTATTTTATTCTTTTCTTCTTCTTTTTATGGTATTTTTCGGTTTGAGTTATGAAAGGATGCTCAATCATTCTTACTTCCTCACAAGAAGTAAAAGACATCGGTGAAGAAATCATTTGAATGAGTCGAGATGAGAAACGAATTTTCGTTTCATTTATTTAATAGATATTTCCAGTAGCCGTTTCAATGTTTAAATTATCTCACCTATCTACTTTGACCGCTTCTTGATGTTCGTTTATTCCTTTTTAATAGCAAAAAAAAAAAGGAGGAAACCATAAAATGTACTTCAATATTAGATACGTCTTTTCATTCACGTAACAAGACGAGTTGAGTCAGCTAAAATTTATTGGATCAACTTGTGCTTAGAACGGAAAACAGTTTTGTGGTCAAGGAAAAAAAATTGTGCATGTTTCATCGTAAATGTTGTTTAAATTTTCAATAAATAACTTAACTCAAATCGATAAAAAGCAGCAACAAAATAAATTATAAAGTTTTGAAGATGCAATAACCGTCTTGACATTAATTATCGGAAATGAAAAATCAATAAAGCATGAAATTATGCAATTTTTTGCACAACTTAAATGTGCGAAATGAATCATTTGGAACGAGAAAAGAACGCAGAAAGGAATTTTCTTTTTAATATAACTTTAAGACAATTATTTATATCAGATTACGCTTCATTAATTTTTCATTTTCTTCCCTTAAGAAAAAGACAGGCAGTCGTTTGATGTGATGGATTTATGTGTCACATGAAGGTCTCCGAGAACAATTTTACTTGCAATAAACGTCAAGAGTATCAGAAGCGTAACTTCAGCTTCTTTAACTCAATTAAAACGTTCAATCTCATGATTCTTATTCTAATATAAACGCTGACCTCTTTGTCATAAATTTTCAAAGTTTTTCTTTGTTACAATTTGCAATTTATCATCTGGAAAAATGTCAACACGAGCCACAGCAGCGAGTATTTCCCCTTTGAGACATGTTTTGTTGTATATTTGCTTCTTTTTTTCTTCAACATTAACAATGTGGGTCGAGAGCTTTTCAAGTTTCACTTTTGTTGCAATTTTTCAATGCAAATATTCATTCATAAGGTCGATGCGAAAAGCAAGCACGTGTAAATATTTTAGGAAATGGAAAATAATGCAACTCACCTTCTTTACGACTTCACTTAAAATTGCAGCTTTGTCTGGCTTGCATGCGGTCATATCCCGCTTATTTATTTGTAGGAATTCGCCCAACTGTTCAATGTATTCGTTTTCTAATTCGCGTCGACGTTTTTCGTTATTACACTTATTGATTTGTGATTGAGGCTGAAAAGGATATTAAAGAATAAAGTTGATTAAGATTTCAAGCAGAAAGCAGATAAATTATAACTTTCCTACCTTATTTTCAGTTTTTCTTCTTATCTTTTTGGTAGCAGCTGGCGGACAGGCCACGTTTGGCACCACCACATTCATTATTTTTGACTGATGACTCTGCTGTTGTTGCTGCTGCTGTGACAGTAGAGTGGCTGAGACATTCGATGTGCTTGAGTTGTTGGGAGGTAATGTGTCAGTGATCCATTGGTCGACGGAAAGATTAAGTTCACGTGGGCCAAGCCTAATAAAGATGACGAAACAAATAATAAGAATTTATTTATCATGACATAACATGAAAAGTAATAAAAGTAAATACTAAGAAATTGCCATCGAGATGTTACTAAGGTTTCTTTGCGTCATTATTGAGCTTTAAATGGCAAATATTTTACCATACGAACTTTCAAATAACTTACAGACACGTCAACAACGATAAAATAGTCAAAAAAAAACACCAATTTCGTCATTTGAAATTTGAATTCTCTATTGCAAGCGTTTAATTTGCTTGCGTCGATACCTGCTTAGTTAGTTCAAATCAGTTGTCGCTTAGTTTTTATTCAACATTGTTGCCAATATCTATGACATTACAGGCAACAACCGAGTAAAAAAAGTGGAAATATAAAAAAGCTTTGATCACCATAGCGAGAAGTAAAAATTGTAATAATATTGCTGATGACTTTCAATTCAATTTTTATTTATGACTAAATGATTGAGTGAGACCTTTCAATAGGCTGACTAGGAAAATTTGTTTTCATTTCTTACGGGGACTTCAAAAAATGCAAATTTTTCTTTTCATGTTTAATTCATCGTATAAATAAACAAATTAATCAGTCAACAAGAAGCGCTAAAGTTCATTTCCCTTTCTTATTTTTTGCGCATTTGTCGCACGTTGTTTGTTGCCATTGCTATGTTCATAGCTCCTTCGAATTAAGGAAAAATTATGATTGCAAAAGAAAATCAAATTACACTTAGATGAATTCAAGATAAAGAATAAAAAAAATTGTTTTTTTCACTTCCAAAAAAAAAAGAATGAAGTTGTTTCATATTTTCCTGAAGCATTTACGACATTTATTTACGAAAAAAAAAAGTACAAACAGAAGTTAAAGAAGTCGAACGGGAGAGGGGAGGAGAGATAAGATTTACTTCTGGCTTGTTGTCATCATGCGCCACACGCTCTTATCTCCTACTATCACAAGACGAACGAATGGACGAGATAGAATTTTGAATATTCCCTTTTTCTACTTTTGCGACTTTACATAACTTTTCGTTTATTTGTTTAGTGAACATTTTAAATACTTCAACGCTGTTCAACAGAGTGATGAGATTCGACAGTTATTATTTCAGTTGACAAGTGGAACTAAATGTCGTTTGTAGTGAAACACGAATGAAGTAAACCGGATAAACAAGCACTTTTCGGTTTTGTTTAGGCCTCTCTGGATAATTGAGTAATATTGTAAATAAAATACAAACGATTACTTCACAATCAGATTTGAAAGATTCAACGACTCTCAAAAAAGCTTCTAAAGTATGCGATTTGAATATCTTATCTTATTTTAAAGATATAAATCACTCAATAGATATTCTTAATTTATTCTGCTTGTTTTACAACTGATTGGAATTTCACCTCTAAGGGATTGGTAAGATTGCTTCGAAACTAGTTCACAGACAGATAACAAAAAAAAAAAGCAGAAACAAATCACAGACAAGCTTGAAGTAAATGTCGACTCACAAAAGACTGCATTTGATTATACCTTTTAAAACATCTTGTGTAACTAAGTTAGCATTTAATTAATTGTTCGAAAAGTTTAAATACCAATCACGTTTGAAAATTCGTAGAAAAGATAAAGAAAAAAATAAAAAAGATTCGCTTGCATCATTTTCCCTAAAGCTGAAAGCGAAATGTGAATTCAAGGAAAGTATGAAAAGTAAGTTTTTTGTAAATGCCAAGATCAAGAGCCCGTTAGGTGGTTTCTTTGTAATTTATTATGTGGCAGTATGCCATCCAATGAATTCTTCAGTCTTCGTAGCTTACTGAATAGCCAGTGAAAATCAACAAAGGGGAAGAAGGCGCATGCGGCAATGAGATTTAAAGAAATTGGTGCCACTAGACTGTCGTAAAAAGCTCAACTTCCGATAAGATAACATAAGTTTAAGAGAGTGAAAAGAAGCAGACGAAAACATTTAAAAACGAAATGTGGAATTTCATCGAACTTATGCACCTGTAAATGTTCAGGAAGTGCAGCACTACTTAATGATTATCACACGCATCGTTGTCATCGTTGACGCAACAAAAGGAAAAAAAGAAAATTTTGTAGAATTACAAAAGTCATGATGTAATCGTCGAATGGTTATTTGAATAGGAAAACATTTTTTATGCAAATCCTAGCACCTCAAATTGGATTCGAGTGCCTAATAGACGAAAAATGGAAATTAAAAAATTCAACAAAAGTGAAAGTTTCCCGTCCGCATAAAAGCCAAACTGCCAGCCGGCCACGCATGACTTGTTTTGTCTATCTACATGCTTGTTACAACAATAAGTGCTACGAGTATTGTCGTGACGTCACGTCACCACGCATAATCACGCGCATTCTACCTTCGTTTGAATCACGCTGTTGCATTGTCAAAAAATTGTTTTATTTCGTTGTTCATAATTTAATAATAAAAAAAGTGAATTCATTTCTATTGTTTGGGAAAGCAATTTTAGTTTTTTTTTTATTTTATTATTTTGGCGTGCATTAAACAACACAAAGTCAGGCCCCGACTGAGACGATCACACAGCTCTCTGAATGTGTGTATGATAATCATTGAAACAGAAATAAATTGTGTCAGTGGGTCAGAGTCACCGAAATTCTCTTTTTTACACAGTGAATAAATGGAAATTTCCTTAAAAACATTTTTTTTTCATACTTGACTACTACAACTGCAGAAGATTATAAGAGGCAGGCATTTTAAAACTGCACATGCAAGCAATTTTCAATGATATCAAGTTGCGAGCTATGAAGTTGCGAAGCAGATTACAGAGAAAAGGAAAATTTACATGTACGTAGAGTCGTGATTATACAATGTTGGATGTCGTTGTAAGTCGTCACAACTAGTGGAAAACTTGCAGCTTTCCGACTTTTCCTATCAAACTTAACAAATTGACATGTTTAATGAGGCTAATCAAGTGATTCGAATAAAAAGAGCTGGCTGAGAAAATTTCTTCTTATCATTTGTTACTCGACAGTTGCTGATAATATTTTTTTATCGCCCACAGTTAAGTAAATCATTTACGCTGCTTAAATACAGAAGTTTATCTGTTGAGATTTCCACAACTTGTTATAAATTAATTTCCCTTCGACAACATTCATAATAAGAAGGAAATTGATTTGTGACTTTTTTTATTTGTTTTTCTTTCTCATGATGATATTTAGAAATGAAATCTCATCACACTCATAGAAATATCGGAAAGTTTTTTTTTCTAAATACTTACAAAAGGAAGGGAAAGAAGAATCGAAGAAGTTCTTCATCTTCGTGCACAATTGCGATTCGAATGACGAACATTGAGCGAAGCGACAAACAAATTGATATTAAAACGGAAATAATATATTTTTTATGAGGCTGACAGAATCTTACGATTTCTTGTGAGTGTAGGAGCGAGAGAGAAGAAGCAATTCTCAGACAACATAAAGACAGAAGAAAGAAATAAGTTGTCGTTTGCTGAGTCAAAATAAGAAAGGAAGGGAAAAAAAATTGTTCAAAAGCAAATCAGCTTAAAAAGTTTCATATATGAGAAGAAGAATGGACAAGACATTCATTCACATCAAACTATTACCTAGCATAAACATGGAAATTGGAAATATTACATCACAAGACTTCGCATGAAATCTTGAACGCCATTTTAGTTGATCAAAGCTAGACATCCTAAGATATTTGGAAATGATTGCGTGACTCAGATGAAAGAAATCTTTATGGAAATAAGTTTAGATTAATAAAAATGTTACGGAATATTGTGATGAATCATTCAAATGTCATTTAAAAGCCTGTCAGTTCACATAAAATATAAAAAACTCAATTACATCTCGATTTCCTATGCTTCTATGCCATCGTTTAAGAACATCAAACACAGACACATTTTTAAGACTAATATCGGAAGAATTCAAAATTTGAAGTCAATAATTTGTCTCTTTCATTTCTTTAAGTAGATATTTTATAAGATGAATTCAAGTAGCAAGAAACACACTTTTGAGTGAACTTAAGCTCATTGCAACTGTCGGAAATTTCTGTTTCTCCTCCCCCCACATTTGCTTCTTCTTTTTTTATTTCTGTTGCCAACTGTGCAGATTTTCAACGTAACGTGAATCATAAAAAAACAATGGGGAAAAGCAATTTTCTTGGCTCGCTGCACTTTTAATTGTAGTTATTGCAAGCTTAATAGTTTTCTTCTTCCATCTCTCTCTTGCTTACTGTTTCTAAGTTTGTTTGATCAATGCTAAGATGATGAACGTGTAAACTTGATCGTGAATCATCCTTGACATTGGCTTTAAAGTTACTTGATTCAATTGATCGCTTGCACAAACTCACACAGAATGCAAAACCCGCCCGTTATCGCTAATCTTATTTACATATATGATGAAGCATTTTTGCTGTTATAAAGTGAGTTCTCATTATGTAGCGCAATTAATTTCAACCAGCTTAGCGTTTCTTGTGAAAAATTTCATAATTTTACGAGCAACTTGAGAATCTCGGAAGGTGATTTCTTTTAATAAGACGGCGATAGCGCATATTTCAAACGGTATCATGCAATCTTACAACTCGCTTCCAAGGCTTCGCTATGAGACTCATGTGAATAATAGCAACACCCAAAAACGGCTACGAACTGAATAATTATAGCGGAATTTCAAATGCGAATTTTTTTTCTCTTCTCGTCTCCTTCACAGACACACAGCGAACGTGAATTGGGGTCAATGATGAAAAGCCGTGCTCGAGGCGGACGAGAGTGAGGAGGAAAGATAAAAATACTGCTATAGACACGCACCATGTTAGAAACTCAATTTGATTGCAAAAAAAAAAGAAACAAAAGTAAAGATAAAAGAATTAAAAGCGCTGCCGTTGTTGCTTTGTGTTCTTCTTTACCAACACCGCAAGTGAATTTTTAGAGTGAAAAAAGGTGAGTTGTTGCACACATCCAACTCAAGCTTCAATAATACCAGAAAGTGGGTCACTTCCAACGCACAAATCTTACTCACACGCACATTTTTCCACTGAACGATTCTCAAAAAAGATTTTTCGCCAATTTCCGCGTGTGAAGCAAATTAAAATCGCAATTATCTACAAGGCAATGGCAGAACAAGACCTGCAATCATTACAACTACAAACGAATGATGAGAAGAAATTAATAAGTGTTCGCGTGTTTCAAACCGAAGAAGAATCGTCATTTTTGTCTGTTCAATTTACTGTGGGACTAAAAATAACTTCAAAAATAATCAGTAACCACGTTGTCAGTTTTCAATACGAAAGTGAAAATTTCTCATGCATATGAGCTCAATTGTAGTTTTCTCTGGAAGCTTAAATTATTTATCCTTGCGAATGATTCATCTTGCCATCTGCTTATTTGTTTATTTAGTTTATATGCACTTATCTACTTTATTTAGTTAATTAGCTGGAACAATTAATTACTTGTTAACACAACTACGCTTAAATTTAAGTTGATGTGACTTATCATCAAACAGTGAGCGACAAAATGAGTTAAAGCGCCGTTGAAACATCATCATCATACATCATTAGATAACCTAAATTAAGTACGCCTTGTCATTGGCCCCGGCACTTTAGCTGAGCCCATATGTGTAGACAACATAGTAAGCAACGATGACAACCAAAGACAATTGAATAGTTTTTCGCGGAACGCTATTTATGTTCTTTAGCACCATGGCTCATTATTTGCTTAGCCCGTATTTCTTATTTACAACAAATTTTACACATTTTATCGCTTAGAAAATCGCTTTAATTACTTTTTGAGTTTTTTTGTCGACTTGAGTTAATAGTTAAACCGATAAGGGCCGTTCAAGGATTTTATTGACTTTTTAATATTTTTTTTTCATGTTTTCAAAATCAAGGACTGGACATAAAAATTTAATGAAATTCTGTTGGTTGCTTGTCAAAAATCCTTCAATAAATGTTAACCATTGCCATTGCTAAACCAAAACATTTTAGATTTTCTATTTTGCGCATAAATTGTAATTATTTGTGCCATTAATGATGAGTGTGGAAACTGAAACTCAGGCACCACTGGTTCATAGATCACAAAAACGATTTCCATACTTAGCTCGACAGTCTTTTTTTTTTTCGCTCAAAGGCATCATCAACATCATCGACTCAGTCAAACAATTATTTTACATTGTTGTGTTGACGAAAAAGGGAAATCATGAATTTGTCATTTGAATAATGAAACACATTCATATTTTTTTTCGGCAACTTATTATTATTGTGGCAGTTTGGTGCGATTTTGCAATATTCGCATTTGACCTAATTTTCTGATTTGCGCGTTCGTTGTTTGCTTTGAAATAAGCGCTTAGGAAAAAAAAGAGAATTATTCGTGTGAAGGGTAATAATGCGGATGAAATTGCTTTTAGGGTTTTTGTGGCTATGCTAGCATTGAGGTAACCACAAAACCAATTCAAGCTTTTATAATATTCCAAGCGATAATTTTGTGGGCGTATAATTTCCATAAAAATATTTCAAGTTAAGCATCTAAGAGATCAGTCAAAGTTTACCCCCTTAGGTTAATTGAAACTCTAATCTTAGAGATGTTATGAAAAAAGCTCCCTTTAATCTTATTACAGCTGATTTACCCACACGCTCTAAATAAAATCATCTTTTTTCCCTCTCGCACAGTGACACAATTTCACAAATCATCTTATTGGTTCAATTCTATTAAAACAATTTCCTTTTAATTGAGCATTGAACAGCCATTCTTCGAAGTCCTTTTCCGTGACATTAAAATGGAGAAAAATATCCTACAAAAGCAGCACATTCTATGATTCATTACTCAGTTTCTCAAAGCAAATTAATTTTATTGTGCTAGTTGCTAGTTTTTACTTCAACGAACACAGAAAGCAGCATGAAATCAGAGGACGCAGTCGGTGTGTGTCGATAAAAAAGGAAAGTTATGAGAAATGTGGCAGCTTCTTTACCTTTTTCACTCCACAAATGTATTTTTTTTATTCTTATTCAACCTCAGAAGAAGCATTTTTCATATCAACCCACAAGCTGTGAGGAAACGACCACCACCCAATCTAAAGCAGGCACCAGTTTCCATTATGAAAGTCATAAATTTCTTCAACCATTGAAAAATAAATTTTAATTTTCTCTCTAACAACTTTTCTGTTGCTTCTTGAAGTTATGAAATTTTATTGATCCTTCGAGAGTCATTTCTCTTTTTTCCTTCTCGCGATTCTTGTAGATATTTAAACGATGTCCTCAACATTCTCGAACTTCATTAATTTTGTATTGTTTTCCCTTTTTTTTTCTTGACTGGTGACAAGATTGAAACCTGTTTGACAATTTTATTAGAACAGTAAAGAAAAGTCTGTGAAAGTGATTCGAAAAGTTTTTTTGTTTCTCGATAGTTTAAAGTTGTCATAAAGAAGGGCATGTCTGGAGAAAGCGTCAACATTAATGACATTTTTCTTTTCCATTTCTGGAGTCTTAATTCTGGTTTGTGAGCATTCATCCTCTATAAATATTTAAGCATCGTCAGACAGTCTCATCTTCCATGTCTCATTAATTCCCAGCATATTCGCTTTCTCGGCAAAACATCAGCAACATCTCGAGCACGAAATCCATTTTGCAGATGGCTGACTTAATTCAGAGTGAAAGGAAACGAGAACTTTATCTTTCTTTTTCCTTCTCTCTATTTAATGTTTATATCCGTGATATTTAGTTTACTCAAGAACTATCGAACAGAAAATTATCCGATTCATTGAGAAACCTGAGAATCTTCCAAATTATCTTAAAGTTTTTCGATCAGTATCAGAAGATGATAATGAATCCAACAATAAACCTTCACAATCCGATTTCCTTGCGTCTTTTTTTAATTCTCGCAATAATTTAAATATCACCAGCTTGCTAGACACATTACAGACATTGTTGAAGCATCACATAAATAGTTTAAGCTTGGTTTGGTGTGAAGAACGAAAATGAGAGAAACAAAAAAAAAATAGAAAGAAACGGAAAGAAAACGATGAGAATTTAATAACATCACACATGATGATGACGGCGTTGATTCTCAAGAGCCGGAAAAAATAACATCGACATAACTTTTAGTTTCTGTTCTCTTTATCTTTGAATCGGTGGAAAGGGCAAGTATATTTATTTCATTTTATGCCGTCTAGATGTCATAAAAATAAATGTCGAGCATTGAAAACAGCAAAAAATATAAAATAAACACCAACCAGCCCCTTTTTGCGTTCATTCCATTTTTTCCCTCCCGCGAAAATGCTTTTATTTCAAATTCCTATCTTACGAGCCTATAAAAAGCAATGTTGCTCATCTTTCAGCATGTACATATCAACCAGCAGACGAAGAAATTTGATGCCTTTGTTACCATCTACAATGTTGAGTGTGAATTTGTTGATCACGAACGCAACATTGAGTTGAAGAAAAATGAGACGTCGTAAAGAAGGAAGAAATAAATGAATGGTAAAAATTCTTGTCCAACCACGAACCTTCATATCGAAGTATGGTCGAAAGCTACAGAAAGAACTCTAAATATTTAATGATGTCTAAACAGAGAGACAGTTACGATAGTCACTAAAATGAAACCACCTTTCAACCAAAGTACATTGACCCAAAACACCAATTAATAAAGATCAAAATCACATGGCGATTCTAGAACTTTTGGGTCGAAATCTTTCCATGTCTTTAAATAATAAAAATATCTATTCAAGAATACAAAAGTTTCATTCGTGCATTCGCTTCTCATCCGATATGATTCAATGAAATGGAAAACTTTTCATCAGAGTTCGAAGCAGCCATGATGTGAACAGAGTAGGTAAATATCTCTCTGAATTTTTCATCTAGAAGAGATCGGAAAAACATTTTATTTTAGGAAAAACTTTTTCTTCTTTGCTCTCCGTGTACCTATTACATATGCAAAGCAGGAAAGCGTATTTTTATTGGAAAAGATTGTCGAATGGGGAAGGAAACAGAAATGGAGAGCGGTCACAAATTTTATTTGCACTCACAACAAATGTTTATCAGGGTTTGCTGGCATGTCTCGGGGTTTTATTTGAACCAATGGCTCATCGTTTGATTGTTTGTCTGATAGTATCAGAAATAAATTAAGACTCGAACTCTTGCATAATGTTAGCACAATTGTATTTTGTCGTAAACATTGGATAACTGAAATAAATTTCAGTCTTCAAACTTTATCGTTTCAGTATACACAAAAAACATTCAATAAAGCTTCTTACAAAAAAACAATTTCAATCGAAGATTTTGGAAGGAACGTCTTGATGCACGCCCGCGTTAAGTTACTTATTAAAAGTTCACCAAAAATTATTTTTTTAATCCAAAATAAAAATGAAATACGAACAGAATGAGAGAGCGACGTGTTTGTGTTGTTATTATCACACCGAGCTAAACTTCTTTTTTTTTCCTACACGATAAGTTGGTTGAAGTTTCGTCACAACATGAAATTATTTTCTTATGGCTATTCACCCACACATCAAGGGAGACAAAAAAACATTTTTTTTGTGGGGAAAATATATATACGAACGACTTTTTCCGTGAAGCGACTATTTTTTTTCTGTTGTTCAAAAAAGTTTTTTTTACTTCTATTTCGGTGGGCCAGCGGTCGATATCGATATGTGTTCGGTTATGTGTGTATAGTGAAGGTCAATAAACTCCCAAGATGAAACGCGCGGAATTCTTTTTTGTGTAGACCTTTTTAAGCTCGCTCTAGGCTTATGACGCATTAAGTTTCGTTCATGTTCTCAGCCTGAACTAATTCACTGCAATGTTGAGGGGGAATTTCCCAGACTTTGTGAGAGAGAAACAGAGAGATGATCATCATCATCATCCATGTCTAACAATTTGACGTTTACTAATCGTAAGAAAAGATTTCTTCTGTTATTACTTCGAATTAATCTAGAAAATCTTCCAGAAGAGAGAAATGAGCATGAGAGCGAGAAAAAGAAATGAAAAAAAAAACAGATACCGTCAAACATCGCAACAGTGAATGCTCGATCGAAAAATAAATAACAGAAGTTCAAGGACAAATTCCGATTATATTTTTTATTTTATTTTCTTTTCTCAAAATTCACGTAAGCGAGCGAATTTCATTAATGAAAATCCAATTAAAATTTATATATATTTAAATTGTTAAAAGTTGGGCTTTATACTTCATCACGTCGCTGTATCATAAAAAATCAAAAGAAAATAAAAAGTTTCAAATGAAAAACGGATAGGTGAAAAAAATAATAAAATCAATTATTCATTCGATGCTCAGTACAAGAAACATCGAACAGAATGAAAAATAAAGTTTTGAATTGTAGATTATTTGTATGAAAAAAAAATCCATTAAAAGTTTACAATTAATTTGCATAGCATGAGACTAACACAGGAGTTTCGCCAAGAAAATTTGTTTCGGAGTTACCAAAGACTCAATTATCTTACTAAACGTTTCATCGAATAAATTCTTAATTACTTTGGTAAGAAGCTGTGCTTCGATTGATCCAAATCCTCTTATTTAGTTTTCACTTTTCCACATTAATAGCAAACATCAAACAGATTCATTAACTCATCAAGCTTAATTGTTTCCATTCTTAAATTACTACTTTGACTCTTACGAAATGCCGCTGCTGTTTTTCTTTTTCTTAAACTAACCTCTGAGTTTTTTTTTTTGAGCTTCCTTCAATTTATCTTCATTAAATTTTGACTCCGAGATCATTTGTGGTGACGAATGAGACCAATAAATATGCATATGGTATGAAGAAGGAACTTAATCTGTTCAGCTGCATCATTTAAAAAGAAGATGAATCGAAGAAGTTTACAAAACACGATGAAATATTATTGCAGATTTATGAAAGTTTAAATTTCAAAATGAAATATGCCTGAAGTATTAATGAGTCAAAACAAAAGCGAAGCTAAATAAAGGTAAAGCTTAGAAGTTAAATGGTGATCTAATCTGCAGTTTACTCAATTTCTCATCGCATTAAATCATCTTAGTTGGCAACGAGGATGATTTGTATGGAATTTTGTAATGTCGAATCAATTATCAATCAAGCGAAAAACTGACATTTATTTTCTTTAATATTTTCCTTCAAATAATATTAAATTATGAGCGAAAGATTCCATCCAGATGTTTGATCCAATTTTCATTATTTCATTTTTCTGTTTTAAATAAAATTGAAAAACGAATAAAAGTTGCTTGTCGCAACTCACAAGCATAAAAAAAAGAGCAGAAATGGTCACAAAAAGAAGCAAATTGAGTGAAATCTTTTCTTTCACTCCTTTAACAATCAGCAAGCAAATGTTGAACAAAAGAACATGATGACCGATGGAGGAAAAAGTGGTTCACAAAAGAATGAAATGCAATTTTCTAAATGCAATCTCGTAAAAAAATTAAAGAATGAAATGCAAATTATTTTTTTTTCATATTCTTGCTTTCCTTACATTTTATTTTAAGTCTTTTTCCCGCTGTTTTAAAACCCTTTTCACGTCTCCTTTCTTCTTATTAAAACCCCAAATGGCTCATTATTTCATGCACAAGGGAATTTGCAGTTTCGATGCTATTTGTTCAGCGTAGAATTTCGTTGAGTAAGAAAAAATATTGCATAAATATTACAACAGGCGATGTAGAGGGAAAAGAGATCAAACATATTGCATGATTGCATTTATGAAAGGAGCGGGTTCATTTGAATATTGGGTCACCAAAGCTTATTTCATGATCAATATTTCATAGCTTTGGCAGATTTATAATGAAATATCATCTTCACGACATAATATCCTGACTTTCTTAAGGAATCATTTGATAGTTAAAACGTGAAAAATCGAACTGAAAGTTTTTAAGTTTCAAGGAAAAGTGGTGAAGAAGGAATTAACTGATTAACAGCAGATGTTTTACATCTTATGCAAAGTAAATTACATATAAGCAATAGCAGCTACAAATAAGGCACAATATGAAACTCTTGAAATACGATTGTTCTCATTCTTGTTCTTACATTGTGGCTTTTCCTTCTTTTTCGCTACCACCATCAACGCTTTCGTTCGCTCATTCGTTCGTATTGAGAAACCAGAAAATCAAAAAAGTTTAATGACGATGACGATGAAGGAAGAGAAGCAATGAGAAATGAGGAACCATGAAAATCAAGCGTGGAGAGTTGCGGACAAAACTGTTTTGTTGAAGTCTCCTTGCCACAAAAATTTCCTTTCAAATCTCAAATTAATTTTTTAATGCTGGCGAGGATTTATTTTTTTAATTCCAAAATTTTTTTTCATGCTTTTGACTATAAACTCATAACGCATTCACCATAAAAGTCGTAAAAACCGACTCGGATCTGATTGCTTAATGAATTGCGAAATGAAAAACGAAAAAAAAAGATGAAGAAAAAAGTAATAAAATGTTAAAAAAGAAGTTGAGAGTTATAGTCTGCTAATCGTCGTTCCAAAAAGAAACAAAACTTATAAATTTATTATAGACGGCTTGCGACTTGTGGAATATTCTATCATGCCTTCCTTTTCAATTTTTTTTCTTATTTAGAATCGTCACATTAAAATGCATTCGCAAAATGAGAGAAAAAAAACATAAACCGAAACAGCACGTTGCATATGGCGATTTAAAATTAAATTGAAAGTTAGATAATTAGATGGAAAACATGTTGGCATAATAATGAAATTTATGCTCGTGAAATGAAAACAATGGAATAAGGGAAAAGAGTTGATTATGAATGCAACAGAAGCTGCAGCCTGCAGCGGTTCCAATCTAAATGTCGCCATTTTTCTCATTATTTTGATTTCATAATTGGCTCATGACTTAAGAAATTGCCTTCATGAAATTGATAAACGTCTTTTAATAGCTGTTCTTGCTTTTTATTAGCTGTTAGTCGCAATTTTTCGAATTCCAACTTTTCTTTTTCTGCTGCTTGCTGCTTTTCTTCGAATCTATTTTATTTTCAAGATGAAATGATGTGTCGCAGCGAGAGATGTAATAAGAGATGAACAAGCGGTAGAAAACATGCCCATAAATTATGCTTCAACTGCAAAATGTGTGTAATGACAGAGCGATGGCATAAAAAAATGAGATTTATGCACGCGTGTGTTATGATTTTTTCCCCCTTTTTTCAACTGAAACTTTTCGCCATATATTCTATCTTGTCGTTATCAAGCAGACATGATTATGTGTAGAGAAACAAGTGCACAATTTAAATAATCAATTTGAATTTACTGGGCAATCTTGAATAAACTCATCTCTTGAAATATTTAGAAAAACATTACACTGACTGCCAACTACAATGTTGTCGTCTTTGTAACATTTTGAATAAACAGAACACAAAAAAACTTGTATCGTCTCATAAATAACTTGATGGTTTATCACTAGAGAGCCATTAAAATGTTTTACGAGCATCGGTCTAAAACGTTTTGATTTAAGAGTCATATACGATTTCCATTCAATTGCAAATTTTCTTTTTTATGTTTTATTTTATTTTCTCTCCATTTTATCATGTGATGATGATGACTCGTCTTGCAGAAAACTTCTTTCCTTTCCTTTTCATTTCTTTCTATCTAAGGAAATAGAATTTCCAATATCTTTAGGTTTAAGAAACGGCTTTAGACATAGCATGAAAGCTTACGAATCTAGTTGGGAATTGAAATGAAGGCAGAAAATCTCCACATTATGATCCCTTGAATGATTTCTCAAAAAAGAAGCACTGTAAGATGTTTCAATAGAAAACTGAACAGAACCAGAAATAAAAACTGACACTTAAAAAATTTATTCGTTATTTCAAATTAAGAGAAAAATAAAAATCTAAAATATTTTTATATTTATATCACAAATTGTTAGCAATAAATTGTGCAAGTGTTGTTTGTTTTGTGCCAAAGACATTTTATATTTCTCCCCACATTGAATAGCGACAGCATTGGAGCACATTAATGGATTTTCCAACGGGTTAAGTCTCCATCTTCGATGCAGTAAGTTTCATTTCTTTCCTTCATGTCACTCGAGTGGAATTTATGTTGTTCAAGGATCATCTGTGCTTTATGGCTTGATTCGTGATGATGTCATCGAGGATAAATTTTAATGATCGATGTATTTGAAAAGGCATTCAGTTTTACAATCAGACTACGAGCTCTTAAACATCTTTTCAGATATCACAAACACAAAATTTAAACCTTTAAGTTCATTTATATGAAAAGGAAAAAAATTCCAACAAAAAACTTTTCCATTTTCGCCCGCAAATCGATTTCCATTTTTTAACGTAAGACTTTCATCTACACTCACAATCCCGGAGTCAGTTCTACTGTTTCTTTTTCGTGTACTTACGTTTTCAATGTCAATGCCCTACGCCACATGTGCCACACATTTCTGAAGTGTTTTTTTTTCTCTCGTTTGTGTGTATCGAGATACGAAGTGGTTGGTTAAGGCTGCTGCAAAAACTTCTTGCGAAAACACTCGCGTTATCATTATCGAGAGAATAAGATACAAAAAACTTATCCAAAGGAGTTTTCCTCATTCAATTCAGTAATTGTAAATGGTGAAAAATAAATTTCTCAACTAACTACAAACACATGGCACAACAGAGAGACGATTGATCTAAAATTTCATAAGCTTTACTTTTTCGATTGGATTTGCAAATTTTCCTTCCAATTCATCCTGACTTTGAATAAGTTTTAGCTTTGTCACTCACATTTCAATAAGTTTAGAATGTCGACAATAGCTCGATCATCGATTAATCACTCGGACAATGTTGTGACGTAATGCTCCCTGCCGTTAAGTTTACTATGATGGCTTTATCCATGCGCAAGGCCAGTTCTCACTAATACAACGATTTACGAGGCAAAAATGGCACTTTAAGAATTGCTTTTCGGGCTCTCGCGTTGATACTACGCCGAAAACAAAACAAAAAAAAAGCAGTGCGATGATGAAACAACCAGCAACACACAATTGCGCGTTGATTGTCGAAGGAAAAAAAATGCTTCATTATTGTTTGGTTCATTGAACTTCAGAGCTTGTGACAGAGAGCGCGCAAAAACAACATTCTTTAGCCGAAAACACAAAAACAATATTTTAAAAACCTGATATGAAAGACACGATGCAAATTTAATCGAAAACGATTGGATATTTTCGAGAATGACTAAAACTAATGAAAAGTTTGTAGATGTTTAAAATCGGATTGTCCATCGTCAGCTGATAATGTGGAGGCTTTTGTTGGGGTCAATCGAAGTCAAGTACCTTTGATGAGGGTGAAATTGTGTGTTAACTCTCCTCATCACACACTTTTATTTTGTTTTCGATTATGTGTACATACAATGCTTTATTTTCAGGTTGTACACAGATCAATGAACCGACCTCCGAGTGCGATGGATTGGTTCACACTTATGACGTCGATTTTCGATCATTCTTCGTTTACTAATTTTAAAGAAATGACTCAGAAAAAATTTCATACAAACATTCTGAGAAAGAAAAACGATTGCACAAGGTTGAGCTTAAACAGAAGATCATATTCTCAAACGCTGATCCATTGACACAATTTCGATAAAGCTTAAAATTGTTTTTAATTTTCCTTCCAAAAATATCCGAAAAAGAGCTCAAAAAAAATCAGGGAAAACCTCATTTTTCACTTTTAATTACATTCATGTCGCTCTCGCACACTTTCCAAACATTTCCTTCTCAACGTCGTCAGTATGTAATGGCATATTATGGCATTTATTGCCAATTGCATTTCACTTTGTCGCCAAGTGTGTAGTGAGCGATTTTAAGCTCAGATATTTGACAAATTTTGACTCAACAGCCTGAACCTACCCTAACCGAAGCGCATTCGTTACTTTTGCACAATATCAATGCCGAAAATATAAAAGATGAGAAGAAAAAACTGAATGTGGAATAAATACAATGAGCGGGTTGATTAATTTTTTACATCCTTGTACAATTTATCATATTTTAAAACTTCTCTCTTTCTTCGTTGAAAAGGAACAAAAATCACATCATAAATATGACTTGGAAGAAATATTTTCAATGAATAATTTGAATGTGGAAAATATTTGTCTTTGTTTCATTATATTGCGTGACTAACAAAGTCAAACTTCCGTAAATATAATGGTTGATGTGATAGTATTTATATTAGCTATTAAAATCCAATAAAATATTGACAAGTGAATAAAGATTTGTTTTTCTTCTTCATTTTGTCCTTTCGATTTAACACAAGTCACACAACATCAACGACGGTTGTTAACGAGTGAAGTGAAATAGCTTTGAATCAACTCCAATTTGTTTACATTCCAAGCTATAAACAATTAAGGGCCTCCCCACTGAAGTGGCCATAAAAGTCCAATAATCGTAAAAGCAACGAATGTTTCATTAAGAATGCGTTCGGTTTATAAATAAAGATATAAATTAACGTGAAAAGATTCATGACATCGCATGAATGATCAGTGGTGAAAGCATCGACAACGATTGGAGTTGAATTATTTTTTCCGCTACGACTGGGAGACGGTCGAGAGATAACTTCACAATTCTTTTTGTGTTCGGATTGATGCATGGGAATGCTGAATTTGTATTGGGTTAGGTTAAGGTTTACAACTTTGTGCTCGGGCGAGACTCACACTTGGCTTTCTGATTTTTATGTTGTGTGATGTGATGCGGTGCGCGCACGTCGGAAAAGCTTCATTTTCTCCCCTCAAATTTCATTCGCCTTCTAAATTCTTATTTGAGTGCCACAAATGAAGCAATCCCATCCTTTAATACCTTCCCACACCACTAAATGTCTTAAAGCAAACAAAAAATCTAGTCAGTTGTGAAAATGGAGTCGAGATAACACGGTAGGGTTGGAATGGGATGTGAAAGGTGACAAAGACATGAAAATCCGTGGAAATATTTCAATGACAATTTCTTCAACTTGAGAGCTTTTTTTTCACGAACAACGCCACATTAAATATGTGTTTGTGGTGTGGTGAGATTATTTTAAAACAACACTTTTTGTTATTCAAAGAATAGAAAAAAAAACAAAACTTTTTAAGTTTGAAACTGTGATGCAACTTCTCAAAGTCGCTTAAAATGATTTCCGGAGAAATGTCTCAAAACTATGAAATAATTTCTTCATTTCAATCTTTCTCTGTGTACGATGAACGTGAGACGTAAGCGAAATTGAGAGTTGAAGTACAATTTCAGGCGAACGGCGAAAAAAAGGGAAAAGGTGAACGACCGGAGCGATGGGAAATCGTTAAGTTTTTGCCTCGACGCGAATGAGTGTGTGTATGCGTGTCAATGTTACGAGTACAGTCAATCTTTATCGTTGTGTACGAGTGTGACGACGATGAAAAATTCATCATTTTTCCATGAGAAAGATTCCTTCTCTGTGCAACCACATAGCCTTAGAGTATTCACATTTTCTGAGGGTATTCAACTCCAAAAATAAAAAGAAACAACAAAAAGCAGCGTTTTAGTGCTTTTCTTAACTCTCTGTGTGTATCAGTGCGAAGAGCGTTTAATGCTAAGTAAAAGGACACATCCAGCTTCATGCCAGTAATCAACAAAATAGCGGCAGATATAGTGACTTTTAAGTTTGTAGTGGAGTCAAGGCACCCTAGCTGAGGATATTCACATCTGCGATGTTATTTAAAGTCGAGAGGCATCAACATGATTTATGCAATAACTTTAGGAAACTGAATAATGAGGTAAAACCTTTTCAAAAGCTTTCCACTTAAGAAAACTTTCGAATCCTTTATAGAAAAAAGAGAGAAGCAGCATTAAGAAAGTTCCTCTAAATATTTATATTTATCATAAATGGTATGCTTCGTCATTGAGATGAAGGAAATCAAACATGTAGGCGCCATAGTAGAAAATTCTACTGAAAAGATCTTTAGGATTGTTTTCAAAGAAAGGTTAGAGCTGAAAGCTTTACTTACACAATCAAAATAAAAGCTTCTTTGTTACTTACAAACACAACAAAAGGAAAAAAATAATCGTCATAAGAACTTTTTACCACCAGCAAAACTTTTCACACCCCGATTGTTGTGTAAGACGCAAAATACAAAAATAAAAATAAAATCCTTGTTCTGTTCTTGAAAGCGTTTCGAAGGTTTTCCATAAGAGAAAGGAAAATGTGGAAATTTCAATAGAACAATAAACTCTTTATCTGATTATGTGTGTATATGTGTGTGTATGAGTTAATGTTGGAAGTTTGACGTAGGTCAGGCATTTTTTTGCCTTGCTTCGTCAATCGTCGTCGTGCTCAAAAATAACTTTTTTATACTTTTCTTACTTCCATTTTTATTCAAGAAAGTTTCATTTCTTTTCGCTTTTCACTTTTAAACACAAATACAGATGTGAAGTTACACAGGTTTTTCAATTTCCTAAAAAACGGATGAAGATTAATGATATCATAAAGCATTCGTAATCTCTTTTATCATTTTTGTTTTTTGAAATTTAGGGGAACACTTGGAAGTAAGTAATCAAGAAAGGACGCCAAGAAAATCCCACGCACTAGACGATTTTTGATACCTTGAGGTGTGGGTGAATTGGAGGATTCAAACAATAAAAAGCCGGTTATTCGCATGAGAGAAACTGATAAAAATTCTTCTCTCACTTTTTACTTTATTATTGTTATTATTTTTGGGGGTGTGGAGAGAAAAATAAAAGCTTGGAGATGAATGAAGAAGAAGAAGAAGATTTTGTGATAACAGAAGAAGGAAAAACTTTTCGTTTTCCATTTTCTCTCGCTTTCGAGAATGCCAATGATTTTATGGGAAATGTCTGGGGCTAAGGAGAAATTACTTAGTAATCTCGTAGCATTTTGTAGGGAGAAAAAGATAAAAGCATGCCGAAGGCATAAATTCAACAACACACTAAGAAGGAATGCTTAAGGCTCAAAAAAAATCACGTTGCGACAACTAAATTGACACAAAACATTGACTGAGGTCTTTGACATTGACATACACAATCGAATGGAAAGAGAAAAGTGCGCGTCGCGAGTGAGCGCAGGCAGAATCGACATAAATGGGAATAAAACTGTTTTAAAGGGTTTTGAACTTGATGAGTAAGTGAAAAAAATCTCTTTCATTGGAAAATCATTTGCGTGAACTGCACACGTAACAAATTGATGTGAAAAAGCCTTGAAAAAGGCATTGAAACACCAAAGAAATATTAAATTATGGGATTACATTAATACGTATCTCATCGAAAAACGCGACAAGAGAGATTTCATCTTGACACTTTACAAAGCTGATGATGATATAACATTGAACAACCCGTACCGCCTCACACCCGGCAGCTGGCAGTGATTTATGTGTCACCCATCAGCATTTTCCATGTTAAAAGTGAAATGAAAGCTGCGCCTCCTTCTCATGAAGATGTTCTTGATAAGGAAAGATTTTAACTTTCATTTTATGCTTTTGTGTGGGTGGATGGGTGGCGTACTTAAGAAAAACTAGGAAAAAATCCATACAATCATTTGCTAATGTTGTGCAATAAACTGTAAAACTCGGAATGTTAATGGCATCGAGAATATGATGTTTGATTGTATGAGTAGTTGACTAGCTTGCTTTCTTGACGGTGCCGTTTTGGCGTGGAAAAATTCTTTTTTTTTTGTTTCCATTCCACCACATTTTCGTGCGATTCAAGAAAGCACGAGACAATGAAGTTTACTGCTTACGTTTTTGCAGTCGTTTCGTTCACTTTCCATTTAAATCCCCTTTTTTCAAGCATGTAATGTGAAAGAAAGAAACTGAAACTACTTTTTCAGCCATTTTGTAAAAAAAGAAAAAAATAAAGGAAAGAAAAATCGAAGTTTTAATAAGCTTTGTGTTAGGATAGTCCGGGAAAAGTTCGAAGAAACGAAAACGATTTACAAAAAAGAAATAAAATTTAATCGATGTCGTTCACGAATTATTTGAGCCAAAGCTAAAAACCTCTTCGTGTTGTCTGTTTATATGACGCTTCGAATGAAAAAAAAATTCGGTTACTTGATGGTCATTGACATCCTTCATACGGAATAAAAAGAACCAGCAACAAATCATGAAACGGCCGAAGTGAAAATGTTGAACTTAAGTTCATTAGCATACATCAATCCCAAAGCAACTTTGTAACGGTTCACCGAGGGCATGAAAAAAAGTTTACATTGGCTAATCAGTAATATTCACAACTAACTAAACTACCATGGTGATAGTGTTGTTCTCCGATCTCATATTACAATTGTTATGATTGATTACACTGTTGAGAGTTCGCTTTTCTTTTTTATATATCAAACAAACAAATGTTTAAATGAACATGCTAGAAGTTAACTGAGCGTGTTAATGAAATCCCTAAGTGAAGCGTTTATTTTCCACACCCCCACTAATTGTGATCGGAAAGGAAAACTTTTCACTCTAGAATCAATATTTTGGGGATTTCTCTTTTTCTCTCCAATGCTTTACGCATGAATCGAATGGTGTTGAATAATAAGGGAAGTTTTTATGATATTTTCTCATTTTTATGATATTCAATTTGAATATTACGTGAGAAGGAAATGACATACGATAAATGATTGGCAACTTACGAGTTGTGACAGCAACTCAACTCTCGCCCTTTGAGGTGAACGTTCTGTAAAAATTCTCTGTAAATATTCACACATCGAAATTTCCTTGGGATCCCCGAAAGCGATTGTTTGATGATTTTCTTTCCTTTTTCTCTTTTTCTAAGAAGAATCATCAGAGGGAAAAAATATTTATGACGATAAATTTTCCATCTCTAAATAGACGCGCTAAGGAGAATGATGAAAACAAAGATTGTTGAAATTATGTATACATTTTTATTCGAACCTTTGGGGATGTTTCATGATGGAATGTTGCTACATCGAACTTCGACCGTAAGCAAACAACTGAAGTTGTGGTGTTGGTATCAGTGTCGCAACAGCTTTCGCAAATTTACCACAAGCTGATGACAGAATGAGGGAAAGTGGGAAGAAAATTTTCTTTGCGATTAAAAAGCTAAGCAAATAGTTTTGTCGCTTCTCGTGCACTTACTTTGAGCTTGCGAGCTTTTTTATTATCCTTGACGTTTGATTATTTCACGTTTCGTGGATACTTATTTTTATTGGGATTGAACATTACAAAGTTCATTCTTTTTGACGTTTCAAGCACAGTGTGGGCTGCTTTTGAGGAATAATGGAAAAAACAAAGCATCTTCATTTGATCTTCAAAACCTTTCAAGTCAAATTTTAAGCAAAAATGTTTGAGAAATAATTTCAAAAGCTTTTCACATTTCACCTCAATTCTTAATGGGATTTTTTTTTTTGTTTAACATTAATCTGAAACTTTGTTGATTCAGGAAATTTCAATCTCATTTCTTGTTCATGTGTGTTTATTTTGGCAAACGCATGTGCAATCTACTTGTGATTGATTATTTAGGTCAAAGTTATAGCATTGTATGAAGTTGACTCGTGTATGAAAAATAAAAAAAATCGAATGAAAATTGTGTGTCGTGTTTGAAACACAAGCCAGCACTACACTCTTAATCGTTCGTCATTAATGCGCTTGTGGTTGTAGTCTTCATTGCATTCGTGCATTTCTCACGACGTATTTATTTTCATTTGTGACTGAAACAGCGCCCTCGATCTTCGATTTAAACTTGAAACTATTAGAAATTTCTATTCCGAGGTTTTCATTACGTAATCGTTGGGGGATTTTTCTTTCGTGTGCGTTTCTGGTTATTTCACGGCTCTCGGATGTCAGACAGCAGTTTATAATGACTAACGAGAGAATAATTTACGTTTAGTTCAGCTGATGATTTATGATTGATTTGTTTGAAAAACTGAAAAGCTCCAACGCGTAAAAGATCAATGAAGGGGGAAGCATTTACATCGAAATGTCACGCAATTTATGCAACAATAAATGAATTACCAATCGATTGGTTCTCGAAAATTCGTTTCACCTTTCAAGAGTAATTAAAGGTTTTTTATTATTATTGTTACTTATTACCTCAAACTCGAGTGAAGTCATCAGATTGTCGTAAACTTTTTAAACATTGTCGAACATTAGTAATTTTCGAGATAAATAAAAAGTAAAAAAGTAATAAAATTATTTTTTTTCCTGTTGCATCGATTTGTAAGCAACCAAAAGAAAGAAAAAATTTAATTTGTTTCCAAATTTAGAAGTTCAAAACTTTTGAGGGTTTCTTGGGAAGGTACAGAAGACGATTAATAATAAGGATTTTTGGGCATGCTTGTCGACAACGGCATTGAGTAAGATCAGCTTTCTGCTGTGTAGTTATTGCCAATCAAAACTCCTTCTCATCTCTAAAAACCAAACTTACGGATCAACCAAATCCACTTAATGTGTCTGAAAGTTGCTTTCAGTCGAAGGAAATCGTTAAAATGTAAAGCATCTTTTATAATATGCTTTGGGAGTGAGAGAGAAAAGGTTTTTTATTCGTCTCCAGGTTCTCTGCCGTTGCCGATGTGCGGCGGATTTTCGGTTCGTTTGATTTTTTATATTTTATGACTCAAGATTTCTTGTTTTTTTGTTCATTTTCTATTTCGTATAATTGTTAAATAAACATGAAAGCGATATGAGGATGAAGAAGCAACAGCAACAGCAGCAGCCGCAACATTAGTCAGTAAACGAAATAGAAACGGAGATGGAGAGATTAGTGTCATAAAAGGAATCTTTTATGTGTGTGTATGTGTCTATTGTTACAGGGATTTTAATTTTTTTGAATTCATGAGTCACAAACTTCACAGCTCAACACAATAACGTGCGACGAATGAAGTTGTTTCAGTTTCACTCTATTGAGGATTAATCTCACAATTATGTCATGGGTAGAAGTTTTAATCATGGCAAATAGCTTTCGGCTTCCCATCTCATTTTCATCTGAATTAAAACGTTTTAATCCGCACATAAATCACAATTCCCCATTGTAAGTATCTAACGTTTTATTTAATTTTTTTTCTGGTATTCTGCGTTAGCCATGGCAAATAGAGTGCGCAGAGAAGAAAAAAAAAAGAATTCAAATTAACGATTGCTATCAATTGTATCGTGTCTTTTGTTGTCCGATGCCTGACTCTCCTTTAGACGGAACAACATAAAGCACGTAAATAGACAATTCGTCTAAACAGCAATTGTTCGTTCTCCCTCGCTCGAAATAAATACAACATCGACATGAATTCCCCGACACTAATTGTATTCCGTATAATTCATAATGGCGTAATAAAAGCTGGGGAACATGACACCTTGTCACACATTGTCAAGCGACACGTTGATGGATAAAAGACTCTATTTCTTTCATACTCAAATATGTCAGCAGAAAAGAGAACAAGAAATGAAAAATCTGAGATATCAGTGATGTTCATAGCAAAGCCTTAAGGGTGATTATGATAAAACTTTGTACGCACATGTTTATCATCTCATACGACCTTTCGAAACATAAAATTTTCTCTAGTTACGCGTACTTCACCATTCGAAATAAATCAAACTCGAGTGTGGGGGGAAGGCAAAGCCTTTAAATTTAAATCACAATTCGTCTCATTTTCGGGTCTAATGATTTTCAGATTTGCCAGCCTTTTCACATTCAAATTCGCTGAATTAATTCGAAACGCAAAAAAAAGTGAAAGTTTGAATTCACCGAACGACGACAATGGATAACTTATACATATGAGTTGTAAAATTTTTGAATGAGATTTTTGTTAAAGCCTCTTGATGTGAATTTTTCCATGAGTAGAAAGGTGGGCGAATTTTTCTTCGTTTCGATAACTTTGTAATGATTATCATTTAAATTTGCTGAAGTTAACTTCGCCACTTTGATCTTCTTGTAATTTAAAAGCTTTGCTTAGTTAATTTCTCAAGCATCAGTTTTTGAATATTGACTGACACATAGCAAATTTAAATTAAGTTTTAAACTCTCTTTTGAGATTTTCAATTAAAGACGCTTGAGACGAGAAATCGCAACATGATAAGTGTTTTATTTATGTACAACATAAATTGAAACCCGAAAACCAAAAGATAAATTGAAATGGAGAAAAGAAGTTACAAATTAAATTTCCATTAAGAAAGAAAAACGTCAAAATACATTCGGAGGGAGAGAAAATTCCTTTTTCTGAAATTTCCCATCTCGTTGTCATCTGTCCGTTAATTGTTTGCGGTTCCTGCAAGGGAAATTCTTCTTGTTTTGTTTATTTAGTCTTTGGGAATCATCACATCTTTTCTTTTTCTTATTCACAAAAATTTCTGTTTATTTAAGACTTAGTTTCCAGACAAACTGATACGTTCCTTAGGTTGTCAGTACTAACGTTAACATTTATACGAAAAATGGCATCTAGCGGTTCATATTTCTCATGCCACTTTTTGTCATTCTGTTGCGAAACGAGCACGAGCGCATGATGATTCTGCCTTAATTCAAATCAATCTGATTCGCATCAACTTAATCGTGCCGCTCTCAAAAAAATATAAACAACAATTAATCTCACTCGTTTTGATGAAAAATCTTCTTGAATCTTCGCAGAGACTTTCATATTCACATCTTTCTTCCATCATTCTTCAAATACTAAATCCAACATCTTGAGCCGTTTGTGAAACACGAAGAAGACATGGAAGAATTAAAAGAAAATATGGCTGGAGATTGTTAAGCCACATATGAGAATATAAAGATTTAAATGTGACAGGACGATGGAAGTAAAACATGAGAAGATTCCGATAATGTTTTATGTTGTTTGAGGGAGTTCGAGGGACTAAATAAATGACAAAAAAAATTGAATATTGCAGAAGAAAATATCAAGTTTCATAAATCTGTTTTGTTCCCTTTCCTTTCAAATTATCCCCAGAAAAAATAAATGATAAACTCAATTCAAAGTGACACTTCGCACCGTCGCAATTGTTGAGTAAAGTTTGATAAAGTTGCGGGAGGAAAACTTTAAATAATGATAAATTCTGAGAACGTTTTTTATAGGGCAAAGTATCGTGTTCGAGAACACTTAGCAACGATTTTACCCAAACTCGAAATTTGTATTCAATTTTCTCGCTTCAATATTTTCTTTTAATGTTTTTTTGATATTTAGCTCGCTTAGCATGTAACGTGTTCAACTTTCCGATAACAGCGAAATAAAATGGTTGAAATCTATTGAGCCATAAATCTGACAAATTTCTGCCTTGATGTACGAAAAAAGACGAAAAAAAAATTACAAAGAAAAGAAAACAAAACAAGACTTTAATTAAAATAAAAGAGTCTTCATCATCATTAATTAATTGGAACCAGAAGAATTGTCTGATGTATCGTTGAACTTTAAAGAAAAAAAATAGAAGAAGTTTTCTTCGTCCCAGACACTTGCTCGCTTCCACCGTTCGTTGAAGCAGAAAGACAAGAAAAATTAATTTTAATATCGCTATGTTCTACGGAAAAAAGAAAATAAAAATGATCTAATTAGATGATGGAAGCGAGAACGATGCTTTATCAACGCCTTGGTTGACGCAACAATGGTGGGATAGCACAATAAAAGCTGTTTGGTAACGAAATCCTCACCGTGCGTGACACTTTTGAACGTTCATGATGTTTCATTAATTCAAAAGATTTCTCGATTTAAAAAGTGAAAGAAAATCTTGTCAATAGCAAAATTGATTCCTTCATCTGATGGAATTTGTTGAAAAATAAAATGAGCGAGGGTGTCAAGCTCAAATTGCGTCATCTTATGATTTCAAATGCAGCACAACCAGAAAACCAACACAAAACAAGCGACATGAAAAGTGAGAAGTGAAAAGCAATATTCTAATCTTTCCACATGCGCACGATTTCGTTTCTTGAATGTTATCCCCAGATTGGGGTTAGCTCCTTTGATGACATTGAGCTGACATGCATTACTTTGCTGAATTTACTTTTCTTTCATTCTTTTTTGTTGTTGATACTTTCCCAGCTATGTTATCTGTGCAGCTGACGTGCAATGAGATGACGATAAAGACGAACCAGATAAGAATTTTAAAAGTAATTTCACTTTGATTTTCCACATGAAAACCTCAATTTTTCCTTTTACTTCTGTCCTTGTCCCGGTATTCTCTTTTCTCTTTCAAATAAATATTCACCCGTAGGGAAAAGTTGCGAAAGTAGAAGACGAATAAAGCAGTAGCAGCAGCAGCAGCAGAAAATGCTTCATTTTACATGCATCAAAGTTAAAGGAAAAAGCAATTTGAATGGGTATGAATGAGACGAGTAAATCTAATTAGTTTCAGGAAAGAATGAATTGAGTTCATTTATTCATTATTCATCGCTATGCTTCGATGTATTTGTAAAAGGTATCGTCAATTGAACGAACATCCGACTAAAGCAGTTTTGCTAATTTTATGAAATAGACAATGGTAGCAACAACGACAGCAATAGCAAGTGCAAGGTAAAGGAAAAGAAAAAAGCGTTTCGTTCCATGTTGTGGATGGTCAGCAATTGCACGCAATAAAACAAGAGAATCAAGAACTGCATTAACAACATGCTTTTAAAAATAGTTTATACAGGGTCGTTCTTCTTGTCGTGCGACATTATTTGTTCGAGAAATGTCAATAGAGTTAAATGTTCTGCTCATGCGATTCAAAGCTTAAAGAGAGTGAATTGTTGTCTAGCAGTGCGAACTTTTATTTTATTCTGTCTTAAATATTTACAACAAATCCAGGAGAGAAAAATTTCACGACCTTCTTCAACATTAAATTGCGGTTTGATGATGAAATTTATGTCATCATCAACTCATTTACTTCTTTTTATTTTTTACCCTTCAAGCTTTGTCTCAGACAAAGGCAACAATGTAAGGGGGGAAGTAAAGACATTCAACAATTTTATCATTACATTTAAGTTAATAACACTTAAGTGTCAATAGCATGAACGTGAAAGTTTCTTGAACTATCAACGAGTAGCAGTTAAAAGAAATTCTTCAAATTTTTCTGTTATTTTCGGGTGCTTTTAGTTAATGTAAAGAAGTTACATCGAACATACAATCATCAACAACTTAAAAGTTTCCTTAAGTCATTACTGTTATTATTCTTATGTGAACATAAAAGTAGCATAAAAAATATGAGAGAACTTTACGAGTGTTGAAAGGAGGGCAATAAAATAATGAATCAGTGAGTGAAAATAAAAGGAAAAACAAGTTTTGTTGTCACATAAATATCTATCTAAGTACCGAAGATTAATTTTTCTCGTGAAAAACAATTTCAATACACTCAAATTTGTAACTCAATCTTTATGCAATGTAATCACGAGCTAAGGTTTCATTCGACAATAAAATTGAGAAAGAAATATTTTCATAAGAATTGTTTTTGACAAAATCGTCAGTGAAACAAACAGTGAAGACTCAAATGGTCGAACTTTTATAACGGCCTCAAGCACATCTTTCGGTACTGAGGCAATCTCCTTGAAGTTGTCCATGGAAATTACCATAAACATGCTGAATCAAGTTTCACTCATTACACAATCGTCAGTTGAATTAAAACAATAGAAAAACTCGTCAACAATGTAGACACGAGAAGCAAGCTAAGATATTCTGACTTGAAAAATGTTGCATGCAATTGCAATGTTTTTTTAATTCATTTTCTTACTTTGTTTGCTTTTTTTAATTATTTCTTTTTATTTTTTTTTGTTAATGCTTGGTTATTTATGGATCGCTGTTTTGACGAGATTGTGTTTGTCCACAAACATCAAGAAGAAGAGAAAAAACAAACAAATAAACTGAAAAGTCCAATGCACAATTTGAGGTATCTAATTAGTGGTAATTTCATGTCAGAAATAATTAACTTTTGTCATTTATTTTTTTTAACTCTAAAGTGATTAAAGCTCGCTCAACACTACTCAGCACTTGTTATTAAGACGAGGATGTGGAAATATAATTTTAAATTGCTTGGGATAAGCAAGCAGCCGTTGCAGTCGAAGTCTCAGATCAGAGATTATCGCATTGTTGCACGTAAAAGAATTGAAATGTTACTTATTTGTTGTTAATGGCATAAATGAAAGAAAAAAAGGGAAACATCATGTAAGTCTGATGGAAAGATAAGATGCAGCAATTTGGAAATTCAGTTAATTCAGCAAATTAGTGGTTTCGAACCATGTCAAAAGCCATGTGTCGTCTCTGTAACCGAATATATGGCAGCTTGGTGAAGTTATCACCTCGCGAAATAGAGCGGAACGTAAAACGACAGTGAATGCGCGAAGCGGGTTACAAAAACAAAGAAAAACATGAAAAAGGCGGAGGATGGAAGTCAAGCGGACGATCGAGTGATGGCTGGTTGTATGCAAGAGATGGTAAAATTCAACTCGTGCGGTCGGAAATGGTTTTTGCATAATTCAACTTACAATCTATAACGTCACAAAAACAGCTTACTTGCACTTCAATTTATGCTTGATTTGATTTCACAAATAACTATTCGTTTGCTTGTGTGCTTGTTCACGTTCGATTGCAATTATTTTCGCTTGTGAGTATTCATGGATAGCGTGTGCACTTCAAGTAATTTCAATGGAAAAAAAAACTAAATAAAAAATGGTGCACTTGACACAGACATAGCTGGTGAGAAAACAAAACAGCAATCGGCGATGGAAAACAAAGAGCAAGAGAGTGAAGACGACGACAAACAAAATTACATATCATTACGCCTCTCGATGGATGGTTTCAGTTATTTTTGGTTGCAAGTTGCATCGAACCTGTAGGAAACAACTTTGCCTTCTTTTCAATCCTGTTTTGTTCATTCCAAATGGTTATTTTTAACAGCGAATGTTAAGGCACAAAGCAACGACGCAATAAGAAATATGAGAAGAAGGAAAGGAAGATGTTTTGGTCTTTCTTGTGTTCGTTATCAACGACTTAGAAACTCAATACGCTACCTTGCAATAAACAACCAAAAAGAGTTCTCAAATTATCAACATTCCTTGTAAAGAAATTTAAAAAAATGAAGTTGATCTTTCAACTTACATATAATTTATCAAAGGAAAAAAAAAGATGTTGCGCAATAAACTGAGCGAATTATCAAAAGAAAAAAGAATTCACTTGAAACTGAAATTCGAACTTAAAAAATTTTCAATTCGCTCTTCTTCGCTCTTTCCATCTCTATCGACTTGTTTCTGGTGTATGTATATACACTTTTCACTTAATAATTGATTGAGGTAGGTCGGTTTGTGTATTACTTGGTGCAGAAAAATACAAAAAATAAAATAAAATGAACACAACGAGAATTTTCCACCCTCGATCGATATGCGCTTCGAATTTATTTCTTTCATTTCGTTGCTTTCCCTTCATTAAAAAGAAACTAGCTAAAGAACTGCAGAGAAACCCAAATGGCAATTTCTTTTCGTATTTCTTGCGGTTATCAAATAAAATTTTATTAACAACACTCACCCTGCATTTTCGGATGCAACAATTGACATGTGGGAGTCATTGGCGAGCTGCAGGGATGATGGGCCCGAGAGAGGCACTAGCGGAGCAATGTTTTGCTCCGTGTTTGCTGTTATACCAGCCACCTAAAAGAAACAAGAAAAGAAATCAAGATAGTAAAACATGATTTGACTTTAATTAGTTCTAGTTGGCATTTTAAAATAGAATTTGATAAACAACATTCATAAGACGAGAAACGATCAACGTTGTTTCTATTTAAATGTTAATTATTATGCAATAAGTAAGTCAGTATCTACATCTTGTCATTAAACTGCATATTTCTCGAAGTTTTTATAATAATGCATTGTCTCCAATTCATTCTCACATGCATACAAATTCCATAAAACCGCAACTTATACCAGACTCGCTCCATTTCACGAATAAACTTATCAGAGAATTATGTTAATTGATACCATCTTGATGTAACAGCTTCTCACTGCGCTTTATCGCGTCATCTTCAGTAAGACATTCTGTGTTGCAGTGTTAGCTACTTGCACAATTAATTAAACGGGATTTCTTTTTCTCATTTTTTACTGACTTTAACAACGGTTTTATGAGAGCCAGATGCACAGCTATTTAAGTAGCGGTGTACACGGTAATGATATCATTTGTAAGACTCTTTTTGTTTCTTTTATTTCAACGCTTTTTCTATTAATTCATTAGAAAGTGGGCGATGTGGAAATCGCTTATAAATAATTTGTACATTACATTCAAAAAGTCAAGCTTAAAAGTAAATGTCAACGATTGATTAGAACACGTGATTGAATGAGTTGAAGATAGATGAATTGCTTGAAAACAACAATAAAAAGAATGAATGAAATTTATTCTTATTTAGAAAGTTAAGCTTTGCGAGAGTCAGGGGAGTTGTTCGTGAGTAATGTCGAAGTTTAAATTTGATAAACACGCGCGGCCTCATTAGCACAACTCTAAACAAACAGCAGAAAATAAAGAAATAAAAACGCCCCAAATTCTAGAAGAACGCTCACCATATCACCATCAGCAACCTTAATAGCGTCATGAAATATCTTGACTGTCGTTTATTTAGCTACTGGTCAAGAAAGCGAAAATGAAATATGAAATCATTCTCCAGTTCGCAATAGAAGCAGAATAAAATAATTTGCATTTTCATTAACATAAAGGAGTCCATTTGTTACAGAAAGGTTTTTGCTTGTAAATTCTTTTTGCGTTCTCGACTTTTGACTGTTGTAAGAATAACAAATGGCTTGTGTTTTCACGAGTAAACTTTACATGCTCCATGCTGTTCGGTAACACAAGTATTTAATGTAGAATAAAGAGATCTCTTTGCTGTGAATATTTTTACTTTTGAATATGAATTCTCGGTACGGCAAATCAAGATTTTTTTATGTCTTTCAACATGATAATTACTTCTGAGACGTTGCTAGGCAAAAGGAAAATAAAGTTTTAAATGAGTTTCATCCATCTAGCAAAGAACACATTAAACTCATTATGTTGATTACATAAAATGTTTTCGTGCATATGTTTCCGTCGAATGACAACAAGGCTTTGGGTAACCGGCAAACATCAGCGGCAAAAAAATATATAAAAATTAACGAAAAAGTGTTGCGTTCTTTCCTATAACTTTAACCTTGAGAGAACTCGAATATTTAACATCTTATGATTCACAAAGCATACATTTTTTAAGGCAAAAATATCAAAAAATTATTACCGAGAAGAATCGAATTGAAGTTTTGTGAATTTTACACACGATGTAAGGCAAACGGAATTGTTCTCAATTTTATGAATTTTGATGCTTGTGTGCCGATTGACGCTTAATAACATTTTCGCGTTTTCATCGCACTTATTTAAAATGTATGTTAAAGCTTCCATAACGTTAAGTGTACAGTTAAAGCTTCCTGTTACGGAAATATCTTGAGCATCATGAATCAACGTGACTCAATTTTTTGTATTGAAAGAAGTGATCGCATAAACAGCCACTGACGGTGTTTGTTTGCATGGGAAAAAATTACGGTTGAAGTAACAATTAAATATACCATACACATTAATCTACGAAATGACCGAAACAAAGAAACGATATTCAGACTTTTATGTTTCGTTGCCAGAAGGATTCAATAAAGTTTCGACTTTTCGATATTTTTTTCTTTTTTTCATTTCAATAGATCTCAATTTAACTCAAGATAAAGTCGAAGTAGCGGCCCAAAGGTGTGCCGCTCGCGAAATATTGTAAGCTCTCATAGATGTATAATTAATGAGTGTTATTCGCCAGCTCAATCCCATGTCTATGTTTTGTGCGAAATGATGAAACGCGGGCGCTTTTTATTACATTCTCTCATAATGCTAATTAAAAAACTTTTTTTTCTTCAAGTGTTTTAATTCCAGTTTTTACTATGGGAGGTTTTTATGCCAGCAACACAATGAAAACGATGTTCTTGTCGTAGCTAAAGTGTCACAATAAATGAGAATAAGGATAATTAACTTTTCATTTGTTGAAGCTATAGAGAAGACTTTATTTAGATAATAATCCAAGTTGATGACATCATAAAAACCATGAATTGAAGTTTTTCTTTAAGAAACTACAAAATTCAATCCACCAAGCTTTGTCTAATCTGCAAATGCGTAAGCACAAAATTTAGGAAGATATATTACTGTTCATAATCTTTTTCTTCGAATTAATTGACAATATCAGCAAAATAATTTTTTTCCTGACTCGTCTCGATAAGATAAAATTGCGTAAAAAGTTTTTTATTATAAAGGGAAGAAGCAAATTTATTCATTTATAACTTAAAAAATCAAAGACAACTTGGCAACCATGCACCTTGTCTTTCAATCTCTCTCTCTGTTTCTCTTTTGTGTCTATTTCGTTTCAATGTTTTCTACGTCTTAAAAGTTAATAGAAGCGGTCGTCGGTCGGGTCCAATGGTCTCAAGTTGTCTCAAAAAAATCGAAAGTGAGTGACTGTTGCACATTTCACATCCCTTTCCCTTATTTCTTTTTATCTATTGCATTAATTGCTTATTTCATGAAAGATTTGCATTCAACAATGCAAGATGCAAGACTTGAAATGAAATGTTTAAAGAGGCAAATGAAGAATGAAAACTAAATAATATGCAGCATTCATCCGGAGGTTGTCGAGCCAAGAAATCTTGATAAATGCACACGTGTAAATGCCAAGACATTGAATGTTTGTATGCATTGCATTGCCTTCGACTTCTACGATCTTCATCCCTTTTCATACACATCCCACCCAATGAACAGATGCATTTCTTCAATATTTATGTTTCGCTCTCATTTCTCTTCCAGTTTATTTTTTAGGGATACTTTTCTAGAATCTTGTTATTAGTTTTTTTTTGGTATTCTTGTTCTTCTGGACCTCTACACGTAAATAAACTCATCCAGAACTATAGATATGAGAACGAGAATGGGAAAGAAATCTAAAATGGATGAAACCGGTTTCGTCAGTTGTTTTGACGATTCCTTCTTCCTTCTTACTCGTTCGCTCGTTCGATGATCGGACGCGGCTGTTACAGTTTCGTATAACCCAAGACGATTTTTTATTTTCCTTTAACGAAAAAATACTCAAATCGTTTCCAGCATCTTGAAAACGCAAGAATGAAATAAAATCTAACTTTGTCTTCATCATAAATGATGAACATTTTTTCAAGCTGTTGAATGACTGCGAAGATATTGCGAATTGTGGGAGGTTTCTGGAAAAATTCCATTGTTTTTAATTTCCAAAAAAATAACGAGTAATAAATAAAGAGAAGAACAGAAAAAAAACTTTTAAAAGTCGTAAAAAAAGACAAAACACTTTTTAAGAAATATATAAATCGATGGAATTGACAGATTATCCGAGACAATTTCGGATGTTTTCCTAAGATTTGTCACCCTCATTTCGAAAGTCATTAAAAATATTTTTCTTCATCTCGTGGGAATTATCGCAGACATGATTTATGGTTGTAATTTGCAAGTAGCACCAATCAGCATAAAACACAATAAAAATTCTTATTAGACTAAATTGAATTATCGCATTCATTATTCACACTCACACACACATTAAAATACAAAACAGATTCACATTATGTTAGCAAAATTTTAAAAATAACTTCCACCCTTTAAACCTTTTCCAATGCAGCCCATTTCATACATATTGTAAACTGAGTCGCGGCAAAAAATAAACAATTTTGAAGTTGGAAGAAAAATGAGCCAGAATTATTAAGTTGAAAGTAAACATTCGTAAAAGAAAAGACTTTGAGACAGAGAAGTAAGTAAAGGCGTGTGTTCGGAATAATGCGAATAAAAAAGAATAGAGATGAAATATGTTGTAGAAATTTTGATAAATGCGACATAAATCATAAAATTGCATTGAAATTCACCAATGGCTTTGTCGTCATTCCGTCCGGCAATCAGTCACGCCGACTTTTAACGATATTTTGTATATTTTTACTCAAAATTTCGTGCCTTTGCTGTTGTTTTTAAATCAAGTTTTGTTTGTTAAAAGTGGCACGTTAGGTGGCAATATTAGTTTTATTTGCTGTCGATTGTTGTCATTTCTTTCTTCGATCATCGTTCGTTGTAATACGAAGCGATTTGCGATCAAATAAAGTTCAAAATTCTCTTCTTTGAAGCTCTTATCACTATGTCGTTTCGTGACGAAGCGACTTGATTATGGATTTCATTCCGACATGACGGTTTGTCGTTTTAAAACCGATCGCTTTGCACTTTTTTCTCTTGCAATGCATTTATTCATTGAATATTTTTGTTTCAATTGAATGCTCAAGTTGTATTATTGAAGAAATTTGAAACGCCAACGCTACAATGTTTCGTTTAAAAAAATCTGGTACTGGTAGAGGGATTTAAAAAATATTTATTCAGTGTTTTGACAGAAATTAATCAAATGACGATGATGTCAATCTTCTAATAATAAAATAAGTCATAAAATATTTTTATTTTGACAAATGTTTTCCTGTTAACAGCATAGAACATTAAAGCTTCTTATGAAGGCGGTGATGTTTGCATTGATTCATCTTATTATGAATTTTCAAGACAAAGTAATGAAATTGAAATTTGATTTAAAAAAAATCATTACAAACTCTTGCGAAACCACACATCTAAGCAATCTTATAATCTTTTTAGTGTCGTACACGAAAAAATATGTTGCGTCACAATCCACACAGCAGCAGCACTCAAACAAACACTCAACAACGAAGCTTTGACAGATTGTTTCATGGTGTTTTCCTTCACATGATTTCTAATTCACACAACAACGTTGTGTTTAGCGTTTTTTGCGTATTAATTCGCAATAGAAGGAAATACAGAATGATAATTATTATTTTGAAATGTTTCTCTTTAATTTTAAAAGTATAGTTAGATGCCGCTAGAATGCTACACCGCTCAAAGGTGTAGATCACCTTAAAAGCTCCATGACAACAACAAAAAAACAAAAACTTTCGAGACGAAAGTGCATGATGAAAGTTACAACAAGAAATTGGAATGAATTTAGTTTAGCATCAAATCAAATATTGACTTCCTTGATAAACGTAACATAATGGAATCAAATGAAACTACTTTCAATGTTATGTTCCTCGTTCTTCAACTGATAAAAATATATATAAATATATATAAAAAACAAAAGTCAGACATTTTGAATTTCTTAGCTGTGTGTTTCACAATATGTTTTTTTTTCTTTATTTTTCTCTCCAACTCTCTCACTTTGAGGTTTCGCTGTTTTTCAATAACTTTATATTTTATATTTCTCTTTTGCCTCTTCAGCGAATTTCTCGGTCATTTGAGTTTACTTTTTTTAGTTTTCTTACAAAACAACTTTTTTTTGAAGCACATAAATTTGTTATTAATTTCAAATGTTTTTCAAGTCGATCGAACAGCGAGGTGGAAATGAAAAGGAAAATATTTTGAGAGATTTATTTCCGCCCACCACCTCACTGCTTCAAAGGGACATTCATTCACTAACAACTCATACCATAAATAATATCGCGAACAAAACAAATCTCATTGCACGATGAAGCATGCGACATAATTAAATTTATGGAAAAACATCCTCACATAAATTTTGATTACAAATGAGATGAGATTAATTAAGAAATCCGCGATCTTGTTTTTTCTTTTGAAAAACGATTATGAAAACTTTTGGAGACTTTTTCATGTTAACTAATTTATCAAAACCGGTATTTATTAATGAAACAAAAAATCATTTTTTTGATCCACAAGCTTTGCATTATGTAAAGAATGACGTAACGCTTAATGATACTAACCAAATCCGATGTCGTATAATTCCAAATTTTGAGGCACTTATAATCCCTTTTGAAAGAAAGAAATAAAGAAGATTCAATCTCCTTTCTGTTGAGAGTTTTAAACTCTCGTTAGTTATGTTGGTTTCTTCTTCTTCTGATTATATTTTAAATTCAATATATGTTGCAAAACTTAGCTTTCTTGCACGAAACCCGACTCATTAAATAATTGCACACACTTTTTTTATTTCTTCTTTTTTTACACACAAGTAGAAACTTTTTTACTTCGCTCTTATGATTTGCTACCACTTTCTTTATTTCATTTACTGGCTTTATTTTTTTTCTTCTCTTTCTTTTGCAAATCGCTCGTATTTATAGATCCAAAGCACTTTATTTCTATTTCTTTTACTTTTTTTCGCTTGGCTTTTAGAAAATGAGCATTTGATGCTCGTTTTTGTGCATCGACGAAAATCGAATCAAATCTGGTGTAATTTCTAAAATAAATTTCTTTTTGTTTCACTTGCAATTTTTGCACAGAAAACACTTTCTTTTCGCAACAAGAAGAAAATGTGTGGAACAATTTTCAACAACACTTTGGGGGGTTTTTAAATTTCTTCTTCTCACTGGAAAATGCAATTGTTACAAAAATAAATGTTCGTTTCATTCTAGATTCCAGTGTCATGCATTGAAAAACAATTTTTCATCGATTTTTGTTTGCTTTTGTTTGTGTCATTAAATTGATTTTTTTGTTTCTTTCTTTCACTCGACTTGCCGTGATGGCTTTTGCTTGTTCACATATAGTTTTGGCTGCCAAATTTTTTTTCTCTGGTTTGTTTAAAATGTTGTCTTGTAAAAATATAAAGCACAAAATTGATTTTATTTTCCTTCTCTCTTCTCTGCTCTGTTCATGTATCAACTTCTGGGTGGCTAAGCAAGAGTGGATCAAAAAACAAAATCTCAATTCTTTTGATTTATCGATTATTGAGACTGATGGCAGCAAAAATATCAATTTATTGTGATCGTATGAAAAATAATAGCACTTTATTTGGACTATTTCTCCATATATCTAATGTGTAAACTTTCACATGAAAACGAATCTTGATTTCAACCCCCGAGATTGAGTTTCAATTCTATCTTTACGCTTATATATTTCTCTCTCCTTATCTGTCACTCAATTTTCTTAAACACAATTAATTCATGCAATCTATAAATTGATATCACATTTAAAATAAACAACTCTAAATTACTTGTGATTATGTACAAACATAGAAAGTCCTATCGACTTATGGGGGTTGATGAAAAGCCTTCCTTCAATCTCTTTTCTTTTTATCAACGGATAAGACTCGTTAGGAATGTTTTGATTTTATTGTTTTATCAATTTTACAAGATCTTTGCACAAATTTTCCTTTTTCGATAGTTTTATTGTAAAAATGTTTTCAGGAAATGTCACAAATTATATTCAATCGCTCAAATTCGTCACGTTTAAAATTCACTTTTAAATTTGACAGTGCGAAAAATATTCTTTACTTTCACGTTGTTTCAATTTAAAAGAAAGAACAGAAAATGTACATACAAAACACAAATTTAGTTTTTTTTTGTTCTTTTTTTTTGCTTCCTCTTTATATTGTTTTTCATGTATGAATCGCAACTCTTGGCTTTGCCTCTTTTAGATTCTGATTATTCTTCGCGAAAAATTAATGTAAACGTTCAACTGAGCGATCCAAACGAATTGAAAACTCAAACACGAATGAAATGCTCCGGCTTTTTCGTTTCGTTGTTCAAGCAGCGAAGTTTCTCGCTCATTTTTTATTCAATCTACTCACGAAATTAGGCTCCATGTATCGTAGTGACTTATGTGTGGAGAACACTGAATGACGAATGTTGGAGCTTTCTTTGTTAGTATAATCGGCTTCGTGTTGTGTAATCTCATGAAAATATTTCGTTTTTCTCTCTCGCGATTGCTGATGTTTGTGTTTGTATCTGAGAGATGTGACGCGTTGTGTTGCACAACATTGAATTGTGATGTTTCACTTAATTTATGAAGTTAGATTAAATTTTATACAATGAAAGAAACTTATTGTGACTAATATTAGTCAATGGGAAAATACGTTTTGACATCCTTAAAGTAAATTCATCATTTTTACGTCTTTAAATATCATCATGGAAATTATCTTTTACACAACATGTCACACATGAAAATCATTTCTTAAGTTCAAAAATCTCACACACAACCACCAACGCATTTCACCAGAAATCTCTCGCACAGCAGCCAAAAGATGGAAACGAAATAGAAATACTAACATAACAACCGATACCGGGTACAACTCAAGATTTTTCTTCGTCTCGAAGACTTTTCTGTCTGCTCATTTATTCGCAAAAAAAAGAAGTTTAAACGAATTTCTCTCTCCAAATAATATCAGATGTTTGTGTAATAATATTCTCTCGCTCTCGTCGCTAGCTTGTTGTTGGTTGAGCCGTTTTATTTATTATTATTATTCGGGATGGTTTTATACACAATTTATTTAGTAGACAAACCTAATATCTGGATTTTTGTTACTGTCTTCATCATCGCGAAAAAAAAGATTTTTACGTTTGTGTGTAAGATTCACGGCGTTGGAGACGCTTGCTTTACTTTAAGACCCCGGGATGGTTTGAATGCAAGTGTAGTGGGATGTCGAAAACAGAATAAAAGGAAATAAAAAACATTTTTCGATTTACCGATGAAAACAAAAAAAAAATGCTTCTTCTCAATTTGAGAATATCTAATCATTACGTAAGAGTTTGTGAATGTATGCATAGCACCTTCCAGGACTATCATATAAAATTACACGGTAAAGAGAAAGAAGAGTTTCATATCACAATGAAATTTATTGTAAACTTCACTACGAGTTGAAATTTTCGACGAAAAACACGCCAAAATTTGAGTGAGAGAAGATTGTGTGAGTTTGAATTTTACGAAAATAAATCTCAAGACTCGAGAAACGATTGCATGATGTTGAGATGAGATATTTTATTTCCATTTTATTGCTTCGCGATAATTATAAAAGGAAGACAGCTCTTCTTATTCTGCGCACTCCGATTAGCATCATTGTTAGTTTCTATTGTTTTGGCCTGTTAAGAAGCATGATATTCATTCTTTATTCTATCTGCTCAAAGCTCCAAAGTGTTTGTCTTGGGAAATAATACACAAGCAAGTATCTATCTCAAATTAGTCACGATATTACACGTAGACCCCGACGAAAAGCAACGAATAGAAGTCTTCAAGCTGGAACGGATTGGAATGAATGAAAAAAATCTTTAGTTTCATTTTTAGAATTTTGTTTTTCTTGCATGAGAAACTGAATAGCGAAAAAATGAAAGAAGTAAACTGCAAAAAACTTTTGCCTTTCGTGAACCTGTATTAGTATGAAATTATTTATTTTTATCACAGAAATTTTTCGAATTTCTTGATAGATACGCTGATAGACGTCGCTGAATATTTAAAAACTTGAAATTTCCATACCATACAAAATGTTGCGAAAACTATTATAAATTTGGAATTTAAAAGAAATAAAAGTCACAAGATCAACGATGAGGTTCGTGATCACTGATCAGGAAAGAAAGAAAGAAATGACAAAATTTTCTTTGCTGTTAAAAGCCTTTCGCACTTATCGTTTACTTTTTCAGTTTTAATCTTTCTTCCGTTGAACTTTACGTTCGGGCATAGCGATTGTGTAATCAAGTGTTATTTCATTTTGAGAAGAGAAATAAAATTAAAACGCCTGCCTGAGTTTATTGAAAATGTTTTCCGTTCAAAGTATAAATTTCTATATTCTGGAACCATCCAGATGAAGAATGAAGTAATTTGGAATTGTTTTCATAAATGTCACGCTTCTGAATAAAAAAATAAGAACTGTAACGATATGTATAGCAGCGAAAAGCGACTGTAATTATTTGATCACAAATAAAATTATTGAACAGTCATCAAGAGTTTCGTAGGAGTGAAATGAAATGATATGTACAAAGATAACAAAAAGCCGGTTTTTTAATAACTTTTTAGGAAGCTCTCTGAACTTAAGCACGAGTAAAATAAGAACCTCATGCTGTCAACAACATAAAGAAATGCTGAGTACATGAGAGTGAAAAGGAACCGCTAAATAAAAGCAAAGCAGAAACACATGTTGGTGCTTATGTCGATCAATTATGTCGATGATTGCTTTTGACTCTCTTGTTGATTGTTTTGGCGAAAGAGAAGAAACATAAAAAAGTTTGCAACAGAAAGGAAGCAAAAATCAAGCACACATGAAAAGACGAGAAATTATTTATCAAATTTCGCATAACAAATATCAAATTTTTTATGTTTCTTTTGGGTAAGCAGAGAATGAGCCTTTGCAGTCAGAAACAAATTTTCTCAGAAATATTTTATATATTTTTTCAAAAACACATCGATTCATGAATTTTGTTATAAAGGCATTGATTGGATCATGGAAAAAGACTGAGTTAGTGAGTGAGTGAGGGATGGAGTCAGAGAAAGAAAAAAAATAAGAAAAAGATTGCTTTGAGTATCCAATTACTCGTAATGACGGTGAATAACTGAATACATAAGACTAGTGAAGAATCGCAAGAAGAATGATTGAGATAGAAATGAATCAGCTTATCTTAAGCTTAAAGTTCTCGTTTGCATCAACATTTCTTTGTTTATATAAATAAAATGCATAAAATGTTTGAGACAATGAACTTCTTATGCTTAATCACCGAAAATGAATTCGTCATTCGCTTGCATTCCAAAAGAAATCTAAGATCATAAACACCAGAAAGAAAAGCAACTCGCTTTATAAAATACTTGAAGGAAGGAATTCTCAGACCATGCAGTTCTTATTTCGTGCATTGCTGTCGAATGCATGAAGAGCACACATGCAACATTGCACGTATACATTTGAAGCGTTTATGCATAAGCATAAAGGCTTGAAGAGGAAGTAAAAATAATAATTTTTCCTTCTTGAATTTCGAGCTCAAAACGCAATAAATTATTTAATAGGATTTTACGAGAAGACAGATCAACCAAGTGTATGCAGCAGTAATAGGCAACAACAATTTAACGTTAACCGAAGTTGAGATGTCGAGGAGTGAAATTTGAAAACAAACTCTAATAAATTCAAAATTACAAAAAGCAAATCCAATAAATTAAAACTGAACGAACAGAAGCGGAATTTTTTAATTTTTTGTTTTTTTTCGCTTCTCTCGAAACTTTTGTGTCATTTATTTAAAATTCTTTCTGATGCTACAGAAAACAAAAGAAAAAAAGTAAAACTTTTTTCAGATTCAGACTACACGAGAAATGCATAATTATATCCCAAGAGTGGAAAATAAAAAATAAAAAGTTTACATTTTGAGAATATTTTATATTTCACTCGAGTTGTCTAATAAATTTCGTAAATATTCTTTTATTACACACAAAAATCAAACAGAAATGATGCTAAATAAAGATTTGTTGGAAATTTTGAATTTTTTCGATTTGCACAAATGATCATTAAAGAAGAATGTTTAACTGCATCACGAATCGGAAGTGAAGAAGCTTGTCCGATTGGAAACAGTAAGTTAGAAAGCAGAAGTAGCTGAAGAAGATCAACTTGATTATGCTGCTTGCTTTACTTTCTTGTTGAATGGAAAAACGGTTCTGTTATAATCCAAGCACCGTTTACAAGCTATGGAAAATGAAGAAACAGCAAAGAAAAAAGAAAAAGTGTGTTTCTGTTACATGGCAACAGCAACGGAGATAAATAAAAACGACAGCGAGTTGCGACGCAAAAGTTTTTCTCTGAATGAATTTACATAATGTTGTTCATTCGGAAATTCGACACTTTTGTCCATTACAGAATAATGGAAGTCTAAACAATAGAAGCTTTGAAACTTGATTTAGCATCTAGATTTTCGATTTATCTATTTAGCAGTAGCAAACAGCAAACAGCGAACTCTTTTAATGAAATGAATTCTCAGAATATTTGATTTTAATTAAAATCTTTAATGTGGTGCTTGTTAAAAAGAATTAATTTGAGTACAAACTGAACTGACAGTGAAGGAAGAACAAGAAGAAATGGAACATTTTCATTAAATAATTATCCATCCGGTAATAAAACGTCATTTTATCTCTTCGAAACATATAAATATAAAAAAAATCAATATTCCGATCTGAATTTGGTTTCATGACAAATCACTTCCCATTCAACAGATGCAGAAAAAAAATGATTTAAATATAAATATTTCAATGTAGCATTGAACAATACGTTTAGAAGCTCTTGCATAGTTAGTTTCTACCATCACCATCATACAAAGCGGGAAATTCCATCAACGAATGTATTATGTACAGTCATTTCCTTTTTTGATGTCAAATTTAATTTTCATACGGAAAGTAAAATGATTAATGATGGTCTCATTTTGTGTAACGAAAAGTTTCATTCTTTGTCCTTTTAAGCTCGACAATCAACAAAAGCTTCTCTTTATTCATTTGAAAGCTTTGCCTTCATTCTCATTCCTTCACCTTAATTAATTCCCTCTTCATTCGGCCTAAATTAGGATGAATATTTCATCTTGTTATCGATACACTTCTCTAGAGAAAATTACATAATAATCTCGTTTAATCTTAAGCAGCAGTAGCCTTACTCGCGCTGTGTGCCATAGGATTTGTGGCGCTAGGGCATCTAAAATAATAATGTGATTTTATTATTTGCTTTTTCAATTTCAATGTGAAGTTAATCCAATGACAATTTATGTTCTTGAGAGTTCTTTTTATTATTCTTTTTTTTTTTTTGTTTCTTATTCTTTTTTGGTCATAAGATTTGAAAACGAGAATGAAAATATGTAAGAATAAACTGCATTGTTAAGAAGCGTTGATTATTGGTTTTTCTGGCTGATTTAAAAACATATTTCACGCTCAGCAAAAATATTTTTAATAATGCAACTTTTTTTTTTATTGCTGCAGTTTATCTTTGTGGTCATAAAACATTTTAAAAGAATTTCTCTTGTTCAACTTCGTATCTTTCAACAAATAAATATTTTTTGTGAAAATGAAAGCCAAAGCATTAAAAACGACAATTCTATGCCATTAATTTAGATGGTAAGAAGCTCAAAATATTTCCAGTAAATTACAAATATTGTTGCGAATGTGAAGAAGTTGGGGGAAAAGAAAGCATTGCAATGACTCAATGGATGTTGTTAATAACATGAAGGATTTGTTACCTATGGCGATAACAAGATTTTGCAATTTTCTATTGCTTCGACACCATACATAAGGACGATAAATCGATCCCATAAATTCAATGTTGTGAAAAAAAAGCGACAAACGAACGATACAAGAATTCTCCATTTCGTCAATGCATTGATGAACAAAAGAAGGAAAAATTCTATTACTTCCATTGTGTTGCGCTTTCGGTGATGTTTGAAAGGATGTGTAATTAAATTTACGTTTTTTATTGTTTTTTCTTCTTCACTTTCGATAGCACAAAAATTGAATTAATTATTAAACATTTTTTGTATTGATTCGATGCTTAAAAATTAGTTTTTTTCTTATTCAACATATTTCGAAATGAAATGAGCTACATTCATTAACTTTACCTTTTAAATATACATTTTAGTTCTTTGCGGTTCCAAAAATTATTTTTTTTACTTTCAAGATCAAGTCATGGTTGAAGCTTCAAAGTTTTTTTTTTCTTGTTTATTAAAGCACATATTAAAATCGTTCAACAGTATATAGATCAAGATTAACAGTCACTTAAGAGTCTTAATAATCAGATTAAGTTGACTTTTAGCAACGTAATCCGACTTCAAAATTGTAAACTGCATTGAATGCTTCAGAATTTGATTACAAACGTTCAAAATTTATCAAACATTTTCGAGGGTATAAGACAAGTTCCATTAAAATATAAAAAAAACTTTAACAATAAAACGAAAACCTTGAACATTCATTTTTCTGCAAATTACTCACGTTTTCTAACGAGCAAAAAAAAAAAGAAAAAAAAGTTCACCACCATGAAGAGCAAGTGAATTCAGCAAATGGCAGCGATGTATTTAGGGGCCAAATAAATCTCACAAACAATTGAAATTAGATATCGAACATTATCATAAATATTTTTAATTAAAAGGACGTGTTAATCGAATGATTGTGCAATCGAAATGAATCACTAATTATGTACATGAAATTTCCGATCTCGTCGCTCGTGCTTATGACAACATGAAGACAGACGAATTTCATAGAATAATACAACTTCTTAGTAAATCTTAAGCATAAACATAGAAATTTCATTATTATACAATCTTTATCTGTGTAATAAAAGTCATATGTGATGTGGATGATGACGGCGACAAACATAAGAAGATAGAATATAAATGCTGTTTGCAAAAGTGCTTTTGTGTGCACGAAATTCTCATCGTTAGATTTGCAATTTTCACAATCGCATTAGGCGAGCAAAATGGAAAAAGAATTTAAGAGAAGAAAAAAAAACAAAATAAAAGCTAACTATTTGATGAAGAAAAAGAACAGCGCCGTTTGCTTGATTGTGTTTGTCTTTGCACTCAAACTGACGAAAAGATATTCATTCGTAAGCCATATTTTGTTAGGAAATATTTGATTGAACCTTTTATGTTTCTTCTTCTCATCTCTTGTTTCATGTAGTAAAGTATGAAAATATTTTGAAACTTTTATTCGTTTGCAACAAAATGCTTGAAATGATTTGAGGATGTGTCATTTTAAATCGATTTGCTTTATGAAGATTACTTAGTGTGAGACGATCAGATAAAGACAGACTTTGTCATTTTAACTCATCTGAGGATTATTGTTGTCATGAGTGTCAAAGGAAGGATAAAGGTAACGAAGATATTTCCACCAACATGAATCGGTTGTTAAAATATGGTTTTACATAAAAATATTAAATATTAAAAATAATGTTTCGTCTGCGGTCACTTAATGAACATTTTTCTTTTCTTAATGCGAATCATCTTTTTAAACATTAAACGTTGATACAACTGCAGATCTTTTCAAAACTTTTAAACGAAATTTTGGTTGCTTGGCGTTTGATGAATTTATGACATTTCAAGAAAAAAGTAAAAAAATTCATTCGCTTACACATTTCTTACCGAAACGAAGAGAAACAAAAAAAAAAAGTTTAAAAATTTCTTAATATTTTCAAAATATCACATTATGAATAAAATTGCCTCATCAGTCGTTTACTCCTAGGATGTTTGTAGTAGTCAAGAGAAGCGTCCAAACGACGTGTTTTCTACGATGCTTCTTTTTTTATTATATTTCTTATGAATGCGACACGCTAGATTAGAAAAATGAAAACCGAGAAATGCGAGAGAGTGAGAAGGAAAGCGAATATTACTTCCAAAAGTCATTAAATATTCAAACACATATGTTTTCACATCATAGTTTTCAACATTCGTCAAACAGGTGCAGTTTTTCTTCATCATGAGGGATCGACAAAGAGGAAAGAAATTAAAAAAATTTAGCATAATTTCATGCTCAAAATAGTTTATTCGCGATAAGCTCCGTAGCTTAAGCAGTTCTGTCGTACACTTTGTTTGTCAGGTTGGCGTAATTAATGTAGGAATTGTCTGAGGGTTCAACTTGTAGCTTGTTCCGAATTAATCAAGTAATTTGAATTTATAGTTTTCTGAAAACCTCAATCATTAAGTTTCGTTTACTCAAAGAATAACTTTTTTTTTGTTTTCTTCCAACAACGACATTCAACAGTTTTTATTTCTTTTTTTTTGCGAAACTCACCTGCAAAAAAATATATAAAAAAAGCAAGAGAAATAGAAGAAGAACGCTTTATTATAATAATTCAACAATAAAAGCGAGCTTTAATAGAATTGTTTTGGAAAGAAATTCAAAGTCAAAACTTTTGATTTTTTTTTGTTTTTATTTCAATGATGAAATGAAATGAAAGAAGTTGAAGAATATGGGAAGCAATAAAGTGTCATGTCGCCATAAAGAAACTCTCGTTTCTTATCAATTTTGCAATAAATTACGTTGAGTTAACGCTTTTGTACGATGTGTTTTGCTTTCAATTACAAGCTCAAGTTTAGTATCACTTGTTTGCATTTTTCGATTTTTGCAGAGGAAGCTAGAAATTGCCGGGCTACATTATGAAGTGGAGTCACGTACTGATTTCGATGTTAGAGAACTTAAAGTTTCATGTCATGATTTGTAGATCGTTATTTATATTGATGATTGGAGGAAGTTTTTTTTTAGTTTTGTATATCGCCAACATGATAAAACTCTGACGACTTTATAAAATCTTTTAACATGTCTTTACCTATTTAGATATGCAGACGTCAAAGACGATTCACCCCAATACATTCTCACTTGAAAAGTTGGCGACTTCGAGAAAGGAAATTTGTGTGGATTAATTTTCATAATTAAAAAACTGTATTCGTGTTTGAAATGAAACAAAACAAGGCGAAACGAAGTTAGAGTATGAATGGATTTATTAGGCTATTTAGCAGCGGATTCACTATCAAGGTCTATGAAGTATTTAAACATTCAGCAATGAAAATTATGAAATGATAAATCTGAGATATGCCGAACGAAAGAAAAAAATAAAAAATTCGACGGTGCTTCTGAATAAATAAATAATTTCGTTTAAAAACATTATGAAATCGATGAGACTTGAATCTCGAATACATAAATTGGCCTCGTGAAATATCAAATCAAATTGAAAATTATGAGTAAAGTGATAAGAGTGTATACAGCTTGAAATGCATGGATGAATACATGCAAAAATTATTTAATATTCTTTTAACTTTGAAATTGACACGCTTTTCAGGAATTGTAAATATCAGAACTTGCACATGCCGTTTCTCGCTTTCAAACAAGTTAGTTGTGAAAGCAAAGAAGACATAAAAAAAACAAGAAGTTTATTCTACTAGCTAATGCACTTTTTATTTAATGCAACAGATTGCAAGAACTTCAGCTGGCATTGTTTTCCTTTCGTATAATTAAATCACGCTGACATAACATTGTACAACTTTCTATTTAATTTCTTCTCTTTCGTTTTAAGCGGGAACGGAAAGGATTTACTTTACATATTTACAGAGAAAAACTTCTTTAACTTCTCCACAAAATTGTTTAATTTCAACAAAGCAAAACTTTTATTATGCAAGCCACGAATTAAAACCAGAAGAAGCTCAACTCTGTCCATTTTTTCATTACAACTATTTCCAACAATTATTGTTCTTAAATGAGTTTTTCTATAATCATGAAGTCTTCAAATTAAAATTATAAAGAAAAAAAGAAACTTTTGCTATGTTTCTGTAGAAAAGTTTTTTTAATTCAACGATGAAAAGTTGATGCTTTTGCTTTCAACTTAAAAGACATGAAACAATTAAATCCAAGGGAGAGAAAGAAAAAGTAAGTAAATTAGATTTAATTGAAGTGCAATTTTAATTGTTTATGACTTTTTTAATTGATTACTTTTATTCGTTTTGTAAATCCATGTGATATTGTGACAACAACCGCTGATGGAACAATGAATTCCGAATCTGTTTTTAATTATCGCGAGTTCGCCGTCCCGTCATCAACCTTTTCGAGCATTTCCACAAATTTCAAGTGACGCAATTTTCCTCGTTGTATCATTTTTCATCATAGCACAACATCATCTTTAATATAAATCTTAACGAGCATATGAAGAATTCTTCACGTGTGCTGTGTGCGATTCGCACCTACTGACAACTTCTTTCAAAATTTATAATTAATTTAATTTTTCATTTGAGTAGCGAAAAACAGCCACACAACGACACAAACACATGAATGAATGATCGAGGAAAAAAATTATCTTTACAGTGACCAGGTGTTGTCACTTTCCACATATCTAACTCTTTTATATTCATTTCGTTTTGCGTATTTATTTACTAAACATGCGAACGACTCACTTCAAGTTGGCATTGATGAATCACATGCGATTTTTCTTGGATTTTCATTAACTATATTGGAAACTTATACAAACTAAATATTCAGTTTAGAAATCAACCATCAATAAAATTAACTCGAATCAATTTTTTTGTTTTCCTCTCATAAATTCATCATTTCATATGTCACTTTAAACTTTAAACTAAAATTTTATCGTTTACCTAACATTTGCTTCACGCTATTTTTATCTTGAGTGAATTTAAGCGAAGAAAGAGATGAAACTGAAATCTTTTCATGCGAAAGTAAGAAGGTGAACATACAACAAGAACAAATGTGACTCGTGTGGTTGAAAATGAAAAGCTCCGCTTAGCAATCTTGATTAACATTGAGCTTAAATAATTGTTAAGTATTTTCGATTGAAGAAAACTGTAAAAAAAATTGTACAGATTTTAAATCTTCTCATTTCTTAACATTAATTAAACTATGGGAGCGCCACATGCAACTGCCACAAAGAATTATATCGAACCACACCGCACGCCTGCTTCCCATCTTATAACATTAAAAGAAAACACAAACACACACCAAACCATAATCATTAAGGGGATGTTTGAAGCGTGAAAAAAAAGTAATTAATTTTCTCTTAATAAGATTTTTGCCTTCGTTGCACGATGGTTACAAGATGTGGAAATTTCAAGGCTTGCATGTGCACAACAACGAAAAAAAATGGAAGAAAAGAAATTGCATGGAACTAGGGGAGTAAAGAGAACTGAAAACTAACGATTAATGTTATAGAGACACCATCATCGTTGTCGTGTATGTGTCATCAACTTCACACCATATTGTGACGATAATAAAATGATTGACAATTAAAATAATTTTTTCAATCTTGTTTTTTATTACATTTCCAAGTCACAACAAAGTTGCAAGCAGTCGACCAATTTGTAAGTCTTACAAGCAGGCTTAAAGATTTATTATTCAAAAGTTTTCCTTTTACAAGAAAGCGAACTAAAATAGCCTCCATTTGAAAGTGGAAGAAGTTTTATGAGCCTAGAAACCGACGTCAATTTGCAGACCGCAATTTTTTTTAAATTTCATTCAGAAACATAAAAAAATATGAAAGCAACTTATTCATCAATTGTATTGAATTTATAATAGAAAAGCTTTCGTCAATATCTGAATGAATCTTTAAAGAAGAGAAGACAGACGTGAGCATGAATTTTAGCATACATTTTAGCAAAATAAATTTTATTTTTTTATTTAGTTAAAAGTAATAAATAGACAAACGTCACAAGTCTCGAGCGAGGCTTTCAAAGAAAGTCATTAAGTCTCCCCAAGATCTAACGACAAAATGGAAGTAAACGTTTGAATTTCTTAGAAATACTGGCGCAGTTGCCAATCTTAGTCACGTTTAATTTTTTTTCTTATTTTTCGCGCGCGGACAAATTTAAATCACAAAACCTTTTCTCTTCTAGTTGACAAACAAACAGAAAAATCTCAGTTGCTTGGCATCATTTGCTCTCGAAAAGAGCTCAACAGCATCACACGCAAATCCACCCAAAAAATGAAAAATAAAAAACAAAAGAATCTCGCGGTAGCCCACGGTAAAATGCGACTCGGCGTCGTTTCTTTCGTGTATACAACTCTTTTCTCTCTCACACCTCGCACCGATGTGTTTGAAATTTTATCTTCTCTTGCAGAATGGAAGATTTCGTTAGCTTTGATGTGATCGAGAAGAAGAATAACTACTATAGTCATAGAGGTATATGAAGCAATAAACAACGTGTTAAGGAACCAAGGCAAGGTCGCGCAATGGAAGTTTCTTTCGATGATTCTTTTATTTCAACCAATTTTTTTTAATTCATTATTTTTTTTGATACTTTTTAAACACTTGAGCGGATGTTCAACTTTTAAAGAATTCTAAATTTCATCCAAACAACGCAGTAAGGAAATGTAAGATTTCTTTTCAGTATCAACAGAATATCGTCAAATTAAATTCATAAATAAGAAATCATTCTTAGAAGATGACGTATTAGTAGTTACATTTTATAAATGAATATAAACATGAGATGAATACAAATGTTTTCTCCATACCATTGAATCAAATTGAGTAAAAACTTAAGAATTTAGGATTTTAGAGAATTCATATTCCATTGCTTCTTTTTCTTGCTCGTGTTTCGCGTTTATGTGTCGATGGACGAGGGTAAAGAGCGTTGATTCCATTTTCATTTCGATGATCCCAAATGCTTAAACAATCTTTGTTCACTTTTTAATTTCTAGCAGACATTAACAGTCGTCTATGCCTTTAAATTTCAAGCTAGGCCATTTTTATCTTAAGAAGATTATTTTCTCATATTCCTAGAAATTCAATGCGATTCTCATTTTTCTTATGAATAAAAATGACGCAAATGGACGAATGTCTTTAAGAGAAAGAAATGTCGCTATGGTTTTCAGAAAAAACTCAATGTTAAGTTACAAGAAAGAAATTATTTTGACTTTGGTCACGTTTCGTAATCAAAACTCAAATTATGTAAAACGAACCGAAAGGAAAAAAGAAAATTCATGAGCTACATTTTGTGCGTTTTCGCCGGAAACAAATGAAGAAGTGATTTAATTAAGTCCCAGTATCCCAAAAGGAAGAACAAGATGAAGAACAGAAAAAAGTTTCTTATCGAATAAATTCAACCAGCAGATTTTTATGACATGGAAAGAAGTCATAATATTAATACTTTTGACATTTTCTATGAATTGCAGGAGGCTGTTGCCCTGTCGATTAGACTTTCCTCGCACTTGTACAAACATTCAGCACTGAAACCGCTGAAATATATTCTTATCAATGAATCATCTGTGGTTGAACGAATACTTCTTCCACTTTGAATAACTATTTCTAACTTAAAAGCATAGATTTTGCTTGACGAGCGCTTATTTACTGCTTAACGATGGTAAAATTATTTAATTGTTTTTTATTAGTCAAGCTTTCAATGCTTTAATGACTCGCCTCGAGGCATTTTATTTCTTTCTTTTCTATTTGGACTGTTCATAATGTTGTCATAAAAGTTTGTGTTCATTGGTGTTCATGGCATTTGAATAGGTATGGAACATTTAAAATTTTCGTTTTCTTTTTCTTTTTTAATTTTGCTACCCGTGTAACTTTACACTATGTAAGTAACATCGACAACATCAAGCAACAAGTCCGCCTTATCTTGCTGCTTTAAAGTCCGTAATTAGCACACAATTCCCATAATGATTCTCATGGAAAGCTATAAAACCACATCGGCTTTGAAAACGCTGTGTAAACAGTTGGAAAATTTTTAAGTTGTGTCATTTTACAACATTTGAATACGTAATGAAAACGAGCTTGACAGAATTATTTTACTTCACATGTTCACGAATTATTCTCGTCCAGTTTTTTTTTCACAACTGGTTAGTGCGAGTGAATTTAAGTGAAGTTTGTAGACACAAACAAATTTCAAAAATAATATTTACGTTTTCGCTTTTTCACAAAAATGCTTTTCTCATGATAGATAATCGCGATTTTATTTTATTTTTCTCTTTTTTTATGAGTTTTGTTGTGTTGAGTTAAGCATTTAGTAACAATAACTTTAATCAACTAATCTGATGATCTTGACTTTCAATCGTAAAAGCGTTTAGTGTAGAATGTTTAAAAATATTTCTGCTTGATCAATTTCAGATGATACAATTACATGATATCATAGAATTGAGTTGAAAAGAGATATGAAACTGTCAGTGTAGAAATGGCGACATGGGACAAGAATTGTCAACAAGAAAACAGAAAGAAATAAATCAAGTGAAATGATTTAACAGGCATTAAGAAGACAAGATTGTTGCAATGATGACAAATAAACCTTTTTAGACAACATCAGATCTTCGATCCACAAATCAAATTAGCGCAATAAGCAGCAGAACATTGGAAAAATAAACTCAAGCAATTGTAAAGTTTAAAACAAAAAATAAATCAACATTTTTTTTTGCAATTCTCGCTTCTCTTTTCTTTATAAACAATAAATTCTCTGACTGCTTCTCTTCAATGTTTGCTATCATGAGTCAATTCTTTCCACTGATCCAACAGTTGTGTGCTGATGTGTAACAAGATGCGACAAAAGAAAAAATATAATTAAAGTTTTAATTGAAACTGATGGTGTTACACTTGAAGTGAGAAGCTTAGACATTTTAATTATTTATTTGTAAGTTGGAGTGCAAGTGTGCAACACTTCCGTGATGAATTCTCATGTTTCAACAATTTTGCGTAGGTGGAGAAATGATTTTTAATATTTTACATAAATAACTCCAACTCTTCTTCACAAATGATTCACTTCCATGACATATGTCACGAGTTTTTCTATTCAACTTTGCTTTGTTCGTATTTTCTTTTTTTTTTCGTTCACCTATGTTGATCATCATTGAATTTTAAATTAATGTTTCAATCATGAAAGTTTAAATATTTCTCCCTCTCTTTGAAAAAATTTAGTCTCATTCATGTCTCATTTGACTTTTAAGCAAATAAAATATGGCAAGCAACGAACTTTGATTTTATTTTTTTTTATTGGACAAAGACAATAATTGAAAATTTTTAGTCTTGAGTAAATAAAAAAAATAACATTCCCGATTGCTGGCAATTATAAACATTAATTCACACAAAATAAAATGCCTATTTAATTGTTCGCATTACCCTTGACCTCGAAGCACTTTTTCTTCGCCAAAATAAATGTCATTCACGGGGATTTAATCGAAAATACAATTTTTAATTGGAAATGAATTGAAATACGCTTGAGATTGCTTCCTAAATACATCGATCTTAACTATTATCGCTTTATAGATTTTTATTTATTTTTTTTTCTCTTACTCGCGCCAACTTCATTTGTTGTTCTTTTTTTTGTTTTTAAGTTCCTCTGAATTGCTTTCACCCCATTTTTCTATGTATGTAAGTGTTCTAGGGAGAAGAAAGAAAAAGAAGACAGTCTCGCATTCTGGTAGCGAAAAAGTAATTTAATATGTTTGTTGATGTTCTCGTTCTTCCCCGACCCGTTATAAGAATGTTTATGTTACATATCAGTTTGAATGAGTGAATGAATGAATGGGCGAAGGGGGTTTTTAATAGGACATTTATTCTAAAGGCTTTTATATTCGACTAAAGAAACATTGGCTAGACAATAAACAGCGCTTTTTTGATCATCTCGTAAACAAATGGAAGCTTTATGCGATTGCCATGAATTATAGGCCGGATGGTTGTAGATCAACCAGAAACAAAAAAAGAACATGCTGGTGCATGTGCTGACTGAGTTTGGCATTATTTGAAACGAAATTTTCATGGAGATTTCTTCTACATAAATCCAGCTTCATTGTTTAATCAGCAATAAATTACAGATTAAAAGTTGCAGTTCAAGTTTTATTGAATTTTACGTCCAGTTGATTACTAGCGCTACCTATGTTCCAATAGCTGATTGACACTCGATTTTTTTTAATTTTTGATATAGTTTTATTCAGACGAGTTATATCATTCGTTTTTTATTTATTTATTTTGTATTTTAATTGTAGATATTGATTGAGAAAAATTCCAGTATTGACGCAGTTTGCATTTACAGTAGAAAAATTTAAAGCCGATATCACTTTTGATTTCAAATGCACTTTTTTTTAATGAGTGTAGCATTTTCTTTTTGAATTGCTAATTTTATTTTGCATTGTATTGATTGATACGAGCATCTACTCTTTCTTGGATGTTTTTTATGATAAATTTATTGTGAGAGCTATTAAAAAGTTAATATGACATCACATTTGAAAAAGTCCTAGAGAGTTTTTCAAGGTTTGATAATTATTCAATTTTATGATCAATTCTTAAATTTCAGGTAATGAAAGAACGATTTGAACACTTTATCATAAATACTTTTCACATTCATCCTTCACAGAATCATTATTCTCGTGTAAATGACGATAAAAATCGTTTTCAACTCACCTTTAATTATGATATTCTCCTTATTAATCCTCTTATGATTATATTTCTGTTTTTATTTTTCAATCTGTTTTCGGAACTTTCAAAGTCTCCTTTCACTTTGTTCGATTTAACACTTGAAAAAAAGTTTGTTAATGAGATAATTAAGAAGAAATAACATTTGAAAATGCACAAAATTTCACATTTTTCAGACAAAAATAAAATATTACTCTGGATGTGTTTAGGATTAAGCTGAATGAAGCAAACAAATTGTAAGGTTTTCGATGTGAAGAAATTTTCAAATTTAGGGTGTGAAGCTACTGCAATTGTTCGTGCGCGAACACCCTTTTTGTTTATTTTTACCGAGCAGACCGAATAAGGGTTTTAATAGCAAATGCTGTAAGAAACCATGTTACTCCGAGATTTTTGAAGATTTTTAATGTACATTTGCAGAAGAAAGTTTTCATAATCTATATGTGAAGATGAATGAAAATTCTTCTTAGAAATCGAATTCATATCTTATTTATTAAATGGAACTTTCAATTCGAATTTGATTTGTCAACAACACTGAAGAGAGCTTCAACTTAGACATTTATAAACTGATTTCATAAACTTTGTCCAAATTTAATAAATTAGGTATCTAAATCAGATTTTTAATATTCAAATCATAATTATTTATTTTATTATAAGATAATTGATAACTTTCATACATTTATAAAATAAATTTTCATTATTTACAGTCAAATGCAATTTAGGTTCCAACTAGAATACTTGGAACAATAGAACGAAGCGTATTTATTGAATTGTGCAATATGCATACCATTTGAACATCACAATCCACAAGGAACTCTGCGAATAAACAAGCATTTTCATGAGAAACACTTATGACGACAACAACTTTGTTGTTTAAATTGTTTCTCTCGATAGTCAAAGCTTCAAGTCGACGATCACTCAACATGAGATTTGTGAATGGCAAATTTAATGAACCGTCAATATGCCATCGCTTAAACTCATTTTGAGGACGAAGATCAAAAACAATGACATCGTTTGGTTTATTTTTTAATAAATGCACAAGATCATTGGCACTTATCCGTGATGAAATTTCTCTTTGAATGTCACTCAATTCAACGCTGTTGATATCCTGAAAACAATAATTAAATTAGTAACTTTTTATGAAATATTCTATGAAAATTTAATTTACAAAAACTTCAGGTTCTTCAGTTCTTAAGACATGCTTCCGATGACAAACACTTTTTGGTGTTTTTTCATACATCTTTTGGGAATCAGTAACGCAAGTCTCCATAACGATGTCAGGTAGATCGGAGAACAATAAGATACATTCGTTGAAACCTGATTCCAATAACGTTCCTTTCAATTGCTTTAAAATTGCAATTCCAATAAACAAAGGATAAGACGAATCACCAAGTATTAATTTATCCCAAAGATGAAGAATCTTGTGAAGTGGAAAAACATGCGAAAACATCGTCAAAACCCATGGAATAGCAAAAAGTTCCGGAATAAAGTTGATTGAGTTCAAATGTTTCGCTAATTTCGGTTCGTGAAACATGACAAGTTGGGAGAATTTCGTGAGGTATTCTTTGATGACCATCGAATTATCTTTCAGGAAGAAGTTATGCAAATACTTTGGAATGAAGTTGTACAGTGACAAGAACGCTCGTTCCTCGTCATTAAAATTTGTAATGAGAAATGGCGCTGTTAATGAGTCGAGCCCTTGCCAATAAACATATTGAGGATGAGCTGTCACCCACGCTTTTAATAATCTTTTCAATTTTTGGTGGCCTGTCGGTGATGATAAGAAATCGTCATATTGATGACATCGCGGAATGTCAACTTCAATTTGACGGTCTGTTGGATTTGGCGTGACTTTATCAATTCTTTCGTATTTTCCATTTGGTAGAACGTTCAATAAACATGCCCAAATACGCCCACGCAATAATGGTGGAATATCTATTTTCGCCTGTTCAACAATCAAATCATGTGTGAATGGGTACGCCTTAAGCAGTCGAGCAAACAAAACAATCCGATAAAATTGATATTCAATGTTTCTTTCACGAATCACTAAAGGTAGTGATTGCATTTCAATACCAAAGTTGTTCGGTAATCGTGGACAATGAAGCAATGGATAAAATGCTCGTTTTGGGACCAGAAGAAGTCGTTCGGTTAAATTGTTTGTGTTGAGAGTCACGATTCGATGATCAAACAAAGAACTTTGGCTTTTATGAATTGGATGAGATTTTCCATTTTGAAGCATGAAAAGTCTGGGAACAGTCAGAATTGGAGCTTCACTACGAATCAAGCCTTCTTTCTTTAATTCTGCTTGAACATCGCCGCCTGTTAATTGCCACAAATAATAAACTTGCGTTAATTCAAGTCTTTCGATTGGCAACATTTCCACTATTGACTTTTTCATCTCTTTATATTGAATTGCATCATAGAATTTGAGGAATGTTTCTTTGCTAATGATTTCTTCTGCTGATGGTCGATCTTTGGATTGAATCGCCAAACATGATTCTAAAAAATTTCTGAGTTCAATGTCTAAATTGTTATATTTGACCAGCACATTATGTTCTCTAGCTAGCTTTTCTAAAACTGATCCTCCAGCAGTGCAATAGCTCAGAATTTTCCTTACAATTTGACTGAACTTCATATTGACCCAAAGAGAAATTTCAAACAATAACTCAATGACAATCAAAGCAAGACTCCAAATGTCACTCTTGGGATTACCATGATTACCAAGCATTCTCTCTGGAGACAAATATCGAATGTTTCCAACAGGAAATGAAACATATTCGTCATCATTATCACGAGTCATGTAAAATAATCCATAATTAAACATCTTCACATTGAAATTCTCATCCAAAAGAACATTCGATGGTTCTAGATTATGATGTACGATATCTTTTTGATGAAGATGACACAATCCATTTGCACAATGGAAAAATATTTTCAAAATTGTTTCAAGCCTTTCATCTGAAGGGATTTTAAGAAAGACTTCCGTCAATGGTGATCCATAATATTCGGAAACGACAATCGTTCGCTCTACATAAATAAACTTTTTATAATAAAATCCTTAAAAACATACACAATATGAACTCACCATGCTTTCCTCGTTGGACATCAATGTATTTTGTGAGATTTTCATGTTCTATTGTTTTGAGAAATTGAAACTTTCCGAGAATTGAAATAGAATTCGGTGTCAGAGGTAAACCATTCTGCGAACAAGCATCATTATGCCATGATTTAGCAATAAATGTAAGAGCTGAAAGTTGTGATACTGATTTCGATACAGAAGGGCACATACTTTTATTAATTTCTTTATGATTCCCGTTTATAAAATTGCAGAAAGCTAAATGTAAACAACAGTGAGGGGTACGTTGCTACTTAAATAGTTTTGAGTTGTGATTTCACAAATCGATTAACAACATAAAGTCGTTGCTATAACTTTTTTGATTTCTCAAAACCTGATCCGTGATTACTAAATATTAGTGGAGAAAATATTTTTCTTATTATAGAAGTTTAGAATCGGAATTGCACTGTTTTAAGCAGGTTCAAGTTCTTAATGTGCGACTTTGGTACATTCGCGCGGACCGAGGTTTCCCATACAAAACAGTACTCGCGCGTTTTCTGAACAGATGTTGGCGATGTTCATAAAACCAATCGATTAAGTTAGAAAACATTCTGCAATTGTTGATGATGAAAAATATTAGAAAAATCTGTTTTTAAGTTATTCAAGACAGCGAAAAATGTTTAAAAACAACTATGACGTTAATGAGACAATAAGGCGAATACGTAGACTAATTGATGGCAAATTAACTTACCGGAAACTTTTTGTCATCATAGTTTGTTCTTGTGTTTTCTTCCTTTGGTTGCTGAGCCGATTTTTCTTTGGCAATGAGAGAACCGGACCAAAAGGTAAGTCACGAGACCGCTGTTGTTCATAATTTCATTACACAATTTATTGCAATATTGCAGACTCTCTTAGTTCATGCATCGATGATAGCATAACGCCACGCACTTACTCAGAATTCGATTATGGAAACGTCAATATTTTCGGTATTGATGGTTTCGGTGTTCAAGACATTCCTTATGTTGGAAACGGTATCTTTGGATTAGAAGTAGCACAAGATGCCCAATTATTCATAAAAGAAGGACGAGCCTTATTACTACAAGTTCCCTTTGCTCCAATTGTTTCAATAGCAAAGAATCAAGAAGCAGTCAAAGAAGCTTCCGTCGTCGAATACTTAAATGGTTTGGTGAATCGTCATCAATGTTTCGACGACTTTCAAGTCAAATATCTTTATTATGCACATCGTAATTACCCTTCAGTGTTTGTGCAAGAAATTCAAATCAAGAATTATCGAAATCAACTCGTCGATCTCAATTTAGTGCTGCCAAGAATTGTTGGCGATTGGTCAGTCGCAACTTCGCAAATTGTTAAAATTCAGCATGGCTCGAAGTTGGTTGATTATCAAGTAATTACTGGCCATGTACCTTCTTTAATTAGCAAGAAAATTCGAGCTGTTTCGATTGTTTATCGTTTAATTCCCAAAGTTTTGACACTCAACAAGAAAGGAAACACAAATTTAATTCTTTTGACAACAATAAATTATTCGAAACCAATCAACAAGGAGCAATACAACCAAGAGAAGGATTTTGTTCAAAAATCAGCAATTGATGCGATGAAGAAAATTCTAGAAGAGCATGTAGTGGAAGCTGCCGGCGATGCTTTATATGATTTCAGAAAGCAACACACAAAAGTTTGGAATTCTTTATGGCAAACCGGATTTTACATTTCAACATCAAAAGCTGAAAATGCTCTTAATGGTGATAAGATTAATGCAACAATGTATAAAGTGTTATCGCATAATCGAGCTTATGAATACGAGGAATCAATAACACCACAAAGAAAGAATCAAATCGCGCACGATTTGGCATACGCTGAAGGATGTTACGACAGTTACCACACACTGCAAGCTGAGAACTTATGGAAGAGCATGTCGACGATAAAAGATGCAAACATGGTTGTTCAATCGTGGATGTTAACACTGGAAAAGCAAGGTTGTCATAATCTTATCAGAGCTGGTGCCAGTGGAATCATCCAGTCAATGGTTCTGTCATTCGGAGGCTTCAGCTTCAGCAATCAACATCTCGAATTCAACATTCATCCCAAATTTCTTCATCGTGACTTTTCATTTAGACGATTAAATTATGGCAACATGACGCACGTTAACGTGACTGTGAGAGTTCGTGATGACAACAAAGCTGAAATTGAAGTTGCGCTTGATAGATCTGATCGCAATTATTATGCATGCGATGGTGGATGTTTGGACACGCCAGTTCAACTTGGACCTGACAAGAGAATCTTTCCAGTGAAATTGACTGAACCACTGACATCAATTCTTTATATAACATCTGATAAACAGCATATGGAGGATTTAAGACATGCAATTCATGTGAAGGAGATTGCAGAAGCTCCAGCTCACGAGCATCATGTGATATTCTTACACAAACACGGGAGTAACCTTGGAGGCTTACCGACATTCTTTTGGATTGCCATCTGTGCAATCATTGTCATCTTCCATGTTTTCTTATGCAAACTCATCGTTAAAGAATACTGCGAGCCTCCAGAAATTAAACGATATCGTTACAGTAAACCTTAATTTGATGTTGTGAATGAATGACGAGACACTTGATGATCTTCTGACGCTACTTTTATCCTGAATTGTAAGATTGAAATTGAGTTGATGCGAATGTGTTTTTGTAAATAATTTAAATGTTATAAAAATTAATAAAACTTCTGATGTGCGATGAAATTTTAAAAAACAAAAATTAATTTTTTGAATTTTTCTTTTTATTATTTTTTTCACAATTTTTTATTTCACAATTTTCCTTTCTTTTTCCCTTTCATTTTCTCTATTTTTTGGGTGCATGAAATTTCTTATAGAAATTAAAGGAAACAAAATAACAAGACATTTTATGTAGATAAGTAAGTAGAATTTAAAAAAAATTAAAACAAAAATAAGCGACAAGGAGACCTTGAAGGATAAAAACAAAAAAAAAAACAAAATGTGGAAGAAAACATTTAAATTCATGAGACGATTTACTGTTTTACAGCTACGAGAAAACAATTTTCATTCTTCTAGTGAATTTTTGAACTTCCTAGAAGTGTCAAAAGTAAATTAGTTAAATTAAATTAAATATTCATACGAAGAACAAACAAAAATTGCTCAACGTGGAAGTATAAAAAGTTGATATTTATAAAGTAAGTAGAGGTTTGACTTAAACTGGTTCCGATCATATTCATTCCTAATTATCTAAATGCAAATTGATTAATTTATGCTTGAATTTATGTTTCTTTTAGTAAAAACTCTTTTCTCATCATCATTTAATCATAAACAGACTTTTTTGGCCTTAATCGTAGTCTTTTCACACATCGAAATGAAAAATCTTTCTCTTTAAAGTTTGATTAGAAAAGAAGCAAAAGGTTTGTCCTTTTATTTTCATCGAAGGCTGAGGGACCTTCTTGTCTATTTAGAAACCTAAATTTTGTTTTCCATCAATTACTTTTTTCTCGTCTTTCGAAAAATGTAAAATTACTAAATGCTACGAATTATTTTCTTAATCAAAGATGTTGTTTTACGACGATTACGAATAATTTTTTTTCTTTTTACGATTAATTAATTTTTTTTTTCTCTTTCTTATGAGTTTTCCATGTTGGATCTAATGATAATGTTATACGTTTAATTAACTTACGAAACTTAGTGTTAAACAGACTTTTTATGGCAATATTATTTCATTTCTCCCTTTCATTTATTTTTCTTTTTGAATTTTTTCATCTGATGCTTAATTCATTTTGGTACTTTCTCGAAATGAGAACATTAAACGGAAAAAGCTTAAAAGTTTCGATTTAGTGTTTTCGCTAAAGAAGTTTGAGGGCAGTGAGTGGGTGTGTATGTGTTTATGTGTGTGTGTAAATGTGCAAAAGAAATGATCATATTGATCTTATCATTATTATTGATTAACTTAGATACTTTACGTTAATATTGTGAATTTTTGTATCATTGCGTCATTTTTCTTTTTTTTTTCTTTAATCTTATGTCAAATATTTTCTTCAACGAAAATTAAACGCATCGCGAAATGTTTAGATAGATAACCGTCCAGACTTTGAAATTTTGGATGAATGTTTCAGCTGTCTTAGCTTAAATCATTCTGCGAAATTCTACTACAAGTTTAGTAAATAATTTTAATTTAGTTTGTATATTGTTATATAAAGTTTTTTTTTCATAATTCATTACTTTTTTTTACTTGTTTAAAAACAGTCTCAAGATAATTCTTCTTATTATGTTGCATGCATATTTCCTCATCATTATTAAATTTTTCATACAGAATTTCAATGGAAAAGAAAAACATCAAATATGATTCACAAGGATTCGATGAAACTTTGTTTTGTTTTATTGCTAAACTTTTGGAACTTTTCTGCACTTCATCAGACTCAAGCAAACTTATAAATGTCAGTTGATAAAGTGATATAAGCGATAAGGAAAAAGATTTGGAAATGTCATTGAAGATCATCAACAAATCCTTTTCGCATATTTAGTTTAAAAGCTTTGAGAGTCCTTTAAAAGCTCTCAAAGTTTCTCTTCATAAAAGCTTTCAACATATAAGCAGAAAAAAATTTCTTCTATCTTTCTTCCTTCCTCTTTCCCTTTCTCTCACATATAACGATAAATATTTTCTATTGTTCAATTATGTCTATGGTTTCTCTTTCATTTTTCCTATAGAATTTGCATAAATGTAAAAATGAAAAACTTGCTTCTGTGCTTAACTTCGACAATCTTCATTAATGTTTACTTCGTTTATCCACTGACACACAAGTCAGTTATCAGTTACGTAGTTACGTTATAATCTTTTTCCATCCTTCCTTCCCTCATTTTATTTAAAACGTTTTCTCTTTCATCGTAAATATTTCTTCCTGAGAATCTTGTGATCATGTTTACATGTATTCAAGTTGATGACTTTCAAAATCCTCATTCATAAGTTGAAGATTTTTTCATTGATTTATGTCAATATGTAGAAAAATTGTCTGTCTGGGATTAAACTTACTGGGCTGTGAATATTTCATTCTGTTAAACAATAAATTTCATTATGATGCCTTGGCGAATTGAATGACCGAACTCATACGAGCTTGGGATTTCGGAGTAGCAGCATTGGGCTGGTTATCTTTGAAGTACAATTTACGTTTACGTGGAGGCAGTGTGTTGTTATCACGATCAGCCATAAGCAATGAATCGCTATCGGGTGATGATGAGCGATCTGGCGATTCAGGAGATGATCGTGGTGGTGTCAATTCAAGTGCAGCTTCAACACACCGAACCAAATTTGATGGTCTGTTAAACCATAAAAAAGAAATTAATAAAAGGGTTTATTGGATTTTAAATGTTTATCTCACTTGTAATCGTTTGATTGCTGAACTGTATTAGCAGCAACAAAATATCCATTGCTGTTACTTCGACCTAAACCTATCTGAGTTGAATCATAACCAACTTGCTGAACAGATGATGCTGATGATGTCTGTTGGATCGGCTTTAAGGTGATCAAATTATTGCATAAGTTACTACTAGTGTTACTGTTGGAGGTAGGTGTAACGGGTTGTAAAGTGGCTGAAGCAGTTATAGAAGCAACTGCGAGAAGTGCTGAATTTACACCTGAACTCATTCCATATTGATTCACGACAGATTGCTCGAATCGTGAATACATATTCATGTAAGTGACATCATCACCATCAGAGTTTTGTTCTGAACTTGCTTCAGAATCTTTGGGTGTGTCTGGATAGACCGTCGTGATTGATGTCGATGGTGCTGGTGTAACTGAATTCATGATTGAAAATTGTTCAGCAAAGTTCATCAAATGTTGATTGGAACTTTCGTTAGTCTCATATTTTGTCACCACAGGATGATTCATTGTGATGTTGTTTGGCGATGGTGTTGTTGGTGATGATGTTGATGGAGTGTTTAAAAGAATACTATGTTTGGTTTCTTGTGGCTGTTGACATGACCGATCATTCGCCATATCTTCAACATTGTCATCATCTGGAATATCATTTGCATGGCCTTTGATGTGTGCTTCCATTTCTTTCTTGTTTTTGAATGTCTCATCACAGATTGTGCATTTATAGCACTTTGAACCGTAATGTTGCACACGGTGAAGTTTCAGCACATGGTTATAGCCGAAATCCCGGAAGCAAATGTCACAATGATAAGGTTTTTCGCCTAATTTCACAACGAATCATTTTTAGATTTTTTTTTAGCATGAATGAAAATTTAAACAATTTTCCTACCTGTATGCGTACGTGAATGCACCTTGAGTTGTTTACTGCAAGTGAATCCTTTGCCGCATCCTTCATAATTGCATTTATAAGGCTTCTCGCCCGTATGCGTCCGTAGATGAATGACTAACTGACCAGATTGAATAAAAGTCTTACTGCAAATGTTACATTTATGGGGGCGTTCGCCGGTATGAATTCTCATGTGACGATGAAGTTTTCCACTATGCTCGAATGCCCGACCGCATACATCGCACTGTTTTAATTTTATGGAAAAAATGAATTTTTATTCAACACAAAAATTAATTTTTAACTCACTTTATATGGACGTTCTTTAGTATGAATTCGCCGGTGAACTTGAAGGTTCTCTTTTACACTAAACATCTTGTGACAAAACTCACATTCAAAAGGACGTTCTCCAGTGTGTGTTCGGTAATGACGTACCTGTCAATATCAATAATCTTATTAATAAATTAAATAAATGGAAGAAATTCAAAGTCACCACAACATGTTGTCATTAAATAAAAAGAAAATGAAATTCACCACAGCATGTGTAATGGAAAGAGGAGAAAGTAAAACCTTACAAATGTTTTATTTGTACTAAAATTATTTTCTTCTTCACGAAAGAAATCGTGCGAAGAAAAAAAATTCACTTTCATTATCACATCGCACACAAAGAGAGTTTCATGTACAGTTTAAGAAAACTTTTGTGGTTGCTATTTAAATACATTTTCGTCAATGAAACTTACCAATCTCGCTGGTACAGCAAAAGTCTTTTTGCAAACGTCACATTGATATGGATCAGACGATTGCATTTGTTGACTACCATTAACATTGCCGCTATTGGCATTAATTTGCGACACTTGCTGTTTTGCATGTGATTTGGTGTGGCTGGTATGAGCGCTCTTCGTAGTAAACGTCATATTGCATTGTTCGCATTTGAACGACTTTGTTTGCTTTTGAGTGCGTTGACTCGAAGTTGTCGCAAGTCCATTTTGATGCTGCTGCTGTTGGTGATGCTGTTGTTGCACTTGATGGTCATTTGAAGTTAGCAGCTGATAAGTATAATTGTTCTGCTGTGATGGTGATGATCCATTAACATCAGTGTTTTGCAGACTTATCAGCTGAGGTTGTTGCGGTTGTGGTGACGTTAGTGGACCATTGTAACTACTTTCACTAACTACCACCTGATTGGTATTCATACAAAGCTGTTGTTGCTGTGATGAACCACCATTTTCCGATTTCATTATCAATGGCATCGCATAATAAACCATCTTCTTACGAATTTCTGTAGGATAATAAAAAAATTTCTTTCACAACTTTATTTCTTTTCTTTTTTTTCAATATTTATTTTTAATCAAAAACACTGAAGTTTCTCTTTCTTTTCAGATTCTTTGTTTCTTATGAAATTCTTAATTTATTCATTTTTTTTTAATATTTACGACTCAATTTATGCTTTTACCATTTTTATCACTAATCTCTTTCAATTCCGTTCCAGATTTTGATAAAATTTCTTTTATCCAATCTTGCTGTTGCTTATCCCAAATATTCATTTTCGAATCCATTTTTTATGATTAATCATCTAATCCAAATTGCTTATTTATTTTCCACAAAATTGAATTTATCAAAACAATTTCTCTCGCTACAGAATCATTTCACCTTTTTTTTTTTAAATGTTTTACACAAATTTTTCTTAAATATTTTCAAGTCCGCTCTAAAGTAATCTTGCGGCTTGCTCGTGAAACAACAACCGTTTGACTGAGATATTCGGAATGGAATGAAAAAAATAACAGAGAAAATAATTTGACGGAATCAGAAAGAAGGCATAGCAAAGCATATTTTGGAAGTTGTTGTTTAGGAATCGCCGTAGATACACAAAGTCAGAGAAAATTACGCTCACAATTTCGTTCAACCATTGACAATGCGTGAGTGTGCGTGTCTCTGACATTCTCAATGATCTGCTCTAATCTTTATGTTCAAGTCTCACACCATTCCTCCACATTGCCTTATTGTGCGTTTAGGGAAAAATATTGCGTATCAAGAAAATGCTTCTTAGGGGTTGGAAAAATTTACTAAGAAATTTTCCCTCACGCACACATCCAAACGAACTTTTCATATCGAGAAAAGTGCGTAACTGTGCGAAATTATCTGGTCGAAATATTATTTTCAACAATTGTTTGCACGTGGTAATAATTTATTGAGTGAAACTTAAGGTCCATCGATAAAATTAATCTTATTTTTTCCTACACGTGCCAGTCTTAAGTCATTTTTTTACACCACACGAGAATGATAAACAAATGAAATGAAACGAACGCGAGTGGTAAAATAAAAATAAATTTGAAATAAAAAAACTAATTTTATTATTGGTTGATAGGTCAGTAATCTTGTTGAGGCGCACAAAAAAAATTTAGCTTCACGGCGATTATTTGCTGGATGAAACTCGTTTTTTCGTGTCTCATGAGAACGAAAAGAAAAACCGAAGTTTTATTATTATTCATTGCAAAAAGACACAAAAAATAATCTATATAGATATAAAAGAAAAGAATAATTCCCAAAAATAAACTTCGATCACGATAAAAGTAATTCAGAATTCGATTGAGAAAAGATTTTATCGCGGTTTTGCTTTTGGTCCCGAATTCGACCGAAGAAATGTCAAAACATTTTTATTCACGTTGATAAAGCAACGACACTTCAAATCAACACACTTAGGCATTAAACAAGCACCAACCGCGAAAAATAAATAATATGGAATAATTAAAACTGAATAATCCCAAACTTTGTTTCGCAACCTCACAAGTCGAGAATGTTTGAAGCGTTCCCCGTTGTTACCTCTTCACACACACTTTCAAAGAAAGCACTTCGGTTATTTTTCTATGTAGTTGTCCAAGATCATAGTACGGAAAAAGTGCAGCGTTCCCCGTTGTTCGCCTCCACGTGCCGCGTGCTTGATTCTACCGAATGCTTTCTCCCTCTCTATCTCTTTCTCCCTTATACAAGCGCACGGAGATTTTCGCATTTCAGTATATAACAATAAGAAAGCAGCAACAACAACTTCAACTGTCTTGCTGCCGCTGCTGCACAACATACATTTTAATGCCACTTTCAGTGTCGGGTATTTTGTATTCAGTATTGGGAAATTTAATTCGCACAGCAAAATTTTATGCTTTTCAATCAACTTCTTTCTATATTTTTATGCTTCATGCTTAAATTTTGATTGCATCAAACTGCAATTCGATATTATCAAAGCCAAACATAAATTATTTTAGAGTTCGAGAAAATTTTATGAAAATCTTCCTAGAAAATTATTTGTTGTGTTGGAAACTTTTGTTTTTTCAATGCTGGCGATATCTGTTGTTCTTTTTCTTTCCCTCATTTGATGTCTTCTTTTTATATTTGAGCTGCGCGTGTGAACAATATATGTAATAAAAATTTAAGGTTTTGAAATATCAAGTCGCGATTTTCTGGGACGGGTAGGTAAATTAAAAAGATTGCATCTGAACTTTCAAGTGAATATATAATTAAAATCTCATTTGTTAAAGAAGAAGGAATGATGAATAAAATGAATATTTTAAAAAGCTCTCATCGGAGCCCTCATTCGGATCTGAAATAAGTTATTGTCAAATACCACCACGCGAATTGAGTTTGTTGTTTTCGTGGTCATATGCGATAACAAGTGCTGTTTCTGTGTTGGAGTTTATGCATGATAACAGAAGAATAAATTTAGGTACACAATTTATTATTAAGTGACACAGGCCCGGTTTGATAAATATTTTTTTGTTGCTTCCTTAGACTTTTCTTTCTTTATTTCTTATACATTCAACAGTGAAATTAAATAAAAAATATCAACATTTGCTGAGTATAAAAAAGAAACGAAGTGAATTGCATGAGATAAGCAACGTTTGATTGTATCGCAGTTGTTTCTCGTTATTAGGCCAAATAAGTTAAGAAAATATGCAAGGACGATTTAGATAAGCGCCCTCGTTCCAAAAAGATATTTTCAAATATTTATTCGGTTTGAATGATCTCAAAAAAAATTATTTCATTTCATTTCAGTATTTTTAAATTAAATGAAAAGATATTCAACGAATATACGATTAGAATTGTTCAGAAAACTTTCCCCACCCACTCCACGAACGATGTCGTTAGACATTCGCTATTTGCGATTTATATAAACGAAAAACTATTTATTTGAAGCAGAAAACTGCACCAGCGCAGTGTGTGCAAATGCAATTTAGTTTGTGCACTCACACAACGTTGCAAATCGATTTTTAAAGAAACTTCAATGCGATGTTGGACGAGGATGGGAAATTACATTACAAGTGCTGCTACTCACTGACTCGCTTCTTCTCCATCTCAATTCATATGTAATTTCTGATTGCTTTTATGTTTGCACACTAGAGCGAGATGGAAATGGAATTTTTCAGAGAACAATTAAAAGCACAATACGATAAATTAAACATTTTTCCCATTTCTGTTTTTATTTAAATAATTTTTTTTGTAACATCCGCGACAAACAAACAAGAATTCGAGATCAAGGACAAACCAACATCAAATTCATTACCAAAAAATGTATTTTTAACATGCATGAAGATTACGCATACATTATGCTTCTTTATGTTCAACACAGTTGAAATTTTCTTTTATGTTCTGACATATGTAAAGAAATAAGCATGAAATTATTTGCAAGAACGCTGAAAATAAATGAAATTATGTTGCATAACCAGTTTAATGTTAAGCCATACGACTGCGTCTTTTCATTTTCTTGAAATATGCTTCATCATAAACTATATCAACATATCACTCTTTCCATCGCATCCGATGGGAGATTTGTGATTGCTTAAGACTGCTGCAAATGACGTTTCACTCGTTTTTCTTCTTCATCTGAAATATGAATCTACAATTGCATGATTTCTAAAACATTTCCGAAGAAGACCTTGAAGAAGATTTCTCGGTGAATTCATTTTTTATTCAAGAAGTTTCCATGAACTTGGCATGCTGAACAAACAAAGGAATAAATCGTCTCTCTCACTCTCTCTCTAAGCAGTAAAATTGCTTCCCTCCGTTTCTTTAAATAAATTTGTTTTATTTATTAACTGACCAATCTTAACTAATATTACATGCTACAGACACACATACAGGAACATTTGAAACAGCCGAAAAAAAGAAAGAAATGTGTAGAGCACTAAAATTATGCGAATTTGTGTGTCGCTGATGTGTGTTCGATACCGAGCAAAGCAAATGATGTTTTGGAAAAAACAAACTCGAGCGTTCTTACAAAAATTTTATGGCTCGCGTTGTTGTAGTCTGCGTGCGTGTATTTTATTTTGGCATAATGACGACTTTCGGGTGACCTCTAAATCTCAATGTTCTACACCACACGAGCTTCACTCACTTGGCAGCTCTTTCTTTCATGCGAAACTGAAGAATAAGAATTATACTAGCTGCTCTCAATTTTCGCTTCGTGTTTCTTCTTGTCTTTAGCTTCTTCTTTCTCGAATGATTCATGAATACGAATAAAAAGAAGCTTCTATTGCAAAAAGTAATTTAATTCTCACCACATTCATAGATATTATATTAGAAAATCTCGATTTATTCATCGAGTGAGTTTGAATTATTCATTTTTTTTGTGTGTTTTGCGTAGTAGAACACTTTTGTTGTTTGCGTTGAAATGTATCGAATTGAATTTGTAAACAAGAACCGTCCTAACTCAACATCTACAACATTCGTACATCATTCTCTTGTTAGAATAACTTTTGAGATATGAAATACTTAAGAAGGCTTTATGAGTTATATAAGAATGTTTATAGTTTCTTTGTAGATTTATTTGTCTTGTTGCCTTGATGATCATCATAAATATCAACTCATTTTATATTTCACAAAGTTCTATTGTTACAAACGTAAACATGTGAGGCCGCGAGATTTTTTTTCTTTCTTTTTTGGTAACTGACCTTAACCACGATTTTATGTCTTAATGGGCCCATTTTTATGTGCTCGCTTGATTCTATTTTTAAGCATTCTCATTCGCTGAAAACGCGTTTTAGAATAGTTGATTATATTTAATAATCTGGGTGTGATATTTGATGATTTTGCAAAAAATTTAAAGAGATTTAAATTTGATTTTGGGATTTTCTGAAAGTCATGATATGATCTTTTGATATATTTTAAATAACAAAATGACAACTGAATAAATCAGAAGGTAACCAAGTGTAGCTTCTTTGTGAAATACTTGAAACTTAAAGAATAATAATTCAGTTTGTTATTTCTTTAACTTATTCATTTGGATTTATTAAATTTTCTAGCAAAATAAGAAAAACAAGAAGCAGAAAAAATCATTTACTTCGTATTCGCGGAAATATGAAACCTTCCCACTCTCCCACTACTCTGAAGTCCTCCATTTTTGAAAACACATTGATTGAAGATGTAAAGTAAAATTCTTTTCAACGAGACAACTAAGATTATTTAATTAAATTTTATAAGCATCATTCTCCCCTCCACGACAGTAAGAGAACTTCGATTACATTACATCTGAAACAGCCAGCCAGGAAAAGTGCATAAACATCGTTAATTTTACTTTTTACAAAAACTGAATTTCGCCACCAAGCGATCATGAAACATTGCACTGTTCGAAAGAAAGAAAATGATCAGATGCAATTGCAGCTTTTTATTTGCCGCTACTTTCGAATATATGTGTGAGTCAAGTATTTAAAGTCGAGAATGAGATTGGAAATAAGCGCTTTCGTTTCTTTGTTCGTCGTCGGTTCTCCAAGCAACAAACTCGCATTATTCAATGACGGACCGACGCAATAAATATTCTGCAAGTACTTTCATGCAAATAAATGAAGCTTCTCGAGTACATGCAACTGTGTTGGTTCATGTAATGCTTCTTATTTGCTGTTCTGTACATTACAAGCTAAGTTATATTCAAAGTTGTTCAACAAGATATTGCTGAGCTACTGATTTCACATACATCGCTTAATTAGCATTAAAATTAATATTTTACATCGTTTCTCATTCGTTAATTTCTTCATATAAGTTGCCCTCTCTCATCTCCATTTTGTCAATTGAATTGCAACGATAAAGAAGAAGTAAAGTTTCTGTGCGTCTCGTCTTACGAGGCTATCATGTTTTTATTCGCTTTTTTTCTTCTCTTCTACTTGCATTTCTCTCTTTACATTAAAATGGATAACTACGTCCCACTTTATCGCTTTGCTTCTTTTCCAATTGTTTCTTTCTCTCATCCGCAAAGAAATTTCAGTATTTTTGATATTACTTCACATTACATTGACTATCGAAACGGATTTAATGTAATTGCTAACTCACCACTGTTCGCTTTATCGAAACGAATGAACAAACGTTTTCTTCTCGTGTCTTGTTGATTAGCTCTAATCTCAGTTCTAGAGCGTTGACGTCATTCGGTAATAACAAAATTTGCTTGTCCACTTTTCACAGCTCCTGTACAACTTTTCCTCTTATTTCTCGTTATTCACTCGAAAATGATAAATTAAACCAAAAAAGTTCCAAAAATATTCTTATCAACAGATGTTGGGGACTGAAATACTTATTCGCGGTGTAACATCGCACGAGTCATTCCCAAGCGAACGAAAGAATATTCTCTAATATAATTTTATTGACCTAGGCATAATACGTTTTTTCGTGAGGCATAAGACTAAATCAACGAAAAAAAGAGAATATCAAAAGCACACACATTTATTTCCGTTCTGGGCGCCCTCTGGAATCATTCAACGGTAAATGTTCGACTGATGTTTGACAGCGAATTTTCCGGAAATACGAAATGACATCGATGTTAAAATGTAATTTACGATTCACTCGAATGTCAATTATTTCATTTCTTTCTTGAATTAAACTTGAGAATCTCTAGAAATCAACTAAAAGCTGTTTTTATAACTTCAACATTAAAAATTGTTTTTACATTTATTATTTTGAGAATTGTCTGTGTTATGCCTTGATTAATGCTTATCTTTTGCACTTAGAACAATTTTTATAATTTAGCTTTGTCGTACTGCAAATAATCACTGATTTCGACGACGGCTCAACTACTACTCGGCCACCAAAAACTCTTTTTTGCCAAATTTGCGTTATGTGTGCTTAAGACTACAGAATATACAACCGAAAAAAAATACATTTTGTGAATTGTTAAAGGCTTCTCTTTTTCGCTTCATACAAAACCCGAAGCTCACAACAACAATGCGCTGGGCTATGTAAAATGTATGCGAGCGCAAAACACCCGAAGTCGAACTTCGTTGATTTTTCCGTTTTCGCATCCAACAAGCGACTCTTTTTCTCTCCTGTATACAAGAAGTCGCGTGGAGGCAACAACGGGGAACGCTTACAAAATGCTTCATGAACAAACTTTTTTCCTTCTTCTTTTTCTTAATTTTCTGAAAGAAGCAACGTTTTCAGAACAAAGCACAAGTTGTTGTACGGTCGTGTTGGTGATATCGTTTTTAGAACCTTTTAGACTGTTTTCTTTATGCTTTCAATTTGTCGGTCGTGTGCAGCATGCACTTAATGCGGGGGCGATATTGGAAAAAGAACGAACCTCTTTTCATCATTTCTTGCCTAGTTCGTCCATAACGACATATTTAAAACCAGCAACAAGGAGAAATAAGAGCAAGAAGAAGAAGCACTTGAAATCCCAGTCATAGCATAGACATCAGTTTACATAATGTGAAACTTTCATACAAAAAGGGAACAACATTCATCGAGGAAATGGCAGAAATGCACTTGGCGAATGTAAAATTGTAAATAGCGACGATTATGTGTTGAGAAGCACACATTAAAATTGAATAGAGAGTTTCATTCTTTTTTTCCCTTTGATTAAAATAAAATAAAGTATAAGACCCAACAGAACTGACTTTTAAAAGAATTTTCATCTCACTCACAACGGAAGGAATGCATTTCTCGTGTGCCCCCATTTAAAACTGGTTTCTCGTGTGTTCTTTATTTCGAGATATTTGAAAACGAATGTTGTTTGATGATGTTTTTCTGTGTACTTTGATTGCAATCCCAGATGAAAAAAATATTAAAATCGTAGGTCATTGTGAGATGTGGGGCATGTAAAATAAAAGATTATTAGAATTTCTTCAGCTTTTCTTCAACATCAAACTCCACTCAGGTCATTAAAAGTTTCAAAGAATTTTAATTATGTGTATAAGAATCTGTGGATTGTTTACAGATAAAAAGAAGAAATGATCAAAGAAAGATTTAAAAATCAGTCTTTATAAAGCAACATCTTGCCTTCTTCTTGTGCATTGAAGACTTTTTAACCATTTAGAATCATTAAAAAGAAAAAAAAAAGTTTTACGCAAATAAAAAGAAAATGAATGAAATTTATACAAACAATTCCTTTTCAGAAGTGAATAATTTTGAGTACACAATGTAGTCAAACTGCAGTCATTTCATGTGTCTACTTTACCAATGTTTGACAAGGTCGAGAACACATTGAATCATTAGCGTGACAGTCTTTTAATATTGAATATTGTTTGTTACTTTGTTAAGTCCATTGACGTCTCATGATGTCATTAATAAAAGGAGTCTAAGGGAAAATAAAACATTCACAATTAAATTGTTCATAATAGTTTTGAACTTTCGTTCTACGCCTCAGTCGTCAGAAGTGCTTGTGTGAGTTGATTACACGATAAAAGCTTGCAACGTCAAGTCTCGAGAGAAGGAAACAGAGAAAAAAAGAGTTTTAAAAGTGCATTAACCGACTGCACGTGGAAAACTGAAAATTTAATGTTTTCTTCTTCAACACTACCGTTTATTTTGAAGCACCAGAAAATCAGTTTCTTATTTTGAAGATAAATATTGCTTGAGAGTTTAACGTAGGACTGACTGGCCAGTCATTTATACATTCGTGAGACTTTCACAGAAAGTTGCAATCCTCAAGGCTTATTTTAAGTTATATACTCAAGGATGACAAGACAATTGATTATTAAAAAAAGATAATTCTCCTGGCTCATGTGAAATTAAAATGATTTAATCAATATTTTAATTGCAAAGTATTGGATTCATTATTTTTTCTAGGAATTTGCATAGAGAATCGTTGATAACGTTTCACTTCAATGACTCACCAACTGAACAGAACATTGAGAGTACAAGAAGCGTCATGAAATGCCATTAATTGTGTCTCTGAACAAATAATTTCTCACTTATTTATATGAAACATCACAACGAAAAAAAAAATTCTTGTTCTTACAGTAGAAAGGCGATGATGAACAAGAAGAATCTTCAATTCCATCTACAGTCGACATACCAACACTACTGAGCCACGAGAAGAGAAATAGTACGATGAACTACCAATTCGAAAATATTGTAGCGCTCAACTCCACGTGCTTCAATTTTATAAGCGTTCTTGTTGTCGCCTCTTCAGCGTTCCCCGTTGTTCGCCTCCCTATAAAGACTGCCATACTTTGCCTTTGTATGTTTTCATCGCTCTCGCGCATATATCAGCTTGGCTTCATTCGGCTTCACTCGCTCTGCACTTTCATTGTACTCGGGTGTGCAATGTTTAAATCGAAGCTATTCGGAAATCGTTATTGACCAATCAGAAATGTTACAAAAAAATATGTTAAAAGGAAGAAAGTGATCGAGAGAAATTCTAACAATTTGCATGTCAACATGTTTTAGATATTTTTAGAGGGACATTCACAATCAATGACAAATATTTTCTTGTTCCTAATTTTTATTCTCATTTATTTCATCGACAAATTGAGTTTGTGTCATGAGGAAAGTGCGAGAAAGGCTTTCTACTCAACACGGCGAGAAATTTCTTGCTTTTCTTTCATTCGAACATTTTTTATGCTTGTTTTTCGAGGAAGTTCAATGAACTCATTCACACATATTTTTTTTTCTTTCCTTCTCTTCATTCGATGCTATGCGAGTTCATTCAGAAACCTCCGAAAAATATTTCTTTCTCTCATTTGTATTTTTTTTTGTTTCGCTATTCATGCAACTACTTAACGCTTTGTTTCGACGAGGCTGACTATGAAATTGTTTTCAACTTTCATTATTATATTGATCAGAGATGGGCAAATGTTCCGTTCAACTCGATTGACTGACTGACTGACATGTCAATGTCTTTCAGTCAGTCAGTCAGTCAGTCAAAATCGCGAACAAAAATATTCGCTTGTTGGGACACGTTCATATAAATGTTCCGCTCAAGTCGTTTGGCTGACTGAGTGACAAGTCAATGTCTGTCAGTCAGTCAGTCAAATCCCAACTCTGATATTGATAAAGACTTATTGGAGTATGTAAGTTAATGTGTCATGATATGAATGAGTCAATTGCGACTTGTTATAAATCTTTAAAGATTCAGATAGTCATCCAATCTTGAGCTCATTTCTACAATCGTCTGAATCACTTACAACTCTTCGCTTTGAGACTTGAAATATATGCGTTTGGTGCGTAGACATTTAGCTGTATTAGTTAAAGTCATGCTGCTTCTCGCTCTAAAATTTATTGACCTCAGACTCTAATTTTAAGCTTGCTGGTTGAGACTCCAAAGAGACCAATAAACTATCCAAACAAAATCCGATTGTTTTGTTTTGCTCTGCATTGCTTTAGTGGGTAAAGTTTCATTGACCCGCATCTTTGAGAAAGCGTCGATCGTTGACTTCAAGCCAAGCAACATAGTACAATAAAAAGTTATCTTGGAGAAATTTTTTGGAACTTTTTTTCATTTTTGAATGAAAATATTTACTTGAATTCACCACTGATCACTTCACGGTTATGCAATGAAGTTTCTGCTCTTGCAATTTTAATTGGTAGCGAAAACTTTTGACCGTCAACGGAAGTGCACGTTAATTTACCGATAATAATTGAAGTCATCAACTGAAGTCGAAGCTTTGATTGCAAATTGATGGTCGATTTAATTGATCAATTTTTAACACTCCAATTTTTAGCTCTTTTTTGTCTTGAAAATGAGAAAAAAGTTTTTGACAGACAATGCCAAGAGATCATTAATAAAAGATCATTTTTCTATGCTGAACGAGTTAGACACAAAGGTCAGAGAAAGTGTTACGCACTCAATCAAACATAATTAAGATATTTTAAATGCGAGAGCTTTCATCGAATGCAAGTCGTGACATTTGGATTTAATTTAACTTATCTCGATTTTTGTGGTGGAAAATGTTTACAACTTCATCAAAGGAATTATGATTAAATGCAGACACTTCAAGTTACTGATTACATCTTTGAAAAAGAAATTTCTGATGCATATTTTTCACTCTTAATCATATAAGTGTCGCCAATGATTAATATCAAACGAATACATGACAAAAGCGGAAGCTTACAAGTTTCGTCTGAATCACAGCAGGGCAAGCAATCAAATCTTTCATCAAATTTACATGTAACTAATAACATGCGTCGCTTAACTATAATGAGATTGAAATTAATTAATAAAGATGATGCAAAAGTCGAATGAAAAATTTTTTGTTTTGTTTTTTTGAACCCGGAACTTTATTCAGATTTAAACTTCAAGCATACTTAAAGAGATCGACAAATGAAGAAATTAATTTTAAGGAAACTTTTTTTCTTGGTAAACAATCGAAAACAATTTCATCCAATGTCAATGAACTTTTGGCTTAACAAAACAACTTAAGGTTACAAAGACTAAATGTAAATAAATACAAATGATTGAAGAGAACAATGATAATCTTTCCAGTTTGTTTATCGTGCGCGATTTTAAATTTATTTTCTGATCTAATGATCTGCAATCCTTTTCTTTAACGTTAGATTTGTTTAAAAGAAAGTTGAAACTCGAAAGTCAACCACAAATGTTCAAATTAATCATCGAATTCATATTAATGTGTAAATTAAACATAGTTTTAAATAGTTATGACGCATTGCCTCATTATCGAAGGTATTCGTTTCAATGACATAAACCAGCGTTGAGTAAAACTTTGTAACTTTAAAAGTGTTTCAAGTTAATTAACGTAAATTTAGTGTATGGTAGTGTGAAAGTAAAGTCGGTCAAATGTTCTGTATCCCATCACTAAACTGCTACATTTCTTAAAATTTCCAATCATCCGTCTGGATTACCAGAAATACGCCCATCACTGTTTCAAACATATTTCTCCATGTAAGAAAAAGAAAAAGAAGAGGAAAACTTCAAAAGTAAACCTCAGCCGATGTCACAAGCAGAAAGAAAGAGAAATTTCTTTTCCTTATACTCAATAAGAAAAAAAAGCCCCAAAAACATTGTTGAAGATTAGGAGTTCGTGATGGAGTGGAAGTCATTGACACCAAAATTTCATATTTTATAACTGGTGCGCTTTTTCCGTAACCATCACGATGGAAAGTAACAAAAAGCACATCAAGTGTGTGGAATTTATATTTCCGGTTGTTTCCTAGAAGTGGCAAAAGTAGAAGCCGACAAGACTTTTCCGGAAAATAAATTTATCTAAATGAGTTTAGGAAAAGCGAAGTGAAAATATTTCCAAATATTTTATGGTTTGTTTAATTTTCATTGCGCAATGTAAACTTTATGCTTTATCTTCGATTCCTTTCCTACCAAGAATTGATTATTTTGTTATTATCTTTATCGGAAAGTTCCAATTATTAAATAGAATTTCGAGAAGTTATCGACTGTTTATTCGCTTTTAGCTTAATCAACAATTCATGACTTTAATAAAAGTTTCAAATCAGTTTTGAAAATATCGTAAATGAACAGAAATACTTGCAAACTCATCAAAACAATATTCAAGTTATTAATGTAATTGAAACGAGTTTTAAAAGGTGATATCAAAGTACAATAAATAATTAAATGATGAGGGAATTTTATTTTTCGACCTTTTAAATCTTCGATTCGCTTCCAAGTAATTTAAGAAAATGCCAAACCTTGCTTTCTGTCAATAAATTTCTGTTGTGTACCTACCTGAAAAATTTTCCTAGAACAAAAAATCTTTTTGGATTTATTTATATTTCCTTATTTAATGATAGCTGACGCTGATATCAAAGTTGATACTTTGTCATTTAAAATTATTATGAACGTCAAAAAGACAACATCAAGAGTAATCATACCCACAATTGTAATTGGAAATGAAGATTGCTGCATGTCGTTATTCTCCACCGCATTTTGTTTTATCATTCCCAAATATTCTCGTAACTCGTAACATTATCCACTCACTTTTTATTTGACCTACATTGTTAAGCAGAACAAAACAAAAAACTCAAATTCCTGTGTTTATTCCCGAAAATAAATTCTTTCATACGTGTGTGTGTGTGCGTATTTGTCGATGCGTTGCGTATTTTAGATGGCGCGCGCAATCTCAGACAAACTTTATTTTCGGGAAGTGAAATATTATTAACATATATTTTAAAGGGAACAGATATTCAAGCAAGTATTGTGCGTGTTTTCCCAAAAGAAAAATTTCGAATGCGAGGCAATTTATTGAGAAGGAAAGGAACTGAAAGTTCAATGACCTACGCACGTTACATAACTTTTTCTTTCTGCTTTTATGTTGTGGAAGCGGGAAATGAAAATAATCTCTCTCTGATGCTACTTTCCAACAGAAATTACGCGCTCACGAACAAACACACACGCGAAACGCACTGACACGCTCTCATTTTCACGTGAAGTTTTCGTAGGAGATTTTTTTTTGGGAGTCGTTTTCTTTCTTTCTTTTGGGGAGAAGGCCAATGAACTTAAACTAGGTTACGATTTTATTCTTAGATTCATCGAGAATGCTTTTGAAGATTGAGGCTTTAAGTGTAGTTACTTTCTTGGGTCCCATGCTTGGATGAAAGTACAAACTAATGCAGCTCATTCTCACTACTTAAATAATGCCATCATTCGTATTCAAAACCAAAACTTAGCTTAAAAGATTTTGATTAATCGCATAAAGAAACTTTTACTTAACGACTTTAGAAAGCATAATTTATGCGAATTTATGCAGAAGTGTTACGTAAAGCGGAATTTAAATATGCCTAATGTCGACCTGCAGTTGTCAACTCGAGCTCAAAGTCGGAACAAGAAAATTACGAGGCGCCATTGACACCATAAAAAAGATTTTTCTCTTTTCTTAGAAACAACAAAAATCGCTTGAAAAATCGTAAAATAAATTGTTTAGTGAAAATTGTTTTTCACTGTTAGTCACACAAACAAACTCCCACCTTCCACCCACACAGTTAAGAGAAGAAAGAAAGAAATATTTAGGGATGTTTAAGACTTTGTATGAATCGAAAGTGAAATTTAAATTGTGTTGCGAGGGTTTGTGCTGTTTTCACTTTCACCTCCGGAAGAAAATCACATTTTTGCTTTTAATAAATCATCATAAATAACGAGCAACAGGATCTCGTACAAGTTTCAGCAGATTCAAGTATCTTAGGAGAAAAATCAGAAATATTCATGATTTCTATAGAAACATTTTACCTTAATCAAAAAAGAGAAGCTAAATTGATTGGAAACTCACGAATAAGCTCCACAAGCTTATTCCTTACATTTTACTTGAAATAAAATTTCACAGTTTCATTTTTCCCGGTCGTTGGCCTTTTGCTCCAATTTTCTTTCCCTCCGCATGTACGCACAATCATCCCCAGAATAGATATCGTCAAATATTTTGACAACCTCATTACAAAGCAGAATAAACGAAGAGAAACATAAAATGCGAAAAGCATTAAAGTACATCAGGGAAAATTAATCATGTTAAATGAAATGTCGGAACGAATGCTGAGCCGGTAACATGAAACTGGTTGATTTTGTTAATGCTGACAAGAAATATCTTAGCAACTTTGATAAGGATTTTATAAAGTAAAACTTTTCCTTTCCTGGCCCAAAACTTTTCTTTTTCTTTCATAATCAAACTTAAGTTCAAACAAAAATTCTTTCAATTTTTTTTCTATTTTTACTGTTTTCAACGCATGTTTGTTTATCGAAAGAAATTCAAAAAGAAAAACGTAGAGAAATTGTTACAATGACCGATAATTGTATTTTCATATGTGAGTAATTGAGTGCACTTTACACCCACTCACGACACGTGCATTCATTAATTTCAGAGAAGTTTCATTTATTGAAGAGTGTTAACCGATTGTGGTTTTAACGTTGTATGAAATGAAAATGGAATTTCAGAGACTTCAACGATAGTTTGTGCTGAAAAACTGAAATCCTTTTCGAGTTATCCTTTAAATTAAGTGATAATTTCATTAATTCTCATTTATGTACATAAATAAATATTTAAGAATTTCTTCTCATGAATATCTTCATCATCATCATCTGGGTTTACTCAAAGATTTCTTCCTGTTTTTATTGAGGGAAGAAAATAAAAAAGAATTTCCAAACGGGAAAAACCAACAACAACGCAGAAGCAGTGGAAAATTTCTTTAAACACATAAAAAACTTTTACGTTGGTTTAGGAAATTTACTTAGGGGAGCTTTGGTATTGAAAGTGGTAAAGTTAAGTAAATCGATTTTAAGGTGGAGTTGGGAAATTCGTCATGAATTGATTCAAGCGTATTTGGAGGATTTATGAGAAAATTGTTTTCATCCTAAATAAATAAGAAAGATATTCAGATAAATCAACGTTTGCTCTCAATCTGAAAGTAATTAATGAATATCATCGATCTTTCTTTCAACTCCCCAGCATAATCCACAAAATAATTTCTTATCTAACTTTCCATATGAAGAAAAAATAAACGAACAGATAGAAAGCAGTTCATCGAGAACATTTATCGCTATCATATCAAAAGAACTGTAAAGAGAATAATTCTCTCGCTTCAGAGTGGAAAAAAGTTTAATTTAGTTTTATGATGCAGCGTTTATTGAACATGCTCTCGATTTTGTTTTTTTATTGCCCATAAAAACTCATCGTGCATCGCACGCATCTTCTCTCGTCGCTTTACGTAATTTATGATTTTCTATTTCTTGGTCAATAACCCCGAAATTGCGGCCCCAACATTTTTACTTTCCTTCTAGCAAATATTGAATATTATTGTCGATGAAAGAAACGAAACTTAAAAGTGTTTAAGAATGTTTCTTACAGCTCTTTTAATTTCTTTTCTTTCGTTCACATTACGATGGTTTTTCATGCTTCTCGTCTTCCAAGATCTTGGAAACATTAAAATCAACAAAAAACGTTTGAATTTCCATTAATGAAAATAGGTCACGAGAATGAATGTTTTTACTTCCTTTGATACTTTGATATTGAGACAGCGGGTAAAATATTTATAAGAAAATTATTTTGTTTAGAACGTGACTTTCTTTCGTAGATATCAACGGAATGAAGACCGTCATCAACTTTTAATCCTCTGATGCCATATGAAAAAAAGTCATTTGTTAGCCAAAGAACGGAGATATTCTGTCATGCCATTCATTAAAATCTCCCTGAGAGTTCAATGACCTCATACGAAAGGAAAAGTTTTCCCTTATAATTTTGGGGAAATTTGGAAATCATTCTTATTGTTTCTCCCTTTCCTGTCAGCATATTGTGTGCGTGTGGAACATGTGCGTCATTTTTTTTTCCCTAAAATAAAAGAAACCAGCTTTCAGTTTCATACTTTTTGGGGAGGGTGCATTGCGATTGCTGTTGGTAATGGTGGAAATTAATGGAGCTTGTTTCCTTTATGCTCCACTCAAACCACTAACCCTCACAACAATTTACAATCTACACAAAACCCTCGTCTTCCCCAAACATAAAAGATTTAGAAGGGAATTTTCCTTTTTTTCTTGTCGATTTTTCCCGAAAAACATTTTGGGGAAGAAGTCAATGAACTTTTATTTTTGTTATCATAGAAGAAAAAAATGATTACGTGGAGCATAAAAAGGCAAAGGAAAATTTTTTTATGTTGTTTTAGATTAATGATATTGCGTATGTTGCCACTAAGTGTTTCTTTTTTGAGGCTTGGCTCGGGCCTCAGGTTGATAATATTTTATATCTCATTTGAATATATTTGATTAAAAAAAGTTTATCATCTGCTGAAAGAAATTTGTTTTGAATGTCATTTAATGAAAAGCAGTTTCGTTTGATTTGATTAGATATGATGTGTAACATTACGTTCAAAGCTATTATCAGATCGTTAAATATTATATTAACTTCTGTTACATAACGTTCTATTGGCAATTAAATTATAACGAAACATGATTCTTATAATAAGACAAAATTATTCAATTATTCAACAACATTATCAGAATTATTTCGTATTGCAATTAATTTAAAAATATTATACAAGACAAAAATTCGATACCAACCGCGTAACTATGCAGATATTTGAGAAACTCAATTTCAAAACTAATCATTTCTTGAAATTGATTTGATGAAAAAAGGATATTTTGATTTATTGTAGATATGAATATTGATTACCTCATATTTCCTTGCTCTTTATTTAATTCTTTTTTCATAGGTTAAATGACCAATCTTATGTAATTTAATCTCAAGAATATTAATTTCCAATATCTTTTTCTTCAATATCGTTTCATTTTAAAATACATAAATCAACTTATCATATTTCATTTGTGTTTATTATTAGCTATGTAACTTAATACATTTTCCATAGAAATATGTTCTAAAATGTAAACTCACCACAGAACCTTACAAATGTTTTAAAACTGTTATGCTGTTCTTAATTATTAAATATGCCCACATGAATTATAATTTTAATGATCGTACATAAATCATTTAGATCCAATTTAATATGTATTTAAATTGGAAAAGGAAAACTTTTTAAGTTTTATTTCTCTAGAAACAAATCAGTCTAACTAAGGAAGTGAAGAGTTGAAGTCTTTGAAAATAAGAAGAAATTATTTACAATTCAAAATGTCATCTGAATGGTTGAAAGTTTTTGTTAAACCTTTGAAATATTTGAAGACAACTGGAATTGACACTTCAAGAAACGCATCTAAGAAATTTATTGCATATTCTGTAATAATGAATTTACTGTTTGTTGATTTATTCAGTTTCCTTTCATTAATACCAGTAATAAATGACGTTTCGAATGTCGTCGATTTTGCTCACAAAGCAGGTCCCGCGTCATCTTTTATCGGATATAACATGAAAGTTAAAAATTTCATCATCAAAAGAAAAAAAATTGAAAGCTTGCTGAAATTGACAGAAGACATAATTGAAAGTTTCTCATGGATCGATGTAAAAGAAGGCAAAATACTTAAAGCAAGAATTGCATTTGCGGAGAAGATACTTAAAATGTCAATGATTTTAATGTTGTCAGCATCATGTTCTAATCCCATAATAATTTTAATTTCCCACAACTTGCCGATTCCTTACAATGTTGAAGACAATCAATTTTTGTTTTGGATGTCAGCTTTCTATCAAAGTTTTACCAGCTTAGTGTTTACTCCAGTTTTAGTAATAATGAACGTTTTGCCAATTATATTCATAAGTTTTGCTGCAGGCATGATTGACGAACTTTGTCTTAAATTACAAGGCATTGCTGGACATATCGAGAAGAAAACTGATTCAAATGAAAAAGGACTTTCAGAATGTATCAAAATCCATATTAAAATTAAAGTTTACGTCACTGAAATTAAAGACGCCTTTGGAACGGCTTTGTTTATACAAGCATTCCTTAGCACAGTCATACTTGGTACGATAGTTTTCTCATTAATTTATGTAAGGTCGTCATTATTATAAAAAACGAATTTTAAATTAACAAATTTTAGAAAATGTTTTATTGCAGGACGAAAAAGCGATTACTTCGTTACCATCAGTTGCCTTCATGTTGCCGATGTTGCTGGAAATATTTCTACCATGCTACTTTGGAAATGAACTTGCATTAGCATCAGAAAAAATCTCTGACAGCTTGTTCTACTCGCAATGGCAGAAGGAAACAAAAAAGTTTAAAACATCGATGAAAATTATCATGGAAAACTCGAAATTGTCATTAAAAATTCATATTTTTGGATTATTCGAATTGACTTTAAAACAATTTATTCGAATTGTTAATTCAGTGTTCTCATTGTACGCTGTTTTAAAGAATATTGCTACTTAAATTAACATTTCAACTATTAATTGTTTTGAAGTCAAACTGAATTTATTTGCTTTCTTGTCTTGAATCTTAATATATATTAAAATTTTCCTGAAATGGTATACGATCAAGAAAAAAGTAGAAAACACTCGATTGACTTGTGTTGTAGTAAAACACTCTCTCACGCGTGTTTCAACGTCACTCTATGAAATTTATTTGACTGATAAAAAATTAAAAATATTTCAATTAGATAGCTTTAATTGTTAATCTAAATTATTTATTCCAAGAATATTTTATTCATTGGAACTCGACTGAAAATATTGTTAGTTATATCCTTGAAAGTTTCTCCAAGTTTTTCTTCATATCCCGGAAGCATTGCACTTGCAACCAACTCCCAATTGTCGTTCATGAATTGATTGATTGTGTCACTGAGACGAGCATCAGTTTTGAAAATATCTTCGAAATAGAATGTTGCAGGATTTGGTTCAAGATGGAACTTGAATTTAGTAACTTTGATGTATGTTTCTCCTTTCTCTTCGTAAAAATCTCCCCTTAGGTCGAAAAGTCCTTTCGTGTTTTTCAGTAATATTTTTGTTCTTCCGCCACCTTCGATTGGAAGAACCACCATTTTACCATTCATTGTGTAATTACCAACAAATGTTGTTTCCTTGATTAATACTTCAAATTTAAGACCAAACTTTTTGTCAAACTTTGTTGCAACACGAGATATATGCATTTTTGATAAATCCAACACATCAAGGTTTACAAATGCTGATCTTAAATTGAAATTTGGATTTCCTTTTGCATGATCAGCATCGATTTGAACAATGTGGTAAGGATCAATTGGTGGCACATTAAACATTTTATTTCCTATTGATTTGAATAACTTTCATTAATTTATTTCAAAACTTTTTTCTTTTCTAATTAATTTCACCATTTTTGAAAGCAACTAATGCTTCTTCAATTGCTTTTCCCAAACAATCATGAAAAGCTTTATCTGATCGGCTACATGAGGTGAGACCTTCCGCTAAATCACAAATAATTTTTTAATTTATCTCTTCAACTTTTAACCTTTTCCAACTTACGCAATTTATTAGCAAGAGTGCATGTCAGCACTAAGAATAAAACTATTAAACACTTTATCATTTTCTCTAGCTAATTTGAGACAACCGAACTGATAAGATTTTCAACGAGAACTAGCTCGAGACAAGTGCAATAGTTCTGATATTTATACTTAAACTTATTACCACAGGGTACAAGGATGCACGCGCATGCAACGAGTCAAAATGTTAATTTCACTAGTAAGTAGAAAACTCATTAATGAGTAGATATTTATATGAAGTTATATTTTAAGAAATTAATTTCAATATCTACTTACATTTGTTAATAAGTGTTAACAACTGAACTACTTATATACTTAATCTGGTATTTAATTAAATCTTTCTACGTTCTCCTCAACTTGGGTGCATGGAAATTCTAATTGCTTTAATGTGTGCTTGAAAACTAGAGTGAATTAGCTGATTAGGGAAACTTTGAACTACTTCATTTACTAATTTTAATTTTGCATGTTTATTCATACCATGAAAATTCATAAAGCTGAAAAATCAGTATTGATATTAAATTGAGATCAAACCATTTTCAGCAGCGTAAAAGAAATAATAAATTAAGCATAATAAATGCAATAAATTTAAAGTTTTTATATTTCATTTTTATTAGATAATAAAACTCACTTACATGGAAATAAATTTTATTTCTCAACAGTTGCTTCTACAAAGCTGTTTATTCAAGTTTAATTTCATGTCTTTATTCAGATATTTAGCAATTAAAGCTTATAAACAATAATTTTAATTAATTCTAATTTTATGCTAATTTGTAATTTAAGGAAATAAATAAGAGTAGATTTTGATGACTTAAAGTGTCTACTTGCAAGATAAAAGAAGTTTAAGATTTATATCACTAATTATGACTAATATTGCGTCTAAAATCAACCTTGAAATTATCTACGTAGCGTTAATCTTTCTATTATTCTGTTATCACATTCACAAACATTCCATCATACTACGAAGCGCTTAATATTCAAATTGAGTTTGATGACTTCAAAGTCTGAAAATATTTGAACTTGATTCATTACAAATTTTCAGGTTTCCGGATAAATTTGATTTGAACTTCAAATGTCTTGACAGCTCACGTCATTTTGATATCGTGTCACGTTTTGTTATGTTTAACATTAAAATAACGCACAACAATTATAATAAAGTGTTACTTTGTACAGCAAAGAAAAGCAGAAAAACAAGTGTTAACTTCTCTAAGCATTCAATGGAAGAAGCTCGACATGAAGTTTCTATATTTTCCATAAACAATCCTCGTCGTTGAAGTAAATAATGTGCGTCTTCAATTTCCTGAAAATCTTGAATTAATCTTTGCTTTCAAACATGAATTCACTCACATCAGTTACATTAGTGTCTCGCTCACGACTCAAAACAAACGATGTGAGTTGCATTCTCTGACAAAATGTCAAAACTGTAAAATTTCCGTCAATCATTATGACTTGAACAATTGCTTTTTTTTTTGTCTGCAACAGAAAATATTGATAAGTTGAAATTCTGCAATCTTTTCTAAGTTTACCATCAATCCACAATCCTTGCTTTGAACCGTTAATCTTAAATAAAAAATCAAACTTGTCCTCAACTTCAAGCTTTTCATTAAGATTATTAACTGAAAATTCAATTGCTTTGTAGCGTGAGCTTCTCAAATTTTCATTCATCTAAAAATAAATCGATTAGATATTGGCATGGTGCGATATAAAATTCTTACTTCTTTTGATCCATTAATATGAAGAGTTACACAATAATTTGGTTGCATCAATGTTCGTCTTCCATTGTAATGTTGGACAAGTTCAAGTGTATACCAGTCGCCAAAAAGCTTCATAAAAAAGAAGAAAATTAAGAAGAACTCACGAATATTGATATTTGCCCATTAAAAAATGGCGGCATCAATCTAAAATTTATTTCTCATCATCATGCTTTCATTAATGAATGAAGTAATACTTAGGAAACTAATAACTTACTTATTAATAGATATACAAAAACAATTAAGCTCAACTCACCGATTCAAAATCAAAATCATTAATTGGAATAAAGTCAGGACATTTATTGAAAATATCAAAACTCGAATATGCGAACTTCATACAAAGTGACGACACTAAGATCAAGTATTTCATTACAAACTAACTGATTTGGACTTTAAAAACGAATTAAAATCACCGAAATGAAGCTGCAGGAAAACAAAACCTAATGACTGCAATAGACGAAAAGACGCCTTTTCTGAAATACGTGAAATAAAAAGAAGCATCAAAATGATGGAATTATTCCAACTTATTAAGTTTCACTTGCAAAGCTTTTAACATTGTAAACTTTTTAACGGATTTCTGAAATTCGAAAAAGCTCAAATCGTATAAAGAGATTTTAGTTTATTGTAGTGTTGGTGAGATTCTCAGTGCCACATTAAGAACAAAATAGCTGAAGAAATGGCAAAATCGAGATTCTCCTCACTACATGTCTGTAAGTTCGCTTACTTGCCGATAAACTTTCTTCGTGTCGTATTTTTTCTTATTTCAATTACTGCAGTTGATTCAAGAGCATCGTAACATTGATATTAAAAAATGGCATCGAAGTTATTAAGCAACAAAGGATTCACGTCCATTCTGGCTTCACGATCAAGGTGAGTAAAATTAATGTTTATGCAATGGGAAATTTTTTTTCCTCCACAATCTCTCTTCGACCTTTGAGTGACTTTTAAGTGGAAAAAAAAATTCTTCCTTTTATGCCGCTTAATTTGTGAAAGAAATGAGATTTGATAAGATTCTGATTTTCATAATTGAAATCAAAATAATGTTTTACAAATTATGCAAAATGTTATCAATTGGGGTTTTCTGATTAAAAAAAAGAAAACAATTGTTTCGCCACATGAAGGAACATCATGACACTTGCCAACCATCGTTATCTAATCAAAAATAATCTTTTTAATGAATTGTTCACTCTTAAAGCTCGTGGTGGTCGGGAGTTCAAATGGGTCCACCAGATGCGATCCTTGGTGTGACCGAAGCATTTAAAAAAGACACAAATCCAAAGAAAATCAATCTTGGAGTTGGCGCTTATCGTGATGACAATGGAAAGCCTTACGTCTTACCAAGTGTACAAAAAGCTGAAGAAATTATGGCAAAGAAAGCATTAGACAAAGAATATGCTCCAATTTCTGGTCCCAGTGATTTCTGCAAACTCAGCATTCAACTCGCACTTGGCGATGATTGCGAGGAATTAAAAGCTGGTGCAAATGCTACAGTTCAAGGCATCTCAGGCACTGGTTCATTACGCGTTGGTTGTGCTTTCCTTGCCAGCTTCTTCCCTGGACCTAAAGATCTTTATTTACCTTCACCATCATGGGGCAATCACACTCCAATTGGTAAACATGCTGGTCTCAATGTTAAGTCATACAAATATTACGATCCAAAGACATGTGGATTGGACTTCCAAGGAGCTCTCGATGATATTGCGGTAGGTTGATATTTTTCCCTTCTTATCAGTTATGACGTCTGTAAACATAGATTTGTTGTTGTTTTGATGATTAGAAAATTCCTGAGCGATCAGTGATTCTTCTTCATGCTTGCGCACACAACCCAACCGGAGTCGATCCAACACCCGAACAATGGCAGGAACTTTCCGCTCTTATCAAGAAGAAGAATCTCTTTCCATTCTTCGATATGGCTTATCAAGGCTTTGCAAGTGGCTCTGTTGATCGTGATGCGTTCGCTGTTCGTCAGTTTATTAAAGATGGTCATCAGATTGCGTTGGCACAGAGTTATGCAAAGAATATGGGATTGTATGGTGAACGTGCTGGTGCTTTCTCGCTTATCACAAGCAGCAAGGAAGAAGCTGATCGTACACTCTCCCAGTTGAAGATTCTCATTCGTCCAATGTATTCAAATCCACCGATTCATGGAGCTCGTGTTGTGACAACAATCTTAAGCACGCCTGAATTGAGAGCTGAATGGTTGCGTGACGTTAAACAGATGGCTGATCGTATCATTTCAGTGCGATCATCGTTGAGGAATAATTTGGTAATTTTACATTTAATTATTAAAGAAAACTTTTATCTAATTGCTATTTTAATTTTGTAGGAAAAACTTGGATCGAAGAAGAATTGGCAACACATCACTGACCAAATTGGAATGTTCTGCTTTACTGGAATGAATGCAGAACAAAGTACAAGATTGTCAACAGATTTCAGCATTTATTTAACAAAAGATGGACGCATTTCAATGGCTGGTGTCACTTCGAAGAATGTTGAATATTTGGCTCATGGCATCCATGAAGTCACAAAGTAAAGTTAATTTATAATTCAACTCGTCTTGATGTCACATCGAAAAACATTTCACGAGCATTTCATATTCAAAGTTAGCGGAAAAAATGAAGATTTTATTTATTATTTTTGATATCAAATGCTGTAATTAATTCGTTTTATGTTCACGCAACATTATGCTTTAAAGTGAGAAAGAAAATATTTACAACCACTGAACTATTCGATAATCTAATATAAACATATAAAACGAATTAAAAGTCAGAAGTTAAAAAAAAATAAAGTTGAAACATTTTAAAATTTAATTTTTTTTCTTTATTTAAACTTTTTTGTAAATTTTTCGTGACTCAAATGAGTTAAATTGAATTTTTTTTGTTGATGGAGGGGGAGGGGGAATTCTTCTATAATTATGATACTTGATTGTGTGCGAATATGTGGGGCTCAAATGCAAGGAATGTTAATTATAAATTCACTCCTACCACTGGTTTTGAAAGCTTTAATTTTGTGAAACTTTCAGATTTATTTTTGAGAAATTATTTCATTGACATGGCTTGTAAATGAACCCCAAACATTATGTTTTCTTGCTTACGAAGTCATATTGAAATAGATCTTAACTCACAAGAAAGAAAATTTACAAATCAGACTCTGACATTATTAATTAAACTTTCTTTTATTTATCATTAAAGTTCAAAAAGGAGTTTGGATCTGGTTTCAAATTGGCTCGAATGGGGACATTTAACAGGGACTTACTTTTTTACATTCCGCATATCAATAATTCAGAGATAAAAAGTTTGAATTCTATAATTAATAAATTACATCATACCAATAAAAAAAGAGAAATTTAAATGAAAAAGCTATTCAATCAGATGCGATTTTCGTTTACATCGAAAGATGTTTTCTTATCATCTACAACAATTATTTTTTAACAATTTTCCTTCTTCCTTTCTCAAATGTTGGTTTTAATTATTTAACTCTCTTATGGCATAAATGATGATATAAGAAATAAGAAATTAAAATGCATGCTTTTATTTGCTTATATTTTTTTCTTTTGTTCACTTAAAAATTAATTTTCATCAACATTTTCAATTTTTCTTCTTTGTTTTCCACTTGATGATGTAAAAGAAAAATTAATTCGCTTTTAAAAATGTGATGCAACTAAAGATCTAAAGTAATGTCAAAGTTTGAACTTCTTCTTAAGAAGAAGTCGTTTTATTAATATTTACATTTATGCTTCTTTTATTAATTTTTTCTTTCTTTACTTTTCAGCTTTTTACAGCTTAGATGAATAATTAAATTAATATTTAGTAAACAACTGCAAAAAATTTCCTGTTTTTTTTTCTCAATTTCAGACGTTTTTCTTTTCTTTTTTTGGACATTTAATAAAATAAAATGTTGTCTCGGAGCTTGCCCCAAGAATTTGTTGTACATTGATCAAAGTTCATGTGCTCTTAATTTTCTGTTGTTTTGTTTTTCGCCTAAAATATTTCACTAAATTTTCATGTTTTGTTTTTTTTTTCTTTTTTTCTTAAAAATTTTTCTTTTAACATTAAATGAGCAAATTGGTGCGAGAGGAAAACTTCATAATTTTTCTTTTCTTATTTTTTTCGTTTCATGATCGGATAAATGTTTGTGCTCGAATGCACTTTTCCCTATATTTACATTAAAGTGTTGTCATTTCATTGAAACAAGCCTGACTCTCGATTAAAACTGAAATTCTCAAGAATATTCCCGTCAATGAGACCGAAATTCTCGTTCATTTCTGAATCGTCGACCATATCTTTCATGTAATCGTTGTCGCATTCAGTCAGACTTTTTACAAGATTCTCATAAGCTTCGGCGCCATTTTGTGGTGGTCGTTCCTGGTTAACTTGTCCATTCACCTCTGCACCACCATCACCGTTTATTGTGCTTGTACTTACCGGTGACGACTCTTCAACTGGTTTTGTGTTTGTTGCTGTTGTTGAAGCTGTCGCTGTTGCGTCTTCTTCATGATTTAGGAAAACATATTCCGAGACAATGTCAGTGATATTTGTTGTTTGCGTTGATTCAGGAGCAACAACATCAATTTGTTGTTGATTTTCTATAAAATTAAATTAATTTTAATCTTTCATTTCATTCAATAAGCAAGAAAAATTTAAACTTACCAAATACTACGACATTTGACGATGGATCTACAATATCAACAGTTTCTACAATCATATTATTGTTATCGGATTCAGAAGCTTCATTTTTATTTCCTTCATTCGCTTCCTTTTCATCTAATCGAATCTTCTTCGCAAGCGAACCTGCACCATTGCTCTTTGTTGTTGATTTCCCGCCTTTTGTTCGATTTGCATCATCTAGTTCTTGTTCCCAATCAACTTTAGAACCTTCACCTGATGTTGTTGGTGTCACTGGTGTCGTTGCTGTCGACGATGTTTGAAGTTGAAGGAATTGTGAGCTGTTTACAACAGTAAATCCCTTCGTATTGATGTTTCTTTGAATCTTTAAATTGGCTGGAATCGGTCCTTTGATGATTTTCGGATTGACAATGCTCGTTCCAAGTTTGAGTTTTATTTGCTTAGTTGTTGTTGATGTTGATGAAGTTGGTGATTTGTGAATGATGACTTTGGGAAAATTCGTCGTTCCCGTTGTCGATGGCAGGAAATCAATTGGAGTGTTCTCTGTTATCCTTTGATTCTCAGGAATTGGAGATTCAGGTGATGAATCTTTAAGCGTAAAATTCCTGTCAATTGTTTGTACAATAACTTTTGAGCCGGGCGGCCCTTTAGGATTATGGCTGACAATTGTGTATGGCGATTTTCCACCAAGCTGATAAGAATTGGTAATACCTTTACCACTTAACACTAATTGTCCTGCTTTACCACTAACAATTGTTGCTGACGGCGATAAACTCGCTGTTGTTGGCGTTCCATCTTGACTTTTATTCATAACAAGTTGAATTTTCTGAATTTTAAACTTCGAAGGTTGTGAAGTGATAATTGATTGTTGAGATGATGGCTTTATTGTTGTTTCAGCTGGTTTTATAATCACTGGTTTTGTATTTGTTGGAATAATTTTTATTGCTCTGTTTGGAACTGTTTTTATAGAATTTTGCGATGGGATTTGTGGTGGTGTTGGTTGAGATGTTGTCGGTTGTTGCTGTGGTTGTTGATGATGATGATGAAGTGGAGTTGTTACTTTTAATTTTGGTGTACAACTGGCAGCTGTTGAAAGCAATTGAAGTGGTGATGCCATTGCTTGTGTCGATAAGTCCATATCATGATTGTTGTGCTCCATATGTTGATGTATTGCGTCTAAATTTTGTTCTACTTTCGAAGATGTTGTGTTGAAGATTATTTGCGGATCAGGAATGTGATCCATGTTGCGAGCACCAGAACCGTTCGCATATTTTGTCTGATAATTACTCCGTGATTGAACGTGAACACTCTTTGAACGTCCTGTTCGTCCTTTTGTCGTTTCACCACCCAAAAGCTCATTCTTAAGACGCGTCGGATTATTCGGTATATAATGAGCTTGCGGTTCCATCGATTGATGATTCATTTTAATCAGATTCATGTCTTTTTTATTTCCTGCTGGCAGAATTGGAGCGTACGGAGACTTCATTGGACTCATTGGTGGCGGCATAAGTTGCGATGTTAAATGTCTCTGAAGTTCTGCACCATCAAAATGCTTTTCATCTGGCGGATAAGGAAGATGCATTCGACCCGGTGATTGTTTCGTGGCACGAACCTTTGGAGATTTCTTTGTAAGTGATTTACGTGGTCGTTTTGCATTTAATGTCTGATACAAATGTTGAATCTTCACATTTGGTGGCGGTGGTGGCTTTAGATGTTGATAATGTTTCTTTCGTGAACTTTGATGTAGCACTGAGATATCGAAACTCTTTTTAAGGTCTTTTCGATTAATTCCAAAAATGGCTGGCGATGGTGGCGGTAATGTTGGGTCTTCTGTAACAACAGACTTACCATCAGCTTCCCCGTCCACAATACGTGATCGTTTTGTGTCTGATGGATGTGGAAGTTGTGAATTTTCAATTGCTGCGGCTTTTGAAGCATGGTCAGCGAGGATGTGAAGCGCGGAATATGGAGGCGCTCGACCAATTAGTGGATAATTTCGATGTCCCTCACGAATCCACTCTAAATCGTAACTTTTACCATTCAATCTGAAAGTGAAAAGATGCATTAGATATTATTATTGATAATTAAAGTAAGCACATGAACTCACAATTCGGAAATTGTAGTTAATTTTTCACTGTTTGCTACCCTTCTCACTTCGGCTTTGTGTCGATCTTCGGAGATGTGAAAGCACCGTCTCAATTGATCTAACACATTCTGTTTACTATTGTCTAAGCTGCCTTGCGCTCGAAATGTGCTCACAACACTTGAATAAGCATCTAATTCTGAAAGATGAAAGATATTTGAACGTTTTAAAAATTTTTGTTTTGGCTTTGCTTTGCGAAAAAAATTGTGTCAGAAATTTTCACACGCTTTTCCCACCTAATCGTCTTAAAACGCCACGACATTCGTCTTTCGTCATGTCAAGTTTTGGCGGCCAAAAATTTTGGATACACTTTGACATTATATTCACTGAAATTGAAGCTTATTTATTTGAATGAACTTCGTTGATATTTTTTTGTTATTGGAACCATTTATACTTTGGTCAAATCCTCAAAAAATTAACTAAATTGACTTTCTTCAATTGTTCGACTTTATGAATGTTTCAATGAATTTTTATCTTATCTCGAGTTATGACAAGAATATTCTTCACTCATTAAATAACATTACATAATATAGATCTTAATTAACCGATAACAAATGAATTCAGGAATGTTTATTAAAACCACACTTCACATGGATATATCCTTCATTAACACGACAAGCTACAAGTTGAAATCGATTATCCTGAAAAACGTAATTCAACTAAATATCAAAAATTAGAAAGTATTTTGATGATTTTTTATTTTATCTGCATTACTTAAAGCCATGGGATGACTAAGACAATAATAATGATTAAAGAGATCAAACTCTATTCCATCAGATTAAATATTTTTTAAAAAACTGAGATTATTCATATATTCAACGGTTAAGAAATCAAAGTTTGAAGCGTTTCCAACTTTATGACGCTCAGCTTTAAGCAAAACTTAAATGTTCTGCGTAGCTGCTGTGTGAATAATTTCTTCTCACACAAAAGAAAATAAAAACAAAAAAAGTGAATTTTAAATTATTCTGCTTTAGCAAGAAAATCTCACAATTTTTTTTGATATTTTAAATTTCGAATGATGAATAGTCATATAAAATTAAAAATTCTTGTGATTGGTGAATCGGGGGTGGGAAAATCAAGGTAAATTAAATTTTAACGTTGGACTTTGTTTTGATTTCATTATTGCAATTTCATAAAACATGTAATTGTTTTCTACAACAATTGTCTAGCTTAATGCTTCGTTTTACTGATGACAAATTCGATGCCAATGAACAACCAACGATTGGAGTCGATTTCAAAGTTAAACACTTGGAACTAGATGGGGAAAAGATTTACTTACAGATTTGGGTAATAAATAAAAATTTAATTGACAATTAAGGTGTTAATATTTTAAATAAACATTTTTTTATCTCCCATAGGATACTGCTGGACAAGAAAGGTTTGTATTGGAAAGTTAATTACAATAAATTAAACATTAATAAAAATTAATCTTTAGATTTAGAACATTAATTCCATCGTACTACAGAGATGCAACAGGGGCAATACTCGTTTACGATGTCACCAAAACATCAAGCTTCCAGAAACTTGAAACCTGGTTAGAAGAACTTGAAACGAATACGAATCAAAATATTACCAAAATGATTGTGGGCAACAAAATTGATTTGAAAGATGAAAGGAGAGTTGACAGAGAAATGGGAAAGAAATTTGCGAAACAACAACGTGCACTTTTCGTGGAAACTTCTGCAGCAAGCAATATTAATGTTCAAATGGCTTTTGAAGAGTTAGTCAAAAAGATCTTGGAAGATAATATTTTTGATGACAGAAATGGAGTGTTGAGAAGTAACATCCGATTAAGTGGCGCACAAGGACAGGAAGACAATAATCAAGCGTCAGGAGGAAGTTGCGGAGGATATTGTGGAAGATAGTAAAAATATGTTTTACTGTTTTTGGTGTGTTTAAGTGAAAGTTTTGTATTTATTTTCATGTGGTCAATAAAAAATTATTTATCCGAAAAAATATTTCGAATGAAAAAAATTGCGCAAATGTTTTAATCTTATGCGCTTCTACGCATAGCTTGAAGATAATAAAAATCAGTTCTCAGGAATTTTAGTTTCATTAATTTTTTGTTTTTTTATTTTGTGTGAAATTTTAACATGAGCAGTAAATCGAATCCTTTTAAAATCCTTGTTGTTGGAGATTCAGGAGTTGGAAAATCATGGTAAATCAATTTCACAATAATTATGATATTTAAACATTTATTTTCAATCAAATATTTATGTTGTATCATGACAAATGATTCAAATATTTATGTGTTCATGAGGTTATTTGTTTATTTGTCTTTTATTCAGCTTGATGCTGCGTTTTACAACCGAAAATTTCAACTTCACTCCTGAAGCTACAATAGCTGCTGATGTCAGAGTTAAGACAGTTGAAATTGAGGGAAAGACGATATTTTTACAACTTTGGGTAAGAGATGAGTAACACTTTACTATGACTACTTTTTTTCTAATATTTTGATATTATAATTTAGGATACAGCAGGTCAAGAAAGGTGAATAAAATTCAAATTCATCTTTCATTTGATAAACGATGATCCTTTTTTAGATTCAGAGCAATGAATGCTTCCTTCTACAGAGGTGCTCATGGGGTTATACTTGTTTATGATGTTACAAGAACATCAAGCTTCCAAAGTCTCAATTCATGGATTGAAGACATACAAAATTATTCTTCAAATCCAACCATAATGATTGTTGGTAATAAAATTGATCAACCAGATTTACGAGCAGTACAGAGGAGAGATGGAAAAAAATTTGCAGATTCAAAGCAAATGCTATTTGCTGAAACTTCTGCAGCAAATGACATCAACGTAGATTTGATTTTTGAAGAGGTTGCAAAGAAAATACTCGCAACTAACTCTACAGACAACAGCAATTATGAAAGAAGAGCTCCAAATATTAGTTTGCACAGCACTCCGACTAATCCACCGATGTATGTGAATTGCTGCAATAATGTTAAATTTGTTTTGAAATGGCCATTTTCAAAGTAAACAAACGGTTTAAGTCATTTTTTGCATTTATTTTCTCTCACTTTTAATTAAAACAAAACCTTTCATTCTAATGTATTGTAAAGTTAAATGATGGAAAATTTCTAAAGTTTTATAAGAAATCAATGAAGCATTAAAAATTATTTTTTATTTTTAAAATAAGAAAAAGATGAAAGAGAAACTTTATCTATAATGAATAACAAAAGTTTCCGCCTTAAATAGCAGACGAAAGTTAAAGAACATTTATCAGAAATTATTTCTATCACCCCCACGAAAGCGTCGACGATTAGAAAATTCAGTGTATGACTTTTAATGCCAATTAAATGCAGCTGTGGCCTCCTAGAAAAAACATTTTTCCCAAGCCAATCTGTAAGTGAAATTAAAAAATTTAATGTCTCGTTTTGTGGTTTTTGTGTTCGAGCACATCTTTTGTTATTGTTCTTGTTCTTCCCACTCACGCTTCATTCACGAGAGGATTAATTCATGCCCGAAAAACATATGAAAATATGAAAAATTCTCAGCAAGACGAAGAAGTAAGAAGATATTTTCAAGTGCTTTTGAAACTCATAACTTTTGAGAACATGATTTCTTTTTTTCTTCTACTCTTCTGGCAACAGTAAAAAATATATTTTATCTTATCTCGTTTCACCATGGTTCTTAAAATCCTATTCAACAGTCGTTCATTAAAAAGAATTTTCTTTAAAATTCAATTATTTTAATTAGAAGCAATTTCCATGGGAAAGTTTTGAACTTTTTTTTTCATCCTTCGAACTTTATTAAATTTTTGTTGTTGTTGAAGACATCTTGATGATGAAATAAATTATTTTGACTCAAAATTTAGGATTACAATCTTTAAGTAAATTTTCAGAAAACCAAAGTTGAGTGAAAGTTGTCATCAAAAATCTTACTTAATTATCTACATACGACTTTATGAAGCCTTGCATAGCATTCAACATTAACTCGTTTATAAATTTAAAAAGTTTTGAAAATCACGTTTTTAAAAATTCTTAATTAATTAAATGTGTGATAGAAAAATTGTATAAAATATAATTCTTTGTTCTTTCATTCATGACTTTTTCAAAGTTATGTGTGGCGAAGTAAAAAAATTGTAATGCATAAGAATCATAAAATGTTTTTCTATTTCTCTAAAAATGTAACCAAATTCATTGATATTCCTTGACTTAACACCTCATTCAAAACACCAGAAAGCTTTCATGTGGGTTTTTCTTCTCGGTGTGTATGCATTTTGCTTTATTACACATGGGAGCAGTTGACTAATGTGATAGAGAAGGAAAGATATTTTTATTTATGAATCTGTAGTTTGCCACTCGTTTATTTTCTACACCAGCTTTCTGAACTCTAACATTGACTTTTTTCGGTCACCAAATGTGGTTTTCCTTTTATCACGCATCGTTGGCCATAAAATGGCTTGGATACATCCACTATAGACGCTTTCCTTTTTTTAACTCACTAAATTTCAGATGAAACCTATGTTGTTGCATTGAGTGTGTTTATTTTACATGCAAGTTGTCGGGCAGGAAACTTTGACAGAATCTCGTGTGAAAACAAACTCGCATACCAAAAAAATGTTACTTTGAAAGACTTGCTTGAAGTTTCAACATAAATGTCGTCGTTTATTTAACTAAGTATCTAACGAAACTCTCACTGATGCTGTAAGAAAAATGAGATTGAGTTTTATGACATGGAATTTGATTTACCATGATAGAAGTGAATTAGTTCTTTCAGTGTTTATTCCACATTAATCTGAATTTACATCCTTGTTGTGTTGATCTCCATGTATGCTCTCATGCTTTTCTGCTTAGACATGAGTGATGGTATTTTGAAACTTTTCCCTTTCTTTTATTTTCTCATTCATCAGACTGTAAATGTAAACTTTCTGGATTTGGGAGACGATGAAATGTGGAAATGTGTTGATAAAATGAATCAAAAGCGGGAAGCAATGTGGTGCAATCGTTAAATCTTCCCTTCTTTCTTCTCTTTCCTTGCACAATTGAATCTCCGGGGAAATTATGTTCGCCTTAAGATAAGAGTTAAAACAATTCACATGCGACATGACAAGCTCAGTTTTATAATGCCAAGTGGAATAGAAAATTTCTTCTGTTATGAATGTTAAACTGCAGTTAAAAATCTTTCATCGTTTCATCAATGATGGGAGAATAATTGGAAATTAATTTCTAAATCAATTAGTTGAATTACGTCGCAGATGAGAAGATCTTCTTTGATTCTTCGTTCAATTAATTTGAAATCAATCGAAATCTGTAATAAATACTTAGATATCGAGTTATGAAAAATTTATTAAAATTTATTCACAGTGACAAATTGGATGGAAATTTAATTATTGAGAGAAATTTTAACAGTATTTGGTTTATGAGAAATCTCAAATTTCATCTTTGACTTCAATTATTCCTTTCATTAAGAAACATTAAATTCTCAAGTCAAGAATTGAAATTTATGATTTTCGGTGATGGTGGCAAAAGTTTGAATCATAACAGCAAGAGGTCATGTTCATGTTATTCTCTCTCTTTTAGTGACAAAAGATTCACTTCACAACACAAAAATTGTTAGTTGAAAAGTTGAAGAATGAGTTCATGAACAAAAAGTTCTTCACAACATCTATAAAGAGAAAATGTTTTCATAAATTTTATTTACATAGATTCATAATGTTGCATTGTAATCATTGCATAGAGTGTGAAAGAAACAGACACAGTGAAAAATAATTTCATACGGGATCAGTAAGGATTGTTTAAATACAAAATGAGATCAGTTTAATAACTTTGAGTGGAAAATTTTCATTCAACTCCATGAAACAAGGATAAGAGAATTGAAAGTAGAGCTGACACTGTTGATCCCGAAAACATGAAAGTTCCATTAAAATATGACGATTTTTTCTTCCTTTCTCCTCATCACTTAGCACTAATTAAGCTTTATCATGTTTCTCCTTAAAATTTGTTTTCATTTTATTGTTTTCAGCATAAAATAAAATCTCATATCAACCCACAATATTTCAACATGAATCTGCACAAATGAAAACTTCAAAGACAGAAATCCTTTTATCAACTGAGTGTCTATAATATCATAAAGGTCACGTTCGAGTATTGTATTGATTTTTCTTTTTCATTTTCATTTCGGCTTTATACTACACATGATTTGCCTATAAAAAATAAAAGAAAACAACTGTGAATGAAACAGCGAGAACGAGAAGAGCCAAGATTGTTACTTCTAATGCAATAAAACTGTTTGTTGGTAATTAATTGGATGAGTATTCATTGGTGAAAGTTATAACGTTTACGATCCCCTCATGATGATGATGAAAAGAAAATATGAAGGAGTGAAATGTGAAAATTACAAACAGTTTGATGCCAAGCTTCATCATAAGCTTGTATGAATTATTTATGATGAAAAATTATGATACTGATGTGTATTTAATGTGAAAATGATGTTGAGATGTGAAACAGTGAACTCATGAATGGAACTATGTATATCAACTTAATTTTCCTTTCCTTTCATTTTTTTTGGATGATACATAAATTAACTTTGAGTGAAATGTAGATTCACTCATCGGGAAAATGATTTTTATCAGTCAATTTTGTTACTGTGCTACTAGACAAACAGAAACGACATAAAGCGGCAGACGAAGACTTCGATTTCGATTTTCGTGATTTCTTGCTAGAAAAATAGTTTGAAGAACGTGATAAGGTTTTCAAATTGACGATGTGGTAATGTTAACATTGCTACTGAAGTAAAATCTTCTTATCGAGTCAAATCGATAATCTGAAAGCATTTTCTTAGCTTCAAATCAAGTCGGGGTTAAAGAAGATGAGTCTGATTTGAATTGAATTCAACTGAGATTAAATTTTCTTCCTATTTTTCCTGCTTATGTATCAAATACATAAATTTCTCATTTACTCTTTTGTTCTATTCTAGTGTTTTCATTTTTCTTCTAGATGTACATTTAAAACTTTATAAAATTCATGTGAAATAAAATTTAATGTTGATCATAAAGGAAATATCATCAATCAACTTCTTTCCTTTTACAGAAATTTTATTTTTTATTTATCTACATTTTTCATTTGCAACATGTGTAAAGGAAGTTGAAGATATGCAACATTTTGTATGTTCAAAGTCAGAAGTTTCTTTTTAATGTTGTGATAGATTAAGTTGAGAAAGTTTTTTTATGTTTAAAGAGTATTTACAAACAAGTGGGTTGAAAGATCTTAAAATCATCGTCCAGATTTCATTTCAATGAAAAGTCTTAACGCATTCATTTTACTGACAAAGTACAATGAAGTTTGGATAATATTTTCGTAATCACATCCTAACATGAAATTTTTATTTCATTTTTTATTTATACAAAGAATGATGAGATGAGAAAAAGTTGAAGAATAAAAATAGAAAAATATAAAAATTAATGTTGAAACATTTTCCTTTCTGACTGAATTTAACAAAAGAGGGAAAAAAGCAATAATGAATAGTTTCGCTGAAGGCAGTTAAAGTGCAGAAAGTTTAAGTAAAAAAGAAACTCACGATGGAGAGACGGAAATATCCTTAAAGATCTTTAAATGAAGAGGAATTTACCATCAATTTCTTTGAAGCTTTGCGGCGTTTGGTTCAGATTAATATTCTTTATAAATAAACTATTTATCCTTTTATCAATAGTTAATTCACTTTCATCCCGGCAAATTTCTTTTAATGAAGCTTATTCTTATAAAAATTAAACTTTCTTTATTATAAATTTACTTTGTGAAAGTTTTCAACATTTTTTAAATTTGTATTATCATGAGAAATAGAAAATTAATAACACTAAGAGCGAATATAAATTCTTCAAGATAATCATGTTAGCATTTTATTTAAAAGACGATGCAATCAATTCTTAAACAAAAAATTCTCAGCATCTGCGAAAATTTGCATTTCAAAACAAATAAGGAAGAAAATGTTTATTGTCATGGAATAAAAAATCTAATAAATTGTGCTGATGAGTATCAGTTAATGACGTTAGAATGTTCAGAAACTAAAAAAGTAATAAAACTCAGTATTACTATGAAGACATCAATCGACAATAAAAATTTATCGTTTGAGCAACAATTAGATTTTCTTTCTATGGTAACAACATTAACAATTGACAGAATATATTCGAACGACAATGATGAATTATTTTCAGATCCGAAGTTTCCAAAGATAATAATGTCATTCGAATATTTCGTTATTTTATGTTCTTTCCAATGAGAAAAAAATTTATATGTGCGTACATTTAATGAAGGTATAATGAGAAATTTATTTACATATAACTTGTAGAATATTTCAGCCACAAAGCACTAAATAAAGTTCACAACATAAAACGACATGATTATGCTTCCTTTTCCTTTCATTCTATTACCCTCGAACAATATCTTTGGTGAATGAGAATCATATGAGAAGCGTATTGTTGATGTTTTATGCTGTTTTTATGTTGTCGTGAGGTAATCGTTTTCTTATTCTATTTGCCGGGCGGATTATTTCAATTCCAATGTCGAATTCAATTTTCAACCTCTAACCAAATGTAAATTCAAAACTTGTTGCTAGTGATATGAACATAAATACTCGTAGGATGAAAAGGTTCAACAAAAGATTACGTTAAGAATATGAAAATATTTCGTACAACATGAATAAATTTCCTTTTTCTTATCTTTTCCTTTTCTCTTTCTTCCTTCGACAGTTCATCCAGTCATTCATGTGAGTGTCGCTATGAATTATGCGTCGATATTCGATCATTTATTAATCTTCTCTTAAATTTCCTTATCACAATAAAATGTGAAGGTTCCAAATCAACTTGTTGGTGCACCACTTGGAACTGATGTGAGACGTTTTTAATGTGTGAAACAGTATAAAAGTACTTTGAAGAGTCTAAAAAACTTAATTGGTGTAGCTTTTTTGAAAACATGGAGATCTTTTTGCAAATAACTTTGGTTGCAGCTTTTCTTCCTTAATTAAATTTAAAGATATCTCAACAACTTCTCATTTAGTTTCAATGATTTTCAATTAGTTTGCACTGCAAAAAGAAAATGTGCAACATTTCCAACTCAAGTAAATGGTAAGAAATAGCAAAAAAAAATGTTGATTACGTGGATCATATTGGAGCTGTGAACAGTAAAAGTTTCATTCAAACTTATCAGCGATTTGAAATGTCCTGAATAGATGTGTGCCTTCTTTTATTTTCAGAGGCTTGTAGTCTGTCACTTGAAAGTGGATCATTGCCATGTCCTGTAAGTCAAAAACGATATTATTATAATACTGTCATAGGTAGTTGTGAATCATTCCGATATGTTGGTTGTAATGATGAAGTTCCTAAAAATTTCGACGACGAACCGTCATGTAGAAGTTCATGCCTTAGAGGATCAGTTGCTGGTGAATAAAAACCTCAACATTCATCATTAAGAATTTTAAAATTGTACTCTTATTCTTTTAGACTCTCGATGTACTGACCCTGCATTTACAGGATCATGCCGACAAGGTTCAAGCAGTACGAGATGGTATTATGATGATGGTGAATGTAAGAGTTCACTTATTCTGGTTGTGGAGGGAACGCCAATAATTTTGAATCTCTCGAAGCATGTGAAGCATCATGTCCATGAGAAGTTTGAGTTCTTGAAGTCTCTCTATATAATATATAGATCATCTGTAATTATCCAGATTTTTATACGAGATAAAAATAGAGGGAAGCATAAAAGTCAATCATAGTTAACACTTAACATGTTTGACTTTTCTTTAAAACATCAAATTTCCACCTGAAACATTAAAAAACATTGCAAAGCTTTAGAACAAAGTGGAAAATGAAACACGAATGTTTCGGTTTGAATCATTTGAACAGCATTAGAAACGTCAAGCTTTTAATATTTGATTGGCTGAGAAATTCGAAGAGTTTTTACCTGAAAAAAGAAGCAATTGCGCAGAAGACGCTCATTTTAAGACCCAGACTGGTCATATAATCAACCATTCTACAAACATCATTCAAAAGTTGATTTTTTATCTCAAAAGTTCTCTCAACTCATGCCTCTTAAAATTCTTTAATTTTTGTTCACCAAAAAAATAATTTCATCTCTTTTTTTAAGAATTAAAGATGTTTAGCTTTCTATCTCATCAAGTGCTGTCACTCATATTATCATAAAACGATCTAAGCACTGGCACAGGTGTTAATATTTACTTTTTATGACTTTTCTTCTCATAATTTTTTTCCCGCTCTCTACAGAGTTAGTGGAGCAAGGACAGAATAAACAAATTTTACGCTAAAAATACTTTAAGGTACATATGTGCGCATCTGCTTTCAGAGTATGTTTGCGGCTTTGTAATATCATCATAAATAGAACATTATTGAATGTGTTTGTTAAGGAAATTTTAGAGGAACCTAAAGGGACTTTCTTAGATTTAGCTTTCAACTATAATAATTCAGCTTAATGCTTCTAATCTCAACAACTATCATTTGAAAAAAACAATCTCTTCAATCACCTTATCCTTGTGAACTTAAGACACAAACCTTGAATAAAGCTTACATTTCATCTACTTTTAGATACAATCATGAGTCTCTAAAGACATCTGAAAAGATATCCATCCAAGATGTATGCGAGATATAAAAATCCAAGTTCTTATTAAGAAAACCAACAATGGAGTACTCTCATTCACGAAATAGGGAAAGCAAAGTCTCTGCAGGGAGAAGTCATCTGGCACGTTATCTATAACAATGCAAAGTAAAACGCCTAAGTAGAAAGCCGTATAAAATATAATTTCGTCATGGGAACTATTCACATTTTTATGAATTCCCATAAATTTCTCGCCTTCTGCATTCGTTTTGTGTGTGATATTTAACAGCTAGATTGTGTCTCAATAAAACTTGAAACGCTTCCAACTCGTCTTTTGACGTTGCTACCAAAAGTTAGTCGTCGTAAGAGAAATCACAATGAATTTTGTTCTCCAGCATGTGTTTTATAACATCATATAAAATTATTCATTCTCCAACGTGCCGCAGACTTAGACAAAACATTTCAAACATATATCCGATTAAAATTATCTTTTTTATTGTTTTAATAATATCATTTTTCTTTTTCTTCTTGTGTGTTTTATTTAAATATATCATTGTCATAAATCTGTATTCATCCATGTATATTGTACGTTGCCTTACTATTCCAACATGCAATTCATATATTTACATTTAAATCTTGTCAGTCAGATTATTGACGTAAAGATAATGAAAAGAATCTTTTCATTTGAGATTATATTTAAGAGGAAGGAGAGGGAAACAAAACAATTTACATTAATTTGTTACTGAATTAAAGATAATTTAAAATGTTCAGTTTCGATTTTTCTTTTTGTTATAAGCTTTAATAGAAAAAGCTACACGTACATATTTTATTCGTTACATATCGTGATCAAGAAGTTGTTAAAACAGATTTTTTTTATTTTTCACTTCAAAGAAATTTTCCCTGATTTTCTTGTCTTAATAATTAACTTTAAGCTTCGCTTTTAATTGAGGATTTACGAGGATTAATTTTGCTACTCTGTGTAGAAGCCTTCTTGTGATTATCGTTTCGTTTCTAATGATAACGATAGTAAGAAATGCTTTCATAAAGGTTATAGGGGGTCATTTTAATATCAATTTAATATTGAGAAGAAGCTTTTAATTCAAAACAGTTTTCCTTTTGTTCTCAATAGTTCATATTATGATTTACTCTAACTATTCGACTAATAACGGCACATTATATATTTTTCTTCCATTATAAATACTTAAATATTGCATTAGCATTCGGCAATGAGAGGAGAGTTGCGAAATGCCGGAAAAAGTAAACAGCTTTCCTTTTTAAGTTAAATGAACAATGAAATGACAGAAAGAAGAATGAGAGTGAAATATTTCTTTATAACATTTCATAACAGAAAATATTAATCTCCTTGGGAGGTGAGGAAGTTACGTTGAAAGTTTTGAAGGTAGAAATAAACGACTATTTACATGGTTAAATGAAAAGTTGTGGAAAATTGCTCGACTTCCCTTTGTCAAGACAAAAGCAGATTGCAGAATTAAAAATCTAAATGCAGAGTAATCATTCTAAGGTCATTATGATAATTGTCGTCAACGAGCGCAATCAAATCATTTCATTTGGAAGTTCCAAACGTTTTATTTTAAATTTTTAATTAATGATAAACCCAAGTATAATTAATTAAAATATGGGTTTTTAGCTCAGATTAAAAATTTCACAACTCAATTTCAAAACAATTTGTTTCTGGGTAGGAAAAGTTAATTTCAAATTAATTCATTTGTGAGAGTTGAGGTGAGGTTGCTTAAACATGAAACGACATTCATTATGTGATTAAGTGTGAATAGTATGATAAAATAATTAATAGCAATGAACATAGTAAATGAAGGGAATGACGACGACGATTATGATGTTGATCCAATGCATTTGAAAATAGATGACCATTATTTTCATGATTATCGATGCCATTCGAACTTCCACGGATGTTGGTGATAATGTTGGGCTTTCTTGTAGCTCCAGGTCCCAGGATCTGAACATTTTGAAGGTTTCTATTTGAATCTTTACAAAGAAAATTAATTTTCAAATAAAAAGTTTTGTTTTCATTATTTTTTGTTTACCCAAAGACGAATCGAGATCTTCAAACTCATTTGAATTGTAATTATCTTCGTAATCTGGGCTTTGATAATTATTCTTAGGTGTAAGCAAATGTGAATCTTTCCCAGAAGTTGCTTGATTTTTGCTACCTTTCCCTGTTGATATTTCATTTGTATCACTGCCACTATGTTTAGGGGGTGGAACTTTACGTGTTGGGCCTGGTATTTCTGTTAAAAAGAGTTATTATCCGGAAATGTTTCAGTTTACAACTCAACAAGTTTTAATTAAACGACAACTCACCATATAATCTGATACTACTGTCGACTTCACCTAGCGAATTTTTCGCTATGCAACGATAGCTACCGACATCGTCTTTCTCAAATTTCTTTACTGTGACTGTCATTTTCATCTCGTATAACGATCTCGAATGCTCTTGAACGATGTATTTCGATGATGAAACAATCATCTCACCTTTATAGATAATTACAAGTAATTAATTTGACATTGCATTGGAAATAATGAGCCAACCTGTGTCTTTAATCCAATAGTTTATTGATTTGGGACTCGCTTCAACATGACATTCAATTTGCACATCAGTTCCAAGTGGAGCACCAACAAGTTGATTTGGAACCTTCACATTTTATTGTGATAAGGAAATTTAAGAGAAGATTAATAAATGATCGAATATCGACGCATAATTCATAGCGACACTCACATGAATGACTGGATGAACTGTCGAAGGAAGAAAGAGAAAAGGAAAAGATAAGAAAAAGGAAATTTATTCATGTTGTACGAAATATTTTCATATTCTTAACGTAATCTTTTGTTGAACCTTTTCATCCTACGAGTATTTATGTTCATATCACTAGCAACAAGTTTTGAATTTACATTTGGTTAGAGGTTGAAAATTGAATTCGACATTGGAATTGAAATAATCCGCCCGGCAAATAGAATAAGAAAACGATTACCTCACGACAACATAAAAACAGCATAAAACATCAACAATACGCTTCTCATATGATTCTCATTCACCAAAGATATTGTTCGAGGGTAATAGAATGAAAGGAAAAGGAAGCATAATCATGTCGTTTTATGTTGTGAACTTTATTTAGTGCTTTGTGGCTGAAATATTCTACAAATTCCATGTAATCTTCAATGGAAACCACAAAAGTAGGTTGAACGAGACTCTAACTTATTGTTATCCAATAAATTCGCAACTTTAACAATTTTTAAAGAAGACACGTGATATGTATTTAAATTTTATGTGCGAAGAAATTAATTTTTCTCAACATAAAATGCGTTTCAACAATTGAAAACTTACAATGAATATTTAGTGAGATTCTTTTTGACACTGAAGGCGGCACTGAGTTGCTAGCTATACAAAGATAAGAGCCCATTTCGTTGCGGGCAATTTTCGTCAGTTTCAAAATCTCGCCACGAAATGATGCAACTGGGAAAGAGAAAAGAAAGCAAATGAAGAGAGTTGCAAGTTTACAAAAAGTTTCATCATTTGTTTGTCAAATAAAAAATTGTTTATCGTTATGGTAATCTAAATTTCTTACCATGAGTCTTTGTACCCATTGAATCTTTCAAGATAATTTCATTCCCATCCTCTCGTCTCCAAGTCACGACAGGCTCTGGATATCCTCGTGCCCTGATTAAAGGAAACGGAGTAAAATAAAAGGAGAAAATAAATAAATAATCTATCTAGTCTTTTGTTATTCTCAAAAAGACGAATGAGAAAGTAATCTTTGTTATAGAAAGAAAGAAAAAATTAATGCTAAAAGCAAAGTGGAAAAGAAATTAAAAAGGAAAAGAAAAAAAAGCTATCAACTATCAACCTTAAATGAGTTTATGAAGCTTTTGAGAATTTAATTTCATGTTTTATCTTCTTCGATGCATAAATGAGTGAAACATAATTTATACTTCATTTGAAGAAAAGTAAAAGAAAAAAAAAGCATTTAAAGAAGAAAAAGATTTTCCTTGAAGGCGGAAAAGCAATTTTCAAGAAAGGAAGTAAATTGCATCGAAATTCGGCTCTGTTCTAAGTTGAAGTTTTAAACAATCTTCTTATGTTCTCATAGTTTTTTTTTATGTTTCACTCCTTCGTCTATCAAACAAAGAGCAGTTTCTTAACAACATTAAACTGGAAAACTCTCCGTCTTCATAAATATTTTCCAGATTTTATGATTTATTCTTCAAACATAAAAAAGCTTTTTCCATCTCGTTTCGCCAAAAATGGTATTTAACCCTGTGAGATGCAGTTTCAGTGAATCTTGAAATGAAAATTGTATAGAAGAGTCGAGAGAAAAGAAATAAAGCGCGTCAAAAGTTTTCCCATTCGAATGGAAATTTAACAGATGTTACTCCAGTGAATATGTTTGTGACGAGAGAAGTTGTTTTGGGTAAAGTATTTAAAGTGATTAAATTACGTGCTTTAACTCGTCATGTTCCCTTGAAACTTTGAATATTACCAAATTTATTTTCCTCTCAATTACCTGCATGTTAATTTAACTGAACTACCTTCCGGTACAATAACATCAGATGAAGTGTCTTCAGGAATAAAGTCTGGTGGAATTACTACGTCCAGATATCCAATCTGAAATTATTCAATCGTAAGGAAATCAGCTTTAAACTTTGACAGAAATAACAGAAAGAAATAAATATTTCATCCCCCGCATTGTCAAGGAACTTCTCAGATTTTCTCTTCATTCAGGAAACAAACAAGTATCATAAATTTCCAAAGTGGATATCGAGAAAAACAAAAATAAATTCAATTTTCGTCTTGTTTCCCCAATTTGTCATTTATAATTCCGCTTTTCATCATTGGAAAACTTCTACTTCTGCCGCTTAAATTGAACGTGAACAGAAGAATGAATGAAAAAGTTTTTTGTTTTACACCGAAAATGACTTTTTTCCATTCTTTTTTTCGTTTCTTTACTGTTATCATGAGGTTGTCAGTGAATAAACTTTTCATCACTCTCACCTGACTTTTCATCGGATCTGTGTTGATTTGACACATGTAACCGCCTCTGTCGTCTTCACTGACTGATTTTATGTGAAGATTCCACGTGTTGACGTCAAGATGTGAAACACTAACTCGAGGATTGTGAGTTATAACATGATCGTGAATCGCTTGAATTGCTTTTGTGTCGGCCTTCACCCAACCAACCTTTGATAATGAAAATTTAATTAATTAAATATTTATGCTTAATACTTGATTAATTAATTCCACATTTCTCAACTGATTTATCAAACATAAATTAACAAAGATCAAAAGCAAATTAAATTAACTTACCCTGTAACCACCTAAATGTCTGACATGACATGTAAAGGTTGCATCTCTGCCGATAGCTACAGAAATATTTACAATCGGCTCAGCAAACTCCGGTTGAAATGTTAAAGCTTCTGTGGAGTTTATAATTTCTTTATGAGTGAATATTTTGGTATTTAACTTTTTTCTTGCATCACAAATGTGTTTATTCACTCCCCCACGTTAAATTTTCATAAATCTTTTTCTCACTGAGATCTCGTTACAAGAGAAGCAATAACAAAAAAACTTATGCTATCTAAGCATACAAAGAATATATAAAAATCTCATGAGAATCATCTAAATAATTAAATGAAGTGCGGGTAACAAAATGTAGATTAGAAAATAGTTTTATGATAGCACAACGAGAAACAAAAAGCATACAAAGTTGTGAATGTGATAAATTTCTAACTCCAATTTAATTATCGTTAAGAAAGTGCTTTTGCTTCTCTTCTGCTGTAACTCGCATATAATTTTTCCCCTGTCTGGAGAGTTTTCATCGTCTTATTTATTAAACAAACATTTGAGTTTTCTTTCCTGGAAAACATTCATATTTATGTTGCGGTTATTTTGTTTCGCTTTCAATATTGTGGTAGCGTTCAACTATACACAACAAATATTATTTAATTAAACTTATTGACATTGACTTTCTAAACAAACAGACATTTTGTGAATTAAATTAAATTTATTTCACATTAAAAAATTTAGTAAGTTGAGTTTCATGACGTTGATGACTTAATAAAGAATTGAAAAAGATGGAAAGAAAAAAACTGCACGATTGCAATGTCTTCGTAATATTCTAAAAAGTTCTTGGCAAACTCTCAGAACTTTTATGTAACATTCAATTATTACAGAACAATAAATTTTCCTCGAAAGCTTCAAGGCATTTCCTCCCTTCTCAAACAGTATTTTCTTACTTGATCAAAGTATCAAAGAATGTTCATACGACAAAGCTAGCCCAAGTTTAATTTCTTTTTCACTAAATCCACTCATGTAGAATTGTCCGATTAGTCGATGAAGTCGTAAAAATAGGAATAGTTGATGTGATATAAAAAATATGTCATACAAAATTATGAGACAGAAATAAGTTGAAAAATTTGTGGCGTGGGGATATTATCTGTGTGAAACCTTTTATGTCGTCTGCTGGCGGTGAAATGCACAATAACAAAAGTTCTTCGTTCCAGACAAGAAGAATTTATACATGGGAACAGTAAACAAAAAAAATGATAATAAATGGGAAAGAGAACAAACTATAAAAGCGGAAACTGCTTTTTTCTTTTTCATCGCTTAGATACATTTAAAGGAGTGAAAAAATTTTCATAAAGGATAAATAATGATGGATTTTGAAGATTTATTTGCATGCCTCATATCACTAGCGGCAAAAGAAAAAAAGAAGGAAAATGAGAAATAATTCTTCATCGATGAAACAGGATGAAATCATCATCATCCATCCCACTAGTAAGAAAGTTTAATTTCCGTTAAATTTTTCTTATAAAGTTTAATTTTTTATGCTATTAATAAGACTCATTCCAAACTTTGAATCAAATCAATTTAATAATTTTTCAAGAGTTTCTTGAACATAAGCCTTTGCATAAAGAATGCATTTGAACAACGAGAATACGTAAATTCCACTTTTGATTCTTGAAATTCATCTCGTCAGCAGAAAAATGAATCGGAGCACATGGTATATCAATAATCATGTTCTACACAGTTCTGCTTCCATTGAATGTAGCTAGTAAGTCAATATAGCGAAAAACACAATTTATTTTCCATACTGCATCGCAATAAATTTATTTAGTAGAATAATGAATAAGAAAATTTACAAAATCAAATCGAAAAGCACGAAGTGAAATGTAAATTTAATTCCCAGACTTTTGTGTTTGGAGGTTTATCTTCAATCTCTAAACTACTTCAGTGTTACTCGTAACATGAGCTTGTTTTAAGGGTTTAATTTATTATGCAATTTGGTAAACCATTTCGTTGCTTTTTACTATACATTTCATATAATTATTATTTATTCTTATCGACATGTTTGTGGCTTTGTAAAGATTATCAGAATTAAAATATGAATGAGAATAAAAGTTTCTGTGAGAATTCACAATGCAGGAATACCAATTTTTTGTATTTATTTGTCGGGGAAAAATTCTATACGTAATAAATATTATAATCCCTTTAATCTGTACAAATCATGATCAGTTTTCCAGTTCATAAAAGCTTCGACAGTTGGTTTAAATACATTTATAAATTTTCCAAATAATAAACTTTGCGTAAAATTGTTAAATGATTTAATGAAATGTTATCCAAGGGGGAATTGAGATAAAAACTTTATCAATTGACTCTCAATAACAGAGAAAGTTATGCAGAGTTAGAATGTTTGACTCAATATGAAAGTCTTCTGGTGTCACGAACTATTTTAACTCTTTCGAAGCACATCGCACTTACTTTGCAGAATAACAGCAAATATCACTATTTTAGACAACAACGTAAAAGTATTTTTATCCATTATTGTTAGAGAAAAACTTTCTTTTATTTTATTGCACAGAGGAAAAATATTTCCTTCTTAACATGTGAGATTATTTTCAACAGCTGCTTTTTTTTGCAGATAAAAAGTTATGAAACTTTACATTTCACTCGTCACAATTTTTATATTTAGCATTGAACTTTGTTATCAACAAAAATATATTCCTCATTACACGATTTTAATTTGTTTCATGTTTTCAGTGTAATGATTTATTAATCGTTTTTCTCTTGAAAACATTAAAATAAAAACAAAAAAGATGCAAATCTCTTGTCTTTTACACAACACGATATTGAACCATATTAATTGCTTTTATTGATGTTATTACAAAATGCATTCCATGATATGTATCCGATTAAGCATCCTTTTCTTTACGAGTGAGAAATGAAACTGAATGGAGAAATATTTTTGCTTTGTAGACGACACGACAGAGATTCAAAACTATATGCGAAATGTTGATAATGCTTTTCTCGTTGAACAATCATCACAAATGATGAGATTCAAAAGAAGGAAAACATTGCAGAGTGGAACGGATGAGAAATGAAAATTTCTTTACTTCCTACACTGCATTCATTGTTCCTTCAAAGCAACTTTCTCTCTTATCATTTCTCATTGTTTCACTAACATCAAGGATTTTGTTGAAAACGAAACTGATGAAAAGTGTTGCAAAAATTTTCTATCAACAATCGGCAATCACTTCCATTGGCCGAAGACGTTTTTGTTGTTTTGCGCATTGAAAACGTTGCGCAAAAGGAATTTCATGTTATGATAATTATTGTAGGAAGATTTCAAATGTAAAAGTTGTCAAATCTAAATATTTTATACTTCAGTTAAGTCAAATTTATTTTTATAAAACGAAAATTTGATTCAATCAAAAGCATTGAAAAATTTTTACTTGTTCATAAATTTTATGCTGACAATGCATTCGAATTCCGAAGTGCACTAAAAATTGTAATCGAAATCTAATAATATTCTTTTCACATAGTTTGTGCAATAAAAACATTAAACACATGTGCTCCTTTGTCTCTCATTGATGTTTTGTAAAGTTTTCTCTCGTTGCTTTTCTATTCAAAATTCGAATTTATTTTTGTTGCTATGAAAAATTATTATTGAAAGCTTTTAAAACTTTTATTTTACAAATTCCGTTTAGAAATGGAAAAAGTTTTATTATGCTGCAAATGTATGCTACAATGGAGAAAAGAGAAATAACAGTAAGGCGATGACAAAAATAAAATTACATGAGAGACATGTTAAAAAATTACAATGAATCTATTGACAAATATGTTAAGTTTCCAATGTGTTTCTTTCTTCACTACAAAACAAGGTTTTAAGATCTTTCGTGAAGATTGAAAAAGTTTAAATGGCAGAACTGGGATGTAAAATCTGCTACATCTGAAGTATAAAATCACATCAGACTACATGAGACACATTACATTCCCCAGAAACTTTTGTAAATTCAACTCATTTTTCACATTTTCACAGTCACGAAATCAGCCTACAGTAGCAGCTGTTAATGCACTGCACTACACAACCCTTGAAAGTCTAATTTTTAACACGTTCAGATGATTTATTGACATTGTGTTGAGTAAACACTAAAACGCGTGGAAAGCATAAATTAAATTTTATATTTTCAAGGTTTTTTCTTCTCTTAATCATTTGAGAAATGGACAAATTTATTTCGGATTAAATTGATTTCCGTTGATGTGACGAAGTCAACCAAAGTTTGAAGCTTAAATTCGACGATGTTGATATTTTTGTTCCATCACTTGATTGATATCACTCAAATATCAAATGCAAATTTATTGACAGCTCAACGATAGAATCGACAGCTTAGGTTAGTAAAGATCAAAAAAAATGATTTATCATTTTTAAAATGAATCTATTAGTCGACAAATCTGAAAAATTGCTGATGAATCAACAAATAGCTTCATATTTTATTTTTGTTTTCTAACAGATATGAAAAAAATTCTGCCAATTTATTTATGTAGGATCTCTTGAGTGCAATTCAAATATCCAGCAGATATTAGATTAAAAATCAATAACTGATGCATTATCGTAAAATACATCAGTTTACATTATTCCGCGGAATTTATTTGAAACGTCTACAACTTTTATATCAACAAATGGAAAAAGGAAAATGAAAATCTAAAGGCAGGTAAAATATTTTGTTTATTTGTCGACATTTTATAAAATTTTATTTAACTTTGTAAAGAAGACAATTGAGTTTTTATTGAATATTTAAAATATTTGTGGTTGCAATATTTTTTTAATTCACGATATTAGGATTTTGAAGAGTGACTCAAGAGTTTTGATTCATAAAACTTAACTTGTTTGCAATGAACATAAATTATTTCACAAAATGATGATTTGACTAAATAACTGTCGCGTTTCCAAGATTAACTTTATCAAATCTTTGAATGTGTCAGCTTATCATACTAACTTAAATACATTTTTGGTTCAAGCATAATCTGAGAAAAAGTTCAAATGAAATTCAAACAAATTTTTAATTTTTCTTCCATCATCCATTACCATCTCAATTAATTTTCATTTATTGAAAAATTTGCTACATATGTTGAGACTTGATATCGAAAATGTTCAAATTTGTAGAAATCATCAAAGAGTAACAATAGATAATGGACTTGAGTAGCAAAAAATTTTTGAATGGAAATGAAAAATAAAAATTTTACGTAAATTGAATAGAACGTCAAGAGTTTTTGTTCCATTAATTATCGTTGTCTTGAGAGCAGAATTAATCAATCATAATAAAGCGTTAATTACTTATAATAAGGGCGAAAGAATGAGAAATGTTTAATGGATGTTTCTTTATAAAAGCATTTGTTAAAATTACGCCTGAACATCATCCAACTCTCTTAAATTTGATGACTTCGCAAAAATATTGTTGAAAGTTTTAGTTTATGTTATGGAGATGGGTGCTAAATAGAATATTTAAATTAATTATATGCGAAACTATGATGTATGAACGGATGATAAGCATTTCAATTAAACAGTACTGCTGTGGCTGATAATTAAAAAGTTGTTGCTAAAAGAAGAATCGAGTTGAACTTCTGCTTAATGTTTACCAAGAAATGAACTCAAGTAAGAAATCAAATTCCCAATTCGTCATTCGGAGCGAGATTCAGACAATATTTTTGATGAAAAATCCGAGTTTAACAGAGCTGATACGATTGCTGATAATAAAATTAATCTCATGTGTATGAATCTTATTAAAATATTCTCAGTTGCTTTAAATTCGTTAAAATCGTCGGATCAAAACAAAACGCGAGAAATGACAGAAGTCAATAAAAAGGCAAATTTGCGGAAAAGTAATGGAAAATGTTGTTGCATTTTACTCACACTCACAGTTGTCTTATGTGGAATTTTATTTATTTATCGTGGAGAAATTGCAAATTTATTCTGGGAAAATAGTAAGTGACAATTATTAATAATAGTTTAATTCAATTAAAATATCTTCTTATCAAGAAATGTAAAACAACAATTATTATGAGACCTAACTGATGATGACTGGATTTGTTTAGACTTGAATAAACAAGAAACAAATGAAATCTTGAAAAATATGAAATATTTCGCTAAAACAAAGGTCAAGACGCAGTTGTGTGTTTGAAGCTAGATTAAAGCGTTGTAAAATTATGGAGAAGAAACTTTTATTCATCTCTCCAGTTTCACATATTTTTGCAATGTGATGAATTTAATTGAGTTGAATTTATGGTTGGAAGTTTTGAATATCTGAAGATCTCCAAAAACCTTTTAATTAAATCCAAATGTCTTTCATTGATTATTTTACTTCCTTATTTCAAAGAAATCTTCCAAATTTGTAATTTAATTTAAATCCCTTGAGAGATTTTTATTCTTTCTCGTCTTTAATTTTGAAAACGAAAGAGATTTGAAGTAAATTTCAAGATGAGAAAAGAACTTCGTCTGAAAGAGGAACATATTTCATTTTAATTACACTTTAAGGCACATTATGAGTATTTTCACATATGCTTCACAACATGAATAAATGTGCTTGGATACTTTTCCTTGAAGGAAAGCCAGGCGTTTGTTAATGAAATCAGTAAATGATATGAAACTTACGAAAGCTTTAGAAGTTTGAGGATGTAAATAAGCTAACTTCGACTTGCATACTCCCCAAAATTCATGAAACATGGACATCCTAAAAACCTACCGTTACCAACCATAAAAGAACATATCAAAGCCTAAAATTTTTGATTACTTTTAAAATCCGCGTGATCATGAGTAAGTGCCGTAATTAAAAACGAGAATAATTGTTTGCGGTATTATTTATGTATAATTTATTAGAAGAATAATTTTCTCTTGTAGATTCAAATGGAGAGTTCAATTATGATGAAATTGAATCAAGCTCACAATATGATTCATCATATGAAATAGGAAAGACGACTGAAAATTATCGTTCGACGCAAAGGTCTTCATCAACGAAGCCTTCTACTGATCCTCCTGCTGCGCGATTTTCGTCAGGTTCGTCAGGTTCGTTCAGTAGAGGGTCACTTTTCGGTCCATCGTTTTCTAAACCATCAGAAGGAAAATCATATTTTTTCAAACCATCTTCAGGTGGTTCCCGAGATCCTTGGCCACCATCTAAAGAAGGATCGGGTAGTGATTCGGATTCTTCTGATTCAGATTCTTCTGATTCGGATTCAAGTGGAGATGATGACATTACTAGCCAACGCACAATTGAAATCACGCCATATTACTTTACCACAGATGAAGCAACGACTGAGGTCGATTTAAATTATGGTAGTTAACGAGATTAATTTCTTTAATTTTTTAAAATTATTTTTTATAATTATTTTTATATGAAAAGGAGAAGATTTGGATCTTTTCTTCGTGGATTCAACTACTTTAGAACCAGAAACCACATCAACAACGTTAAGACCACTAACGACAACTTTTACCGAAACGAGCACATTCAAAGATTTAGAATCATTAGGTTCGGGTGAGGGTTCAGGTGATGGTTCGGGTGATGATTTAATAATTAGGAAGGATAGTAAATATTCCAATTCAAAAATTAAAAAACAAAAACCACGCCTTGCAAATAGTGATGACGAAGATTATTTTAACTAATATATTTTGAATTTATCGATTTAAGCATCACAAACCATTGTTAAACATTTTTAAATTGTTAAAATCGTTCTTTAAAATCTTCTTATAAAAACATTCTCTCGCGCTACTTTCACAACAGTCAAATTAAAAAAAAAAGACGAGAACAGATGGTGACAGCAATAAATTAAAGAAATCTATACGTGTGCTTTTGCAAATTGTTTGTTTTCGGTTTCATTTTCATTTTCTAATCCTTTATATTTATGGGAGAAGAGAAATAATAATGCGTAATTATTGCTTCTTTTTATTCTTTCAAACCTGAAAAATGAATAAAAATGTATAAAATATTAAAACATGAATTATTTTACATAAGCCGTTGTATCATTCTGAATATTATTTATGTTTTGTTTTTTTTCGAAAAGTGAACTGATTTTCATAAAAATAAGTAAAGAAACAACAAAAGTTTTGAATTAAATTTTTCGTGGAATTTTCTCATACCTCAAAAGAATACAAAATGAAATTTTTAAGATATTCTGCAAAGTTTTTATGTTTTGCACTTGAAAAGAAAGAAAATTCTTGAAACATTGCGATAAGTATGAAAATATTTACAGAAGAGAAAGCTGCAAGGCGATAAATCCTTTTAATGTTGATTATTCATAATTTGAAATATCTTTTGAGTGAGAACTTCTTGGATTTATTCATTCAGAGAAAGTGACCGCAAACATCTTCAACTTGAATTTTTTTGTACTTGATTAATTATCTCGGAAAAGATTTTTCTTGTTTGTGTTTTATCTTTATAGATTATTCATGTCGATAAAAGCCCTTTCTCTATGTCCTTTGTTTGTTTTAATAGAATTCTCTTTCCTAGCTTCGAAGGAGGGAGAAGGAAAAAAATTAAACAATTTAAAGTCGAGTCACGAAATGCTTGCGGCAACAAAACAACTCGAAAATATCAATTTATCGTTGAAATATTAAAATCGAAGGCGCCTGTTTGCCAGTCACACTTTCGTCGATAAAAGATTTTTTTTACTATTGCAATTTCTTCAATTTTTCCATCTCATCTGCCAAGTAGCGATGAATTTATTAAGCGATTACAGTTTGTTTAATTTTATCATTTTCAATCACATTGGCACATAGAATTATCAATTAAATATTAAACAAATAAAAAATGCGGTTGACGTTTTCATTAAATTTTAATTTCAATTTTGTTCGCCTTAAAGTTCAAAAATTTAATTTGATTTTAAAATTTGCAACTTGCAATGAATCGTGTTATTTAGAGAAATTTGTATTGACTTTTCATTATAAATATGCACAGATGAAGGAAAACTTCCGTTCAGGATGAAAATATCTAATCACACTTAAAATCTCATACATATTTCATTCTGATGATCCGCTATAATCACAAAGACATAAAAACCTTCAAAATGACGTAGTTGAAGCTGCTTACATCTTATTTTCTTGTCTAACATTTAACGACTCATTGTTACTTCCATGAACTCCTTTCGCATATCGCATAGGATGGAAAAACAAATGAGAACAACGGAAACCAGTAAATTAACTGACATAAAAAGTCTATAAAAAGAAAAGTTACGAGACTTTCTTCAACCACCATTTCAGTGGCATAAAAAAAGTTATTTACGTTCAAAAAGTATCACACGGATTTGTTTAATTTACGAGACGTGATGCCTTTAACATGCCACAGAAGGATCTTCGTCTTATCACACAGAGACTTTGCTTCTCCACTCTTCCATGCATGTGTTACCATAAATTTACCTGATTTAGTAGCTTCTTCATTAATACCTCGTAGTTTTCTCAACAAGTTTTATGTGAGAATTTTTCTTTTATGCACAAATCTTTCTAAGCGTCTTAAATGAAGTGAAAAAGGTGGAAATTTATTGCGGAAGAATGCAATAAGATTTTCATTCTTTTGTCTGCTGTGATAAAATAAAAAGGAAAAGAGATCAAGTTAAAGTGAATTTCTCGTTGACAACTTTATGTTTTGTATTTTTTTTTAATAAATAAAAGATCAGAAATTTAACGTTTAACACGCGAAGTCGACGATGATGATTTTCTCGGTTGATTTAAAGGCAAAACTTGTCCAAGCTCGTCTATTGGAATTCCATATTTAATCAGTTTTGCTTTGAAAAGTTCAAGCAAGTCATCATGTGCCTTTGTAACTCTTGCTAGTTCATATCGTAAGTCCTGAATTTTTTCATTCTTTTGTGATAAAAGTTTTTCAATTCTCGTGCTCATAGCAGTTGGTTCAATGTTTGATATTTTCAAAACTTCACCCAGCAATGATTCTCGTTGTTCAGTTTCCTTCTCAAGGAAGCTCAACTTCCGTTCAAGCAAAGCACTCTTAAGGCCTGTGAAATATTAAAAAGAAGGGGGGAAAGAGAAAAAGTTTCTGATGGACAACGTCATAAATAATATGGCAACATACTTGACTTCTTCTGCACATCGAGAATTGCTTTTTCAAACTTTTGGTTTAACTCATCTCGCTCTTCTGTTAGCTTATCGCAATGTAGGATTTTTGCATCAAGTTCTATTTTAATATTGTCATACTGTTTGCGAAGAATTTCCATTCGTTTCTCTAGTTTTCTCATTGCAAACTTATCTCGTTGATAGTTTTCAAGCTTCTTGCGCAGTTCATTTACTTCAGCGTTGTTGTCTTTTACCGGTTCAGAAATGTTTCGACTTTGAGCTTCATTAAGGAAAAGAAAAAGTTTTTTTAAAAAGATAAAGCATCGAGAAAATATTTACCAGAATGTGCGTCTGCCATTTGTTTCTCATTTCTTTCAGTTTGTCGACGCATTTCCTCCATTTGTTCTTTGATGCTGCTGATAAGCGCCAGATTGTTGATGGTAATGTCGTTGTAATAACTTTTCATCTCACCAAAAGCCTTCTCATGACAATCAATGAGTTTGCGAATCTGATGATTCTTACGTTCTTCAACTTCACTCATTTCCATTCGATGACAAATCTCAGAACTTTCCATGTATTCTTGAAGACGTCGTTCATGTAAATTTGACATTTCTTTTGTTTCGTTTTGAAACTTTTCACGTTCCATGCTGAGCATTTCGCTATGTTTCATTTTAATTTGCTGTATTTGAAGTTCATTGTATTCATCTTTTTCACGACATAATTTCTTCAACTCTCGTATATCATTGAATAATTCACGTTCTTGACTCGCATGATCTTCTTGTGCCAACTTTAGTTGAGTCATCATTTCAGCTCGCATTTCACCTAATTTCGACTGATTCTCATATTGAAGATGTTTCATTTGTTGCATCACATTTTTAGTGTCGAGGTCAGCCATTTCTTGAGCTATTTCCACTTCACGCTCTTTATTGCGAATAACACTTTGCGCATCTTCATACTGCTTCCTTGTGATTTCCCAGAACGTTCGCAACTTATCACGCTCAATTTGAAAAAAGTTTCGTTCCTCTCGTTCTCGCTCAAGCTCATTACGAAGTTTAACAGCAAATGCTTCGAGCTGTTCCCGACTCATTTCAGCAGTGTCAACGCCATCAATGACAGCTTGGGTATGAAATGGATACCGAGAAAAAAAATTCTTACATTTCATTTTATTCTAGAAAGTTTTTCTTTCTATTCTCTTTTGGATGACAAAGTTGAAAGTCAAGACAACTAGAGAACTTCCCGAACAATGAGACTTCCTGCAATTCTCTACTTTAAAATGAAAATATTTTCAAAATTCTTATCTGAGTCTGTTTTAACTTTATCTATGAATATTCGACCACAATTGAAATTTCTGAAGCATAAAAAGAATGAAAAGTTTTCAAAGCCACACACAAAAAAAAGTTTGAAAGAAAGAAAGAAAAAAATTGAGAAATAAATTTTTACGGTTCATTGGTTGTTAATGCGGAAAGGCGATTCATTTGAATTCATTTTCATGCTCCCGCCTGAGACTATTTATAACTGTCTCTTATTCTCTTAAACTCATTGAAGCATCTTTAAATCATCGCCCGAGAAAACTTGATAAAGAAGCTTAAAAATTTGCTTCATTTTTATCCCACTGATCCCCAACCAATTTAGAATGTCATAAAGAATTATACTTACAACTTCCGCTTTTCTTTTTCGGTGCCTGCGAATGAAAAACATGAAAAGTAAATTGAAATGCAGACAAAGAATGAGATTAAGGGACAATAAAATTGTGTTCAGAGTAATTTCCAGAGGAATCAAAACAGAAAGAAGGAAAAAAAGTTGTTTGTCGTCCCTTTTTGGGAAAATGAAACTTTCTTAAATTACCAAAGTGCTAAATTGAAGGTAAGAAAGTGAAATGTGGGAGAATGTAACATGAAACTATTATTATTGAAAAAGAAAAATATAAACTTAATGACATGGAAAGTTTGTCTGAATAACAGACTTGCTTTGTGGCTTTCGGTTGGAAAGATGCAACTGAAAATGGGAAAAGTTTATTTAAGAAAGAGAAACTTTTCCTCCTTCGTTATTTATTTCCTATCGAGAATTTCAAGGAGATTTTGAATCAACAGGTGATAATCGTTCAGATCTCTGAGGGCCTTTTGACAACATATTTCAAAGCAATCAATAATGAAATAAGAAACTTGATGCTTTACTAACAAATAACGTTGAAAACGATTCGAATCACTCGATAAGAATTTAATTGAATGATTCTCATGATGTTTGATCAACTTTCTCCTTATAATTTCCTTTCATTGTGTAAACAACATGAACATAAATGTAATTAAAGTCAATAAGCAAACACAATGCCAATGATAAATTGAGCTTCTTATCTTCCATAGAAACCAACGAAACAACTTTTTTCGTTAACGAACTGCGAAATTTTCTCTCAGTTCCCGTCTGAAACATTTAATGTCGTTTCCAATTGATTTGTTACCATTTCGCTCTAGTCGATGATGCAATTTAACTTTCGAAATTGCTTTGATGAGGATGCTTTCGGGTGTGGTTCGTTTTTATCAAAAATATTCGAGAATAAAAAGAGAACTTTAAAATTTAACACAAATTGACGTTTACAAGTTTTTTTTCAATGGCTTCTGAGCCTCACTGGTATTTATTTTATGCAATCGAATAAACAAAACAAGGAAGTTTTATGTTGGTAACCAAAGAGACGCGGCATTTTACTGTTTATTCGGTCACTGTCATGAATGAATGAATTGTTTTTTTATTTCCTTTCTCAATTTTCATTTGTTATTTTACTGCTTTTTCAATGAAATAACATAAGCTTCTGTAAGCCAAAAAATGTTGTCCGTAAAAAATAAAATCATAGCTCGAATTAATCTCATGCAACAATTGAAAGGACTTTATTCAATGCACTTTGGAATCCCAAATTATTTATTTAAGTAATGCTGAAATGTGAAAAAAGGAATTTTTCTCTCCAATTGTTTTTAACATGAAATTAATTACATGACGAAAATATTTTCACAACATTAAAAATTGGCAAGAGATTGAATATGTCATGAAATGTTTGTGAATTAGTGGATCACATCACGCAATCATGAGAAAAATGAAGCTTATGTTTGTAAATGTGAATGGAAACATTGAGTTTGGGTGTTTGTAAAGTTAGTGATAATCACAAAACTTATTCATGAAAATGTGTCTTTGTGAAGAAGAAACATGAAAGTTATCCCACCAGAGAGTTAAAAAAAGGGAAGCATAAGAGAAATTTGCTTCACTATTCAAATGTTGTCTGAAAATTATGCATTGTCATCAACACGATAGTTGTATAAGAAGAGATAAAATGGGAATGCAGAGTTGGGGCGACCTTATGAATGGATTAAATTTTCATTATTTCACTTAATGAATATAACATTATGGAAAAGGTTGGGGATACGTTATGTTAACTTAACATTCTGAAATGAATGAATGTGAATTTGATTCACTCTTCTGAATTACATTTCTATATTTCCATTCAAGAAAATATATAAAAAAGTCATTTAATATTTTTTAAGTTTCGATTCGAGACAAGCAACATAAAACGTAGCATCAAAATTAACAAAACGAAATTTTCAATAAAAAGCATTGCAGACGACAAAATTTTCATTTCTTTCACATTGAAAAAATAGTGTGAAGAACGTGATCGGAATGGAAGTTTTTTTATATCATTTTTGAGGTATAATTTAACAATGCGGATATTCATTGCCATGCTGCGAGTGTGTGAATGTGTTTGAGACAATTTTCTGGAAAATATAAGAAGGCAGACATCCTTTAAAATACATTATAAAAGTTTTATTTTTATTATTATGGCATTTTTCTTAATGATACATACAAATTAAATTTAAGAAGATTTCGTTTATTTATGACAGTTGATTTTCAATGGAAACTTAATGAGTTTTCAACCTTATTGATATCTCAATTGTTTTGTAAACAATTAATTTATGGAAAATCCTAGTTTCAAGAACTTCTGAGTAATTAACAATTTATTGACCATAAATTTCGATGTACTTTTAATTATATTTCTGAAACATTAATTAAAATGAAATAAACACATCTTGAAAGTGAAAATTCGAAATTGATTGTTAATCCCTAACTTTCTGAATTCTCACCATAAAATCTGATGCTTCAATGACTTTAT